TCTAGGTACTGAGAACCCGATACTTTACATACTCTATAGTTTGTGTACTTTACTTTGGACCCCTAGAGCTACTCGTTCGATTTAGAGACACTCTAATTGTTGGATAGATCTAGATTATTAGGATCTTTTGCATGTGTCTTTTTTTTTGTTTGCCGAGATCCATGTCTATAGGCACACGAATGGTTGACCCCTGTCTTTTGTCTATCTTGTGGGTTCCATGGGTCGAGCTGCGTTAAATTCAATGTCTAAATTTCACGGCGCATAGGTTTACTTTCTGCTAGTATAATGCAAGGCAGATAGCTCGTGTTGCCTTCTCAAGTGCTTTGAATTAAGTTCCGACTCGTCCAATGCAAATGATGTCATTTTGATAACTATTAGCTTCAGGACTCAAGCCCAAGGTATCAAATACAGTAAATATATAGACTGAACACGACAGATAATATATCTTGAAATGTCAATTTTGACATACTATATGGCGGACTGAAGAGCCAACTAACTCAAGCTATGAATGCCGTGTAACAGCGTAGTTACACGATCGGCTTCGCGGGGCAAAGCCTATGCAACATCCGATCTCACCGTACAAGCATAATATCAAGGCAAATTGTCCCGAGGTCTGCATGTTCAATCACACGCGACACCAGACCGCTCTTATTGAGACTAAAACCGGATTTCCAATTTTTGAGGTACGATCTTGCAGCCGAATGCAGGTACCTGGCCCCCTCTCAGGTCTGATATGCAGCTAGGCCTGTGGTGCTATATCTCAGCCTCAGCCACTCACCGCATCTGAATCAACTATCACACCCATGAGGTTGCACGACTTCTAGGTTGAAGAGAACAAATGGACATTGGAGTATGCTAGAATGTGTGCTAGAATATATACAGGTTTTGATATGACCGGCTTTGGCCATTGGGGACTCGTGTTGTAGCTCTTGTATGATATGAGCGTGAAGAAAATTCTTCATGAATATATTGATCACATTGGCAATAACACATGGTGATCATCTTCCTAGTACACCTTGATTCCCATCTGATACACAGTTATTTCGCCGAGATATCTGCAAGACATGAACTGCCAGACGAACAGGCCACCTCGTGATACCATCTACACCCAATAGACAGTTCTTTCCCATGAGAGAACCCCTTATGGGCCCCTTTGTGGCTCCTTTTCCCACGATATAGCCATGCAATTCGCTATGTTTTGTTGATTCTCGGCTACCAGCCTTGATCTCATTCTCAACGTGAGATTCAAGACATCGACTCAGATCCCCAGTTCGCTTCCCCCGTCTGGTTTCGGCAATTGAGGCCCACGCGGCTAAACACAGTGCAGTGCTACACGAGCAGTCCCAAAATTAGTATCTACATCACGCTCATCCGCGAATCACCCGTTGATCCCTTAGATTATATCGGACGAAGGCCGACGATATTAGCTAAAGAACTAGACCCAAGGATCATACCAGACTAAACAAAACACCGGCAGCATTAAACAGAGACACGGCCAAGGGAGATCCGTCAAAGATACCATTAGTGATTCAGACTGGCCCCGGGAGCTCTCGTGAATGCCCCTACCGGGATAGGACATACTGTATGGGGCCAAGGTCTCAGCCTCGACGAAGCAGATGTGACAATTCCACCTTTCCCCGTCGATCACTTGTCAGAATGGGGCCTGCAGCACAATGGCTATAATACAGTAGTCAGTCCTTTGGGAGAATGGCCGTGCATGCCCCACTGCTTGGGCACAAGTCTGTCTACAGTAGTGATGTACGCACCTGCGATGCAGCTTACAAGGCAACACTAAACAAATAGTGAGTCAAACTAAGGTACCCCTGTACGGAGTAAACAGACAATATGGGCGCAAACTGCGCGAGATGAGGCAAGCAAACAGTCCCGAGACAGTAGCCGATAGATGTGGGCTGGCCCGTCCATGTATCACCCTATGAGTAGCATTGTGCGACGATTTTGAAAGACAAAATAAAGAGAAAAAGCTATGTAGAAGTAAATCCGCGTACAAACAAACAGACTAGGGCTGGTATTCGAGTAACACCATTATTGTATAGACGCGACCGTGAAAAAGCCTCACCAAATTGTATCAGATATAGTACCCAAGCTCTCTCTCCCATGGTTCGAACCCGACTTCGGCACGGACAACCTCCCAATTCAAGGCTTGGTCTGCAGATCGCATTTTACTCTCTCTCGTGCCCTGAGTGAATGATGTGATACTGTGGAGGGGGCTTGCATTGGAGCTTCACGGAGAGGCGTATTGCGTGTCGGAGTGTTTTCTTTTTGATGGCCTACTACTGTAGGCTGACAGGGCCGTTCCCTAGCCGTCGTTGGCTGGCAACTGGCTGACCTACATTAGTGCTTCATTAGTGACGGGTTTGCCACCAACTATAGCAGTCTTATCTTGCTAGTCTTTTTTCTTGAACGAGTAATACATTCCACTGAACATGTGACGGCTGGATTATGCTGATGCACGCGTATAGGAGATTTCATCATGCATTTGCGCATTGCGATTGAGCCTGGAAACTGCAGAATCACCGAGTCCACGCAGCTTTGCGAAACCGTTGGTTGATGCGGGAGGACGTGCGAGTGATGGAGCTTGGAGAACTGGCATATTATATTGTCATTGTCATTTCGTGTGGATTGTTACTGTGTATTACAGGGTTCTGAATACATTTGCCTAGCTCTAGCTCTAGACCCAGTTGTGGGCGAAACTGCCCTATAGTATATTCTCTTTTTTTTTTTGTCATTTTTGGCGACTCAGGTTTCAGCTTCTTTTCCCCGGTCGTTCTCAAAGAAAGCATTGATCAGGTAGGGTTTGTGTGCTCCTCATATTTTTGAGTCCAAGACCTCGAAATAATTCGTACTTTCTCGGGTGTTTCAAAAGTACCGCAAATTTTTTCCTCCGAGCCCTCTCTATTATTACATTCCCACAGGGTGTAAGACAGGGGCAGGTCTAAGCTTGCATCTAGACATAACTCTGGCTATGCAAGCCTTGGGTAGCCCTGCAACGTGTTTGTACATGTACTACTGTACTTTCAACCATGGAAGCTCTCCTTCGCGTTTGTGGATCCTGTTTTCCAACGCGAACCTGTTCTCTGGTTCTTGCCCCACGCGGGAGGGAAAGCGAAGGGGGATGATGGAGGGGGAGATCTTAGTAGCTTGGTCTGGTTGTCAATGGGGAGACAGGGGGGAGTGGTCAACGGGTTAGATCTGTGACCTGGACTACTGTACTCCATATTCCGGACCGAGGACCACTAAGCTCTTTGCAATAATTTGCAATCACGTTGAAAACGCCAATGCCAAATAAACAAAAAAGAGTTTTATGGCTGCTGTCACTTGGGGTCCGGTCGCTGCGGCGTCGATCCCCGGAGGATACTTGACAGGCAACGTGATCCCTTTTCGTCTTTTTCGCCTAGAAATTATGATGGATCGAGTCGCCCCTACTGCAGGCTCTAGCACACACGGTCAATGCATTGCTGCATGGCCTGATTTAACCCCACAGGATTTATTTCGGGGTGGCAATATGATTGGTCTCGGAGTGGGCGGTTTTCAATTTTTAAACAAATTAAAATGGAGAATTTATTGCGTTTGGGGCGAATTTTAGTGAATTTTTGAAAGGTCTGGATTTGTGTTCGGCAGATGCAAGGACGTGCTTGGAGGGTACTTTGAGGCCAGGTATCTTTATGCTCGCCTAATGGTGAACGAGGAACCTTCTTGGTCGGTACTAGTGGATGTTTATTGGCATTATGGAGAACAAGTTTTGTACATGTACAAACGGTTAAAGGGAGTGAATGTTTCTGAGTTTACAGTCAAGAGTACTGAAGGGTGTCTTTTGAATACAAATTTGAGTAAATACTTCCATGTAAACGTAGAGTAGACATTGTTGGCAGATAAAGTATAAGGCCCGAAATGAGAAAACCCCCAAAAATCACCCCGAAAATCCCAAATAAATCGCGTTACGGTCTGTACGATACCCGTCACATTATATCATAAGTACCCATACAACCCCATTACCGGTGGAGCATGGATCGTCCCGATCGAGTCCCAGAAGATTCACTCCAGAGCTATTATTCCACTGATTTCCCTCTCTCTCTCTCTCTCTCTTCTCATAGTTCCTCTTTTCCTTTCTGCTTTTCTGCTTCACTCTTTTTGCCCCTTCTTGCCCATCTGCTTTTTGCTTCATTGCTGCCGGTGGCAATTGCAAAGCTATACTTAGCATTTATCCCTTTGGCCCTTGCTTACTTGGGACCTCTCCCCACTACTTCCGCTTCGGCCTTTTTCCTTGCAGTGATCTTCGATAGAAGGGTGCACTTACCTCCTCAAATCTCCCTTCATAGGCTGTTTCGCATTACCGCCAACCACTTTCATCCCTTTGTATAGGGTTGACCCTCGCTATTGCGACTCGTCATCCCTCTGGCAGGTGGATGCACCGGACTCCCGATAGGAAGTCTGTTTACTGTTTATAGTTTCGTTACTTTTATTATTGAGGGTGTGTGTGTCGTGCATTTCAAAGCTCCTTAATCCTTTCCCCCCCCCCCTCCCTGGCATTCCAAGCCTCTCCCCTCCTTTCTTTGGAATTTGCACATTCCAAACATTCGCTCCCTATACTCCTCTATACTGTCATTTCAGCCCTTCGCCTCAGTCAATTGACCTAGATTGTATAGGATCTTCCCCAGCCTTCGGCGATCCGATTCCTCCCCTCAATCCTTGATTCTCTTGTCTTCAAGTCCCTGTTCGTCTTTTGGTTTCACCAAACGATGTCAATTGCATCTCTCGAATAATCGCCTTCGGTCAGTGACCTCCCGCGGATTAGAACGAATTATATACGGATCGGACGAGAAATGGAATCAATGAAGCCACACATCCCCCCGTTAAAGATCTCGAAATCCAATTCGAATTTATCCGAACCAAGCGACAGACATACGTCGAGTCGTTTCTACTCCGCCTGGGGCCAGTCGGAGATGACTCCCCCGTTAACACCACAAGGAACACAAACAAACATGGAACAGTCGGAGCCCCCGAGGCCTGTCTTTCACAACTACCTGCGCGCCTTTTACCCTTTTCACCCGGCCGGAAACGTTTCGCCGTCGACCGTTACTCTTCCTCTGGATCAGGGAGACATCATCTTGGTTCACTCTGTTCACACCAATGGCTGGGCCGATGGTACCCTATTAGATTCTGGGAATCGAGGCTGGCTACCCACGAATTATTGCGAAGCATACGACCAAATGCCTATGCGCCCTTTGCTCAAGGCCTTGACTGATTTCTGGGATATCATTCGAGGAGGATGCGGGTCATCACTAAAAGATTTTGGAAACCAAGATTTGATGAGAGGCCCTATCGCTGGCGTTCGGTTTCTTTTGGTAAGTACCATTCGGAAAGAGGTATCCATATCACAGGGCTTATAATTCCACAGGAAAAGTCTGAATGTCTCACGAGAGAGTCACCCTTGGTAAGGAGATTTGATGGACTGCGAAGGATTCGGAAGGCATTGCTCTCTGATCTATCTTCGCTGGTGAAGACCGCGAAGAAGTTCCAGGAAGTCGCCAACGGAACACCGTCAGAAGACGAAGTCGAGGGAATCCTGGATGAAATGCTTCTGAAGGCTTTCAAGATTGTGACCCGCGGAGTTCGTTTCCTCGACGTCTGGAATGAAGAGGTTGGCTTGAGCAGGACTATCGCTGAATTGGAATCAAACGAGCCCCGAGACCAATACGATATGCCCCCCACACCGGCTTCTGAGAGCTTCTCTTGCGAAACCGAACACCCTGAACGCAACGAGTCACGAATGATGGAATCGCGAATGGAATCTCGCATGGAGTCACGCATGATGGAGTCACCACAGATGAGCCGCAGCCGTATGGACATGAGCCGAGCCTCAATGAGGACCGAATCGCTTGACCACCCCCCTCGACCGGTCTCCGTTGCCACGAAGCGAGTCTCGGTCTCTCATCGTATGTCATTCTCGGGTCCTTCCGCTTCTATACGTGCTCAGAACTTGGCATCTGAGCGTCTTGGTACCACTTATGATGCCTTCCTTGGAGTGCTTGGGTCATTCATTGGACTTCACATGCAGTCTCGTTCATCAACCGAGCTGGTTGTCACCACTCAGCAGGCTGTGCAATCCTGCCGAGCTTTGCTTAACGTAGTTGAGTCAGTCTGTGAGCATGATACCCAGCGCAGTGTGCTTCTAGACCAGGCCCGTGAGTCAATGTGCGAGAAGCTGTCTGAGCTTGTCCACGCTGCACGCGATGTGTTCTGCCCAGCTCAATCTTCTGATGAAGATTTGGTATTCATGCCAGATGAAGGAAAACGCCTGGTTGACGCTGCCACAGACTGTGTCCGCGCTGCTGGCAATTGTTTGGCGAGGGCTCGCCTGGTGCTTGAGCAAATTGGGGACATTGAACTTGATCCCGAGAACACAGAGACTGAGTTGGAACAAAAGCCACAAGAACGACAGGAAATCTCTCTCCGTCTTCCCCCCCCCTCCTCTTCAGATCCCCAGCACTACTTATTCTCCTCCCACACCTGCTCTTACCGATGCCACCACTCCATCCTCCTTCCAGTCTCACATCACCAACAGTCCCGCCAACCTTTCCGCCTTGTCTTCTCTTCCTAACTCTGCCATCCTCCCCACTCACCTTGAGAACATGGCCTCCTTCTCATCCACTGACAGTGGATATCCTGAAAGCCATGCCAAATCCGATATGACTGAATCATTCGGCCGTGGTGTGACGAGCAATGGCAGCAGCTTCACGTACAACCGCCATGCACGTGACTCTGAGATGAGCGGTGTTTCGCAGACCTCCACTCGGGCTACATCGCCTGATATCGGTGGTAGCTTCCAAGGAAGCTTCCATGGTCCCTCGTTGAAGGAGAGTGTTAGCCACTCGACCCTCGCCGAGGAGAATGAGGAGACCGAGGCCCACCTTCTCGAGAAGACTTATGCCCACGAGCTGATCTACAAGGAAGGTTCGGTGATGGGTGGCAGCCTTCGTGCTCTCATCGAGAAGCTCACTGCTCACCAGTCCACCCCTGACGCCTTGTTCGTCTCAACCTTCTACCTGACCTTCCGTCTCTTCGCCACGCCCCTTGAGTTTGCCGAGGCTCTCGCTGAACGTTTCGAGTACATCGGTGATACTCCCCACGCTGCTGCACCTGTCCGCCTGCGTGTTTACAACATCTTCAAGGGCTGGCTTGAGTCTCACTGGCGCCACGACCGGGATAACATCGCTCTCGATTTCATTCTGCACTTTGCCAGGACCAGACTGGTTGTTGACCTGCCCACTGCTGGCAAGCGTCTGATCGAACTGGGAGAAAAGGTGTCTGCAGTCCACGGACCTGTTGTGCCTCGCTTGGTTTCTTCTATCGGCAAGACTAACACCTCCATTGCCTCTTACATTCACCCCGACACTCCTCTGCCCCCTCCCGTACTCGGAAAGAAGGAAACCAACCTTCTCAAATCGTGGAAGAACAACGAAGCCTCGCTCAGCATTCTTGACTTTGACCCACTTGAGCTCGCTCGGCAGTTGACTATCAAGGAGTCCCGCATCTTCTGTTCCATTCTCCCCGAGGAACTCCTGGACACGGAATGGACCAGGAAGAGCGGCTCCTTGGCTGTGAATGTTCGCGCCATGTCCACCCTGTCGACTGATCTCGCCCACCTGGTTGCTGATTCCATCTTGTACCTCGAGGAGCCCAAGAAGCGTGCTACTACCATCAAGCACTGGGTTAAAACTGCCAACCGGTGTCTCGAGTTAAACAACTACGACTCACTCATGGCTATTATTTGCTCATTGAACTTGTCAATGATCTCCCGGCTCAAGAAGACATGGGACATTGTTTCGGCGAAGACCAAGAGTACTCTCGAGAACCTTCGTAGCATCGTCGATGTCTCTCGCAACTACGCCGTTCTTCGCCAGCGCCTCCAGAACCACGTTCCCCCCTGTCTGCCCTTCGTTGGTACCTACCTGACCGACCTCACCTTCGTGGACCACGGCAACCAGTCGCTCCGTACCTTGTCGATCGATGAAAGCAAGATGGCAGTAATCAACTTTGACAAGCACATGAAGACCGCCCGCATCATCAGCGAGCTCCAACGCTTCCAGATCCCCTACCGCCTGACCGAAGTCCCCGAACTCCAGGCTTGGTTACAGAACGAGCTTGTCCGCGTGCGTTCTAACGGCGAAATTACCGCGCAAACCTTCTACCGCCGCTCCCTGGTCCTCGAGCCCAGAGAAGCATCTCGCAGCGGCAACACCCTCCAGTCGCAGTCATCCGACTACAACCACTCTCTTCTCGACAATGCCAAAGACAAGTTCGATTTTCTCTCCTGGACCAACCAGTCCAAGGCAAAGTCGGTCCCAACACATGGCTAACTTCCATGAGCCTACCTCTTACCTCACAAATTTATGACTGATGACCCACACTACCTATCTTGTACCTCATTTCACTTCACTGGTATTCCATTTTATACCCTTCCAACCACTTTTCTACCATGCTTGCTTGCATCATCCCATTTACCTTACCACCTCATATCTGCGATCTGTGAATATCCCACCATCTTCTCCAGCTTACACCTTTTTATTTCCGGGCGGCGCCTTTGATATCTTTTGTTTTCGCTGTTCTCGATGAGAATCTAGCATTTGAAAAGCGGCGATGGAACGGGGTCTGGAATTCGACCACATGGAGTTTTACCAGGGGCCTTTGCTTTTTTTGTGTTTCTGTGATATCTTAATTTATGTTGTATCTGTCTTCTTTTCGGTCGGGGAACTGGAAAATGGGGAAAGGGCGGATCTTGGGGGGTTGGGAAAAAGGGTTTCTTTTTCTCTCTGGTTTGGACTTCCTCTACACAGGACTTTATTAGCCTCGCGGCTTCTGTACAGGAGCTCGTCTTAAGCTGCCTGCAATGCAATACGCTTATATTCTATTATCTGTCGTCAATTTTCAATTCGTAGTCATAGTCATAGCCGTAGTCTCATCTTGTTTTGATATTGCGGCCCTGACCTTTAACTTTCAATTGTCTACACTGTTTTATTATGTCCAGTTCAATATGATAGCAGCCCTATTCGGTCATTACTCATACTCTGTTCACCGGGGAACACGCCCAGAAGCTGCATACGCGGAAGGCTTCCTAAGAGTCACGCCACATTGAAGACCTTATTCCAAATCATAGCATGGCATAGTATTCTGATAGCTAAACGACGACATATCAAATTGAAGCAATATCAAATCAAAATCCACAGTAAGCCGCATGGCACACCGCAATGACCCATCACTTCAAACGCATGTCCGCATAACCCAAGTCCAAACAAACCCGAACGAACACAAGCCAACCCTCACCCAATAAACAGGAATCACTGTCCAGTAATCTGCCTCGAAGCATTAAAAAAACATAAAAGCAAGCACAGGAACCAAATCCCCCTTCAAGTGATCCCTGTCCTTCAAGAAACTATCATGGCCCCCAACTATCTCATCCCCAAGCCCGCGCCGACAATCCTCAATCATAGGACTCCAGACGGCAGGCAACACGGCATTGACCCTAATCCCAAACTTCCTCCATTCCTTCGCTATTCCAGGTGTAAAGCTCTGTATAGCGCCCTTCGACGCAGCATAATGTGCGAGCAAAGGCAACGGCTCATCAGCAAGATCAGAGCTGAAATTCAGTATCGTCCGACCTGATTCCTTGATATATGGGAAAACAGCTTGATTCAAAAAATCCGGTTGCTTAACATTCACAGTGAGCATTCGGTCAGGTTGCTTTCCCGATTTCGGAGGCGTAGCCTGTTATTAGGATGCGTTTGTTTGTTATGCTGGGTATTATCTCGCATTCTGTTTAGGATGTGGGATAGTTGCCGTGAAGGGCTTTGGGACACATTGTGATTGAAGTGTGCGTTTGGATTGGAAGTGGAAGTGAAATTGGAATTGGAATCGATAATTAGAGACCCAAATTGGTCATTCCTTACATGGATCTCTATATATCTCTTTTGATGGTTCGTGAAGTTGAGTTTTCGTGGCTTTGAAAACCGTCCAGATCATGTATGCCCCGAGTCCGAGGCTAGGCTTTGGCCGGGGGGTACCATTGCAGAGAAGCGACACGGGGAGCTTGTATGAGGAACACAGAGATCTCGAGAGGCGCTTGTTTCTATCTTCAATGCATTGATCCTCTGGTAGAAAAGCATTGGGTCTAAGTCTAGTCCAGAGCTTGTTTGCGATGTGAAACACCAAATTTGCACTTGAGATGTCCAGCACAAAATAACTGACCTGAACAGTCTGTAAATGATCAATATAGTGCATAGCAAGAAGCACCAATAGGTAATTATATTGAAGAACAACAAGATCTTTGAGTAATTCACTGGCTGTTCCTGTTAGCACTTTCGAATTAACTTGAAACTTGCAGCGTCCACTGGTTCAGATGTGGGACGAGCTTGCCGGCATCCACGCATGGAAGCCTAAGTAGAAATTCTCAGTCCCAGTTAGATGATCCTTGTCAGCTGGACAATGGCCAATAAATCAGAAGTGAGTAGATCTTATGGATTTCCAGAGAAGCGAATGAACAAGATCCTCGCCCGATTTCCACCATTGAATATGAGCCGATATGGTTTCAGCTCCGGTCCGCTTTGCTAGCAATTATACTATGGCTTTGCTCCCTGATAGAGGAACCCGCCAATCGGTCGCTTTACATCTTCATTCGGTCTCTTGATCTTGTTCCTGCACCTATCTTTGCGTGCCGGGTTTGTTACTGTCATGGGTGGTCTCGCAATAATGCTATGGAGTTTGTGGGCTTTGCTTGGCTTTGTGTCTGTTTTGGGGTGCTGGTATATTGGCGTGGGCGTCGAGCGAGGCGTATATACCTTCCTACTGTAAGCTTCGATGGATGGACCGTGGCTAAAATTGAAACTTGTTTGAAGACCCTTCGTTTAGAGGTAGAGCATAGGGCTGATGGTGGTCCGGCAAATTGAGATTCTTGTTCGTCTGTAGTTTCAAGCGATTCCGAAAAGTCCGGATCGGGTTTTGTTTGGCTCGCTTTGTTTCTATGAACCCACATACTACTTCGGTTTATTGCGAATAGTACGAAAAGTTCTCAAACACAAGAGTGGAGCTCTTTGGCGAATGTGAACATTAAAAATCTTTAAGCTTTTGTTACTTGTATGTAAGATCATCTGTAAACTGACAAGAATGTCTCGAGCCCCAAAACTAGATGCGTTCGCAAGTTCACCACGTCACATAAACCTAACAAGCTTTGTATTGTGTCCGATCTGATTAAAGTTCAGAGTGTATCATGACACATTGTTATTGAAGATCAAAAGACTAGTCCTAGTGTCACGGCATTCCATCAGTTTCTATTTTCATTAGTGGCTGATCCTTGCATAAACCCTACGCCACATTTCCAAGGCCTCGGTACAAGTACTGCGTACTGTCAACTTACAGCAGACAGGTAAGTACTGTATTGTAAGCCCCAGACCGGCATGCAAGGGATACATCCGACAAACCCAAGTTCGGACCAACGCAGAATTCTCGCTGTAATACCAGATCTAAGTGGAAGATCTGATTGTCAGACATGTGATGTATTAGAGGAATGCACTTAACTATACGGAGAAGGCGTCAAAGTCCTGCAAGCTCAGGACGGATTGAAATTTCCTTGATGTCATGCATAGTTTATGCACCGTGTATCTTGTTCATGCTGGTTCATGCAGCCATACAAACCGCAGCGGGTTTGAACTTGGCAACTAGGATGCACCTCGCTTGCGGGTATTCAATTGTTTTTATTGATGTTATTGATCTTGCAGTGGTTTAATGTGCGTGGTGTTTTCATGTTTTGACCTGTTTTAAAGTGTATTAGAAATGGACGTTGTATTTGGATGTGACCCGAAAGCAACAGAAAGTGATTGATCATATGTAGTGAGAAAATTCAAAACCAGGGTTCGATGAGAGATTTTGAATGAGTGGACGACACCTGGGCAGCAACTTCCTCGAAGCTCCGGGCTTAAGCGGGCGAAAGCGATAGATCAACCAGCATGGACGGAGGATGTGTCCGACTACTGTAGGAAGATGTCAAAGGAGACCGACCCCACAAGTACTGTATGGCAAATCACGCAAAAAGGGCGATTTTCAAAATGTGTGAAACTTGGTTGTTCGGCACTTGTGTACAATAGAGTCCTTTTGGAAGTTCCAAGAACCAACCTGCCCGGCATTGTCCGTATAAAATCAATAACCAAGGGAACTATGTTACATACTGAGACCGGAACGCCTCCACGAAGTCCAAATCCGTTTTGTCATCGTGAGAGCCTGTTGCACTGGTATTCAAATGCAGAGGCAGGGGTGCGGTGGTGTTGGGGAGGGAACGAAGATCAAGTATTGGGACCATTGAAGGGCGCCCATGGGCACACTGGAATGGAAAGGCACATTGAGCCAGCTGAGCAACTAAAGCTTGGCACTCCTCAATGCTGAGGGGATCGTTGAACATGATAGCAGTGCGACAGGCGCGAGAATTCAGCAGTTCAACGATGCCGTCAGGGCATCCATTCATCTGCTGAACCCATGGAGGGGAATTAGAGCGTTTTGTTTTTCGTTTGGGTATCATATCTTCGCAGTCAGACAAATCCGAGCCCTGTTCCAGCTCTTTAGTTGCAAAGGGGCTTTTTGAACGAAATGGCTTCTTCTCATTCTCCTCGCTTGACCAAATCTCACGTCTCATCAAGTCGACCAGTACATGAGGTTCTAGACGACAGCGCTCAGCTATAAGTGCAGGCAGAGTGTGCACCGTTACTCTAGCAGTAGATTTGGCTTTCAATTCGGCCGTATACAGGATACCCCAGGCCGAGAAGAACTTCCTATACTTTTGAAAAAGATCACCCTCTGTGGATGAGACTTCAAATGCTGAAGAAGCGATTTGAACAGTTCGCACTTGGGTATCCTGATTGAGATTCGCTGTTTTATCGGGAGAAACAAACATATCGCCAAACAGCTGCTCAACTCGGCATCGCTCGTCCGCAGCATGTTGGTCAATTAAAAGCAGAACATCGTTTGAACCCTGCTCCCCGTCAAGCTCCTGGCCAGCAGTATGTACTTTGGCAAGAATGAACTTTTTGTCCACCTGGGCAATGACCTCTGCGGTTTGGAGACCACGACGTCGAAGCTTCCCCCGGTGTTTCGCAACCCGTGCTGTCTCCAGGGACTCAATACCCTTGAAACAATCATGTGAAGTAGCCCCATTCCGTTCACCAGTAGAATCTAGACCCAAACTTGGTATAGGCATTTCTGTTCGATTAAACGCAGGGTTCTCCCATGCGCCTAGTATGTTTTCTACCCAAAAGCTCTGTGTTGGAAGTTTCGACGAGGCACCAAGAGAATCTGTGGAACGAAGATTCCGAAGAGGCGTTGATTGTCGAGGATTTGTCGTTTGACCCGTGCGAGAGTTGATGAGATAGACTAATTTTGTATGCGGATCAACCCATGTAATCATCTTATTTGCAGACAGGTCATCAGAATCATCCTTCGTTCTGGTCATGTCTTGATCTGCGGGCTGTGACTTGGGAAACCCAGACGAGACTTCAAAGTCTAGGCAATCTGTGTCCCGGTCTGTTTCTGACCCAGTTAAAGTAGCCAGGGGCATATCCTGCTCACTCGTTTCGGATTCAACACGCGAATGCTGAATCCGCGGAGTAGGAAAATGTACCCGATGATCTTGTGCGGCTTTGGTCCTAGACCAATTGGTAAAACTCTGACCAGAATTAATCGATTGAAGTCTTGGAAACGATGGAAGTTTCACGCGGTCACTCAAAGCGTCTTCAGTCGTTGACGCTGTCTTACCCTGACGCATGGAATTATAAGCCATTTCGGAAACATTGGATTCTGTAGAGCGAACGCTCCTAGTCCGATCCGATGTAAGTGCTTGCCGCTTGGCCGTACGGGGTCGCATATTGTGCTGCTTCAGAAACTCGTAAACCATGGCCCCAAGCACATCGACAATGCGTTGAATTGACTTGTCAGATTCTGGAAAGTGCTCGCATCCATCATTGTCTCGCTGAAGAGCAATGCTCGTTTCAACGCGTATATAAAACATCGGCCACTTGTTGATAGGCTTTGACCAGCTTCTGGTACTTTTATCACTAGGAGCATCCTGCCGACTCACTGAGGCCGCTGGGCTGGTGCTCGAAATTGCGTCGGAGAGGGCACCAACATTCCCAAAGTCGGACAGCGTAAACAACCGGTTGACCTCATCGTACAAGACGTTCGAGTTGCTGCGTGACAACAAAGATTCTTTCCCTAATGAGATGAATTGAACTTTTCGAGTTGGGCTGGGCAAAAGGGAAATTGCTGCTCGAACGGTGAGATCAGGAACAGAGGCAGAGAGTTCATGCCAAGATTCTACGTGTCGGGAAGAAATCAGGCCCGATTGTGCGAGTATTGAACCAACGCGCTTGAGGCTGAACTCGTTATCGCTGCGTGAGACATGTAAATTGGATACAGAAGTGACACCAAGACGAATGGAGATCCGTCTAGTTTTCTCGGTATCGGAGAGGACTACTTTCGAGAGTTGGGGATTCGCCAACAACAGAGACACCAACGAGTATCTCAGGTTGGCCCACTCTCGGTCCATCTCATCAGACTTCTGAAGAGCGAGTGCTCGACTCTTGACACGAACTGGCATGTTCCCAAAAAGGTCATTGACCGTAACAGACGTGCCATGACTGCCAGAACGGAGCACTTGATGCGGCGGTGCAGGGGTCAGCCGCGCAACAGGCGTCGAACGATGCAATATAATGGAGTTAGTGCTCTCATGTTGCATATGATGAGAGGTCAGAGTCAACAAAGACAGCGAGGCCAGTGAGGCCAAGAACAACCCACGGTGGCCAAACGAGCCACTCAAATTGAATTTAGACGTATCTACCGCAGGTGTTAGCAGACAGTAAATAGCGCAAAGACATGCATACATACGGTGAGCTTTGCCGAGACCTCCCTTCGCTTCGAATTCAGCTGGAGGGATCCCATCGCCATCGTCTTCAACTATACAACCACCACATTTGAAGTCGACAGTCACGAAGATCGTACGTGCATTTGCATCCAAGGAATTCTTGATTAACTCCACAATAACACCATTCAAATGAGAAATTGAGGTTGATGACTTGATCTTTGCTATCACATCAGGAGGCAGCGCTTGTATTGGTTGAGAAGAAGGCATCGACGCAGTTGTTTGATAGCTTGGCATTCACTGTGGCATTTTTCCGCAGGTAATGAAGTTGGGAGCACGAATAGAAGAGTGAATCATGGTGTCACATGCCTTTCTCTTTCCATCTCTCTTCGAAGAAATGCGAATACCTGTGAATGAAGCAAAGGTGAAGATGCTGCGAGTATGGAAGAGGCAAAGGCACATGACGTCTACGGATAAACAGTCCTCCCGCCTCCACCTGCCTCGGCGTCCAATCCTCTCCCTGATCCCTTGTCTGCCCACAAGGGTTCTGAAGCCTGTACAGCCCATCATGGCTACTGCTGAAGTTCCTGCAAGGGTGCATGGTAAGTAGGAATCATCTTGCTCCGTTGAAGCCTGGCTGACCCTGAATGCCCAATAGACCGAAATGCACGTCGTCGCCCATTCTCCAGCTGGATGAAGCGCCTGGCGAATCTCAAAAGTTCCTCCGATTCGACATCAAACCGCTGGTCTAACAAGCGTCACTTGAACAATAAAGGCAAGAAGAGCGACCAAGCCAACAATCCATACCCTCTCTCCGGAACGATCAATCGTCACACAGGCAACCAAACACCTACCGACTCGTACACGGATCAGAATTATGGCTCGGAATGTCGCTCACAGAGCGGATCTTCTATGGTCCTATCAAACTATGATAACCCGGCTCCTATTACCAGTGCGAAATCGAATGCGCCAACTATTTCGACCAACGGTGACACCACTTTCTCCGAAGCCGCCTATTCTAAGGCGGGCACCTTGGCAACTGGCACTGAAGGCCAGGGAGGGGGAGAAGGCAGCACCTTTTCATCGCCGGCGCCGTCAGTTCGATCGTTGACAACTACATTAACCACTGTGCATTCGGCGGCACCCTCGACTCAGTTGTACCACACTCACAACAGTCACCATGGACACCACAATGGCAGCTCGACGAATGGGTCTACGAACCAGCAAATTCAATTCTCCCACCAGTTCCCCTCGACTTCATCGCCCGCTACTGCAGTACCTTCGCACCTGGTACCCCACCATTCAATGACTTACAGCACCGCAACCGCAAACAATGTCTTGACTGATAATGCTTCTCTCCTCACACTCGCAAGTTCCTCCAAGAGACGCCGCCGCAACTCTCTCGATACCAATGCGTCTGTTCGTGGTTTGGCTCCATCCTCAGTATTTGGTGGTAGTCGCGAAAGCCTTCCACTGAGTGTTTTGAGCGCAAACACAAATGAAGCATCCAACACATCTGTCTTCAATGCTTCCGGTGTTCTGAGTCGACCAAGCATCGTGGGGCTTGCTAGCGCAGAGCGCATTAGTGTTTATTCGGCCTCTGGCGCTACCCCACTTGCCACCAGCGCTGAGCGCACTGGCTTCTACACTGCCAAGCAGCCAGCCAGCGGTGATGGAGCCAGTATTCGCAGCGGTGTACAATCGCACAGTCGAAATGACAGTACTGCTGCCAGCATAATGGGTGGCGTTAGCTCCCCACTGGCTCTCACTGGTCGCATGAGCCGCAGAAGCTCCGGCTGGGGAGAAATCACCGGTGAAGAGGACAACAACGAGGATAAGCCGGCCGAGATGAAGGAGGAAGATGAGCCATCGACCGAAGACGAAAATGGCCTCAATGAAACCCGGAATAAATGATTACACATGGCCGATCGCCGTGTTTCTGCTGGTCACGATTGACTGGCGATACTTGAAGCTTGAATGACGTTACGCAAGGACATCTCAGACTTTAAGCGAATAGCGATTCTTTACTACATAATGACTTGATGCATAGGGCTTGCGGATTTGGTTCTCTTTAATGGCTTGGTGGCGTTCAAGGCTGGTACTTTGATACCCTATGCGGTATGGACAAATTGATCTTCACTTTCATTGATATTGCATGCCAATCCATATCTCGTGTATTCGTTATAGGCTGCCAGATTGCCTTTTGGTAACGAAAGGAACGTGTCCTTGCACACTCACGACCCAAGTCGTAGTCGTATCTTTGAATGCATGTCTCTCGCGCCTTGGTGCCAACCCTAGTCTTCACCGAGCACCACTTGATCGACGCCGAATCAGCATAGGCATATCATACTGATACACAAACCAAGCATTCCGATACTCCCACTCATGCTCTGGGTCTACAAGTTGAATCTGGGCAAACTCAGCACTAACAAACCAATGAAACGAGATAAAAGACCACTCACATCAAACAAGCTATAAAGCGTCGCAATCAACTTCTTGATCTCAAGCATGGCCAAGTACCGACCCATACAGACACGACCACCCCCACCAAATACAAAGTCAACAGTATCCTTCATACGCCGCTGACGTTCCTCAAACTTTCCAGCACTCTCATCATCCCCTTGCAGCCAACGGTTAGGGTTGAAGGTATCAGCATCCTCGCCGAAAACACTATAATCGCGGTTCGCGACGAATGGATTAATGCCAGCTTTCGTGCCTGCGGGGAGATACCGTCCGTCTGGGAGTGTGAATCCACCTTCTGGAACGACACGTTCGAGTATCATTGCGATACCGGGGTTCATGCGCATGGCCTCGCGAATAACGGCGTCAAGGTAGGGTAGGTCGCGGATCTTCGTCCAGGGCGCGGGAGCAGATATATTGGCCTTGTTTAGTTCGGCCGCGAGCTTGTCTGTTGTTGATGGGTTCTTGGAAAGGTAGTATACCGCGGCTCGCATTGTGGCCGAGCTTGTGTCGCCTCCAGCTAGGATGCTTAGCATTAGCCAGTTTACGATTTGGTTGTCGTCGACCATGTCTGGGTAAGTTTTCTTGAGTTGGACATATTTGTCCAGAGTGTGGTCGACGGTTCCTGTGGCGATATTCTTTTCGGCTAGTTGGGCTTGATATTCGGCCACGACCTTGAAGGCGTACAGTACACCAGTTAAGGTGGGCTTGGGGCCGATGCGCGTGATTGGGTTCTTGTCGAGGAGGTTGTCCACCCATGGGATTTGAGAGACCTATTCAATCATAAGTTTGATTTTGGAGGTGGTTTGGATGATGACAGGTAGCCCTACCGGTGCGAAATATTCAAGGCCAGCAGTTGAGTCGGTGATGAGATTATCAACATCCTTCTCCTGGTCAAGGAATCCATAATGGCGACCGAAGCTGAAATTGGCTGTGACATCCCATGCAACTTGACAGAGTGTTAGCCTCTAGATGGCCCCTATTTCAGGAGCGCCTCAAGGCATACTCACAGAAACCAATCCATTCGGCTGCAGGACAAGTCTTTCCTGCGCTATCACCATCTACAAACCTCGAAGCAAGCTTTCCCGTAAATTTATCCAAGGTCTCATCAATAAGAGGCTCATATTCTAGGACCTTGGTCATAGTCCAAAGGCTGCGAATCGGGCGGATATTTTGATTATGCCAATCCTCATCCTGCGTATTGAAGAGATTCGAAAGTCGGTGTCCTTGGAGCAAAACATCGTTGGGGCGATACATGTCACTCTATAGTCGCAGCAGGTTAGCAAACGCCATATTAAGCCATTAACAATAAGCTATACGCAAGGGGTCCCAGTATCCAACCTTCTTCCAGGGATTGCGCGTCGAATAGATCGTCCGAATAAGACTAGGGTCCGAAATGCTCACGCAATTCGGACCAATCTGCACAGCTGTTCCATACTTGCGATGCAGCTCGACGTGCTTCTGATCGACACGTCCACGGTAGGTATGAAATGCACGCCAAAAGTCCGTTAACTTGGCCAATGCTGGACCGGGGAAGGATCTCAACCGCGAAAAGAATATTTTCCAAATCAGGCGTGTCGTGAAAAGCAAGCCTAAAAATGCAAGACCTTGGGCCCACAGGGAAGGATTTGCGACCAGTTCCGACATGATCAGTGGGCACGAGTTGCATCCAAAGTACATGCAGGAGGCGCTTTAATTCCAGTTTCAGGGTGCAAGCCTGGCAATGTGGCAGACGTGAAAAATCATGGTTGACAGTAGCTTTTTAAACCCTCCCCCCGAGCCCCGAGCACTAGGGCTTCCTTAACGGGAGATATAGTTTAACGCATTCTAACCACGAGGAGCGAGCGGGGTATGGCGAAAAGGCGAACCGCGCAAAGACATTCTAGACAGCATTTTGCCTTGTCATCACCGGTGTTCTGGATACTAGATCCTAGCCGCATTAGCGTCCTGCAGACGGGGGCGAGCGGAATGTGGAACCCTTTGTTTTGCGACGACGATGAATGGCCGCTTGAAAACACCGAGACAACAGCACTGGCCAGAACAACCTTCAGTATGACAGCGGCGCAGCCCTAGCGCCCGAACAAGACACCAAGTGTCCATTTGGCCCCCCGATGCCGCACAATGAGGCTGATGGCCGTGCGTTTATTAGCCGGGTTGAAATTTCGCAATCAAGGATCATTAAGCAAGCCATTGGACCACTACCCGTAATAAGAACTACTGAGGATCTTGACAGATCCACCGCCATGATAAGCGAGTGCATGCATGCTTTCAAACTTGGACGGATCGAATAGTTGCTAGTGCTTATTGCAGCCTAATCCCAGAAATACGAATTGGTCCGCTATGACAATTGACTGGTCCGAACCGCACATAACGCCCGTGTCATATTTTGAGATCCATAAGTTTATTCCTACGAAATGTGATTCTATCTTCTCTGTCATGTTTAAATCCTGTTGAATGCCCATGGGGTTGTTAATAACCTGACTCTACGGCGCTTTGCGACTGGGGGCGTTGGATCTGGAAGTTCAGGTGTATACTTCCTATTTTGATGTCGATCAATTTTGAAAGGGCATTCAACATGGTTTCTACTGGGAAGGCGGATTTCTTGTCGGAGACCCGGGCTCCAACGGTAAAGGGTGTGATGTGGGTTATGTCGCTTGTACCTCTGGTCTTCGTCGGCATGCGCTTGTACGTGAGGATATACTTGCGGAGAGTGTTTGGTTGGGACGATGGCATTGCGATTGTTGCAATTGTAAGATGGCTTTACATCAAGAACTTCTTGGAGTTGGGTTTGCGGACTGAAACTAACGTTACTTGCACTGTAGTGCTGTCTGGTTGCATACGCTGCCGTGTGTCATGTCGCTGCTAACCTTGGGTTGGGTCAGCATCTGCTCCTCGTCAAAGATAACCCTAATAAGCTCATGGAAGTGGGGCTACTGTGCAATATTGGCGAAACCCTGGCTATCATGGCATGCACACTGGGAAAGACCTCTTTTGCTGTCACGTTGTTGCGCATTGTGGTCCACAAGTGGATGGTCTTCTTGTTGTGGTTTGTTATTATTACGATGAACGTTGTCAACATTTTGACTGCACTCTTCGTATTCTTACAATGCAAAGACCCTCGCCATCTATGGAATCCGATGATCCCGTCGCAGTGTTGGCCCTCACATGTCTTTACCAACTTTTCTCTCTTTGTTGGGGGTAAGGTTACTCGTCATTGTCCATGTATACTTTTGTGATCGATACTAACTTGGTTTCTTTTTTGTGCAGCATACTCTGGAGCTCGGGATTTTGTTCTGGCGTTACTACCCTGGACGATTGTTTGGAATTTGCAAATGAAGAAGAAGGAAAAGTTTGGTGTGGCGTTCGCAATGAGTCTTGGAATCTTGTGAGTCCTACACCAAAGCAAAATGCTTAGGATTGCATAGACCTAACTATTCTTTAGTGCTGGCGCAGCGTCCATTGTAAAGACAACCTACTTGGTGGCCCTCTCAGCCAAGGCAGACTTCACCTGTAAGCACAGCTCTTCATTTCAACCCGCAAGCAATTGCTATGTTTTATGCCAATCAAAGCTAATCACATAGATTCATCTAGGGGAATTGGCTCCACTCCTTATCTGGGCTGCTGTCGAGGACGGTCTAGCTATTACTGCAGCATCCATTCCCGCACTCAAACCTCTTCTTGTCAGGCTATTCCCCAGCTCTACGTCAGAGACCTACAATATGGCAGCGTATCCACCGAAACAGCCAGTACCAAGAGTATTTGACAATACAGAGGGCGACACACTGACAGATATTGGACATACTACCATTCATGACTCGGGGAGTCAGACCGCTATACTGGACCCAGAAATGGCAGTGCCGGCTTCTCCAAAGCTTGAGAGTATCAATATGACCACTGAGGTTTTTGTGACATATAATAATCACGGCACGCAACAAATCAAAGGTCGAGGTCTTGTATGATAGGTCTCAAGGATGCCAATCTGTATTGTTTATCATTTAATCAGCAATTAATCTTGGGCAAGTAAAATCTTACATGAAAAGCTTTTCCGTCACCAGTATTGGGGCTGTGAATTGAGACAAACCCCAGTGGAGGCCGCCCCCGGCAACACCCGATCGTGAAACTGAAGTGATTCAGGCCACATTTTTGTCAAAGCCGTTCTCCCAAGGTAGATTCCAGTTCCAACTAATCTACTGGTTATCTTCAGTCTTGAGATTCTCCATTATGTCTAGCCGTATTAGCGAAGTGGCGCAGAAACATAGCAGCCTAGCACAGAAGTGACAAGCGAGCACCTATACCATTACGACCAGTGTATCGCTGCGCTTGAGGGAGCGAGAATTCTGGATGACCAGGCACACCTTGACCATCGGCAGGGGCGAAGCCAGTTGGCGATACCGTCTCTCCTAGAGTACCTGCAATAATTGGCAAGCCGCGAGAAACACGTTCAGCTGTATCAATATTAGGGAACAGCAGTAAGGCTTTGGAGATCTTGTTGTTCGTGAACACTCTATGCCCCAAGAATTGAGGAATTGCGGCCTTGATCCTTGGATAGCGCCGACGGATAACCGCAGGAATTCCGACCTCGGAAGGAGCCTTCGATCTAGTCAACACGAAGCGTAAGCACGAGGGATTAGATACAAAGAACCGCGGAAATAAACGAAAGCCCATTTTCATGAAAGAGAGCTGGAATGAAACGAAGTTAAAGGTTCATGAAAGAGCCTAATAATAGATCAGACGAAAATTCCGATGTAATTCCATTCCCCATTCTCAATAAACTCCTTCTGATAGTCCTCAACCCCAAAGCTATTATGCCACGACAAACTTCCATGTCATCTGTGCTGTACAAAAGACGAAGCCCATCTTGACCAAGGTCAGGGGATATAGCACAACGAAAAGCGTCCCATGTCACCTCCATATCCTCGGGATCTGCATTAGAAAAGATAACCTCAAGAGCCACAGCGCGATAGACTTTGAGCCATCCATCTCCACAATGGAAGACACTATAACCCAACTCAGGTGCACGGGAGCCAGCTGAGGTCTCAATTTGTCCTAAGACCGCATGATAAAGCAAGATAGTGGTTCTTCTAGGTTTGCAGGCAAACTCGGGAGTTCCCCTTCCAGTCAATTGACTGAGGAAAAAATAACCGGGGTCGGTCCCTGTTGGCGGCTTGACTTGGGTGAGATCTAGCGGGGCACCACTTCCGAACTTCATGGGGACATGCTTTCCTGTAGCGCCTGGTACCCGAAATACAAGGTTGAGCTACTCCCATTATTAGCGAGAGCACGTACATCTATGGGTTATTTCAACCATACAGTGAAATCTAGTGTGGAATCGACAGCGGGTGGTGGACTTGCGTAGAATGCACGAAGAGGAATCAAGCCAGCACGGCCAGCCTAGGATATTGTGAGGAGTTGGGAAGAGACTTTGAGGTATCAAACGTACACCTCCTATCCACATGGATTGATCAAGTGCATTAGCCTGGGCTTCACGCTCCATACAATCTTCCCAATCGAAGTGTCTCTCGTTGTGTTTAACACCCTGGATCCAGTATGAAACCGCCCATGACTTCCAAGTCAATTGGATCTCCCCTGGAGATGCCGTATAGCCTGCGATAGTTGCATTGAAATTTGCTAATTGCCCCGGATTCTCATTGGTTTGCTGAAGGTGTTGTTGAATGAGCCCGAGGCATTTAAGACGTCGATATACGTTCCAACTATGCTTTGTACCCGCTTGGAGCTGATTCCTCTGAGCTCTGGCAGCTTTGATGTCTTGCCTAATTTGTGAATCAGCCCGGGGTTGCCTGTTCATGTTGAATTCTGCACGAGTCACTGAAATCAAGATTCTGGATATGGTCACTTGTAGAACGGAGTGCACTGGGATGTTGAGTCAGTGCTGCATTCTCAAGCTTCTGGGGCGCATACATTGCACAGCAAGCATAACTGAATTGACTTTGGTTTCTTTGTCCTATAGATGATGTTGTTCTTTGTCCAGTATACGCGCGCAAAGCCACAGCACGCCCAGTGATATATACTTCTTTGAGTTCACTATGCATGTGATCTCTCTTTGTTTCATTAGTTCATGATCAATCTCACAGAATTCCTGTTTTTCCAGGTCAGACGTAGGCAGCCAAGGAGTCTCGATCTCATGTGTAGTTCTCTAATTCCCACGGCTTAAATATTGTAGCAGTCATTTCTTTAACCCTTTCAAGTCCGACAATGCATAATCTTTAATATGCCTAGTCTCACTTGGGCGCGTCTTATGAATGATGAAACATTCTTTGCCACACTCGCCGTCCGTTTGTGTACAGTAAGATGTGCCTACATGCCTGACTTTGTCTGCCACGTCTGAGCGTATCCTTTCCGCTCTATTGACCAGCTATGCCACTTTTCGCTCTGTGGGTATAAGTCCCTGAGCACCTTGACTTTATCAGTAATCCTTACAAAAACTCATTCATGAGCTGAGCGCTATATATATATATTAGAGAATGAACCCGGCATTGATACCGCTGACTACTGATCTGATGAGATTTACCAAAACTCACCCTGCTCTTCCCATTTGCTGGGGAGAGTCGGGGCATCTTTATATTGCATCTTTCAGCCCCATCCCCTAGACTGTGCACAGTCTTTTACGTAGTAATATAAGGTGGCCCCCAATGTCTGTTTCGCGTACCTTTTGGTTGGCTCTGAGTCCATGAGTACTTGTCACCAGTAAAGTCCTTGAATTCTGCCAACTCTTGAATGGTCATGGGTCCTGTAGCTATACTTCCGAAGAGCTGTGGCTAAATCCTTTCCCTGGCAGTGTCATCACCGGGATTGGAGTAAGCAATTGACTTCTCGAAGCAAAGGGTCAATCTGATCAGCACAGGTAATTATCACCTATTATGTCATTGTCTATGACCCTTCAACTGAATGCACTTCGAAGGGCCCGAAACAAAACTTCGAATTTTCCAACTCGGCCTAGCTCAGTGGACACTTTCTTGTTGGATAGCCTCCGATCTGGGTCGAAATACTTCATCCAAAACATCCAGCGCTTGTGCCAAACAAATTCTTCGACAGCAGTGCCCAGCTTGTGAGAGTTCTAGTGAAGGTGCGTCGTTGATTGCTAAAACATAGAATCATTCATTTTACTTTGCCTTGTTGCTTTTTAGCTTAATGTGTCCGTGTTAGCAAGATGCTTTAAAGATACTGATATAGCTGATATCTCCAAAAGTGCATTTTAATTTTGAGTGATCCTCAAATTTTTGCCGGTTTCGCGATACTCATAAGTGGATGTGCGCAGTTTCAACTTGATCTGGCGGCCTTTAAATGGCATCTTATTATCGACTTGGCACGGTTTTCTTGCCTGACACATCTCTCATGCTTGACAATGCTGACGAAATATCTCTATAATCAGACCTTTGAGCGCCTCTGGCGACTATTTGCAATGGAAATACTGGCAATATTAGTACTTATTGTTGGTTAATTGCTCACGGCAAATTTGAAATGGTCTGTATCAAATCCAGTTGGAACTGCGATTACATTGAGATCGACCATTATCTTGTCGATTTCTTGTCACCACATTAGTCTCCAAATAGATCTGGTGTACACCTGTTGCCTCTGACTGTGAATGTAGAATGCAAGGAATACTCCTGACCGATGTATTCATGTCAGACTCAACGTATGCTCACGCGAACTTGTTCATCAATATCCGTGACAATTTATGTTCATAAGATGTCATGTACGTGACCTCTTTGGACGCCAGTATGTCCTGCGTTCCACTAGAAACACAAGGAACGTTGAATTAATTACAAGATTGACGGTAAAATTAGGATATAAGCATAAAATAGCATAAATGAATAAAGTGTGCACGTGGCTAGACTGAGGCTGCTGACAAAGAAGTGGGTCCTGATCGGAAGATCTCCCCATCATAAGGCTAAGGTTAAAGCTGCAGAACCTTGGTTTCTGGAGAACTTCAACTGATGCTTCGATCCCATGAATGTCCAGACTTTCGAACTGAAATGATCTTCAATACTCATTTCCTATGTTGATCGCGAAATTGCCTGACATGGAAAACAATCCACCCCGCAAAAAGGTCGCCGTCGTTGGCACGGGAATGGCAGGGCTCATAATTGCCTATATTCTTAAAAATGATCCTCGTCATAGATTTGAAGTGGAGGTCTTCGAAAAGGTAGAACCGCCTTTGTGTGACACGCGCTGCACCTAGCCCGAACAACAGCTAACTTCACCGCAACAACAGCAAGACAAACTTTCCCTTGATTCCGCTTCACACTCGATCTCGTCCCAAGGTGGCGAAGGCGAAAAGCAGGAACATCTCGATCTTCCCATGCGCGCCATCGCCGACGGTTACTACGAAAACTTAAAGCGAATGTACGATTATTTCGGGATCACATACGGTTCGCGCCGGTTTATTTACTCCCTATCAACGTTGTCGGACAATTCGTACGACCAAGTCAGCCCGTACTACGTCCATTCGTCGAACAACCACCAAATACCTCCCCTGCGTCCAGAGGGCCTATCATGGACTAGGTGGCTGTTTGAAACGTGCTATTTAGCTCTTTGTTATTACTGGTTCACTGCCTGCTGTTTCTTCGTCGCGCCAAGGACGTTCGAGTCATCTGGTGCAGAGGAATCTCTGCGTCAATATGTGGAGAGGATTTGTTTGCCTTGGTACTATGTGAAGTATTACTTGCTGCCGATGATGTCAAGTGTTACGACTTGCTCCCACGATGCGTTATTGGATTTCCCTGCTATTGATGTGGTTGATTACGAAAGGAGGACGTTCCGCAAAACACACTATACCGTTACTGGTGGAGTGCAGCGCGTGGAGAAAGAGCTTTCTAAGGGCATGAAGAATCGGCTTGCTACAAAGGTCACGTCTGTCGAGAATGTAGGGACAGAAGTCAAAGTCTCTTGGACCGACACTCTCGACGGCCAAAATCATTCGAAGCTGTTTGACCATGTGATTCTTGCTGTGACACCAGATGTTATCGGCGCAATTTTCGAGCCCCTTCGGAGTGCAGTGGCAGCGGTCCCCACAACCACCGTGCAGATTGTTATCCACCGCGACTTTTCCAAGATCATCGATTGCAGCAAGTCTCTCTGGAGACAGATTGCTTCCAACCGATCCGACTCAGCCCCCCAGCCATTCCATATCTGCTCGAATGGAGAGGCAACCGAGGCAACCCATGAACACCCATCAGCCTATCTTATTACCAACTACCCCATTGCCCCAATAGACCCTGAGAAGATTGTACATACCGCCACCCTCACCCGAGTTCTGCGATCACCCACCAGCAGACATATTGTCAACAGCATATTCGGAACGAGGGTCCCGGGTCAAGAAAAGAGCCAACTTTGGCAAAATGGTGATGGAAATGTCTGGCTGGTTGGCAGCTGGTGCTGGGATGGTATGGTCCTCCTTGAGGGCTGTGTTGGCTCCGCTATGAGAGTGGCGAATGCACTTGGTGTTCAAGTGCCTTGGATGCAATAGTTTTTGGAGTGGAGCATATTGTATATTTACGAGATTTACGTCCACATATTTTGGATTTCGGGTTCGCTAATTATTTATATGTATATTGTCTACAATAAGAACAACCACACTTCACTGTGATATAATTTTCAGTCCTGTTCAGCCGAGCTCAACCGGCTCCACAACCTGTTGCCCTGCTTGCGAAATACCCACAGCACCAGACTTAAAATCCCACACAGACGAGGTGAATAATCACGAGACTGCATGGTAGCGGGCACTATTTTTTCGAGTCAGCAAGCCGAAGCTAAAAAGTGTCGCCCACTACTTACGCAGATCGGATCACCTAGATGATTGGATATTGGTGGGCAAGTATTAAGCGGCCCACAACAGCTCGGCAGAGGGCCAGTTTTAATACAGTTGAATCCACCGGGACACTTGAATACAACAATAAGTCTCTGTGAGAATTATCAACACGCGGGTCAGAACTCGCGGGTCAGAACTCACGCATGTGTTCGACGGAGCGCAGTACGGTTCACTCGGAGGGCAACCGATACAACTACCAGCTACACAACCCCCACCTCCAGTATCAGAGCTGCACTAAAAGAGAAAGTCAAGTCAGTATCTGCGGGCCACTCAAAGCAGGATACGCATCTGAACAGAGAGGGGTCACAGCCTACAGTCTTGGAACACGATCCACAATGATTCGGATCAGATAACAGATCAGTGCACTTGCCATCGCAGCAAATAGACAACAAGCCAGTACATGGAGCAGCATTACAAGAGCCGCAATGCTGCGTACTAGTAGCCAAGTCCGTACAGCGGCCATCGCAGCAAGCAGGTTGCGCCCCAGAGCACTGTGATTTGTTGTCAGCAAGCCAGACCTAATCACATGTTGAATTTACTCACTGGATTGCTGCATGAGCCGCAATTCAGAGGTGAAACCGCCAGGTCAGTACATGTTCCCGAGCAGCAACCTGGGCGTTGACCAACACAATGCGGAGTATTACAGCCACCACAGTGGGCAGGGTCACTCATAAGATCGGAGCAAGCCCCGGCGCAGCATGCTGGGGCTTGGCCTGTGCACTATGGGAGTGAGCAGATGTGCTTCAGTAACTAATTGAAACTTGAAGCGACCTGGGGTTGTTCACTTACCGTCCTGCTACATGCACCGCAGCTGGAAGGATTGACGTTGAGATCCGTACATTGCCCAGCACAGCAGGCTGGTTGTATTCCAGTGCACTGATTGCAATATCATGTTAGTGAAAGACCCAGAATGTGAAGATTAAGCATATAAAGTTACAGCTTACGGATGGAGCCGAGCAAGATCCACAAGCATTGATATCCGAGCTCAGATCTGCACAGACTCCGTTACAGCATGCTGCAGTTGAGCCGAGGATGCACTCAAGTAGTCGGATAAGCTGTTATCTTTCAAGTAGGTATTTACCGAATGATTGATACTCACAGCAGCACCGCATGATCCACAGCTACCTGTGCTTGAAGTTGTGTCTGTGCACAGAAAGAAGCAACATGAAAGTCCAGGTGCGCACTGTGCGAGAAGCATAAGCGGTTTGATTGAGAATTTTCCTCACAATTTTATATTGAGCTGTCAATCTTACCAGTGGTATCCAACAAACACAATATATTGCATTTTGCGGTGGGTTAGGGGTCTCGATAAAAGTGGTAGTGGTTGCATTCAAGGGACCAGCATTAGTACGATCGTGAAACGTGATGAGCGTGCCTAACAAAAAGTCAGTTAACAGCATTTTTACAACACCAGTGCGCATTCTAACCTAAGAGCAGGAGGGCCGATGATGGGAGAGTTGGAAACATCATTACAGATGGCGACATCGAACGACGATGGCTCTCGTGAATGTTAATCGAGATAGCGAGATATGGAATCTTGGTAGATAAGGTAATGAAAAGTATGTTTTCTATGAAGGCAATAAGGCCTTATATCGCGCATTTGACATGAGATCATGCATCATAACAAGCTTGAAGTGGTGTGTGCGGGAGCAAAGACAGTAGATCTGGGCCCTGTTTCCTGTGGGTGTGTTACCCAATTTAATATTGAGGTGCACAAGATCTGAGTATATCTCGTCCCAAAATTAATCCAGTATGCATTTATGCTTGAGATGGCAAGGGTATTCATAATCTCGAAATGGAACACGACATCGTCTACGCTTGATGTAAACTCATTCTCCGCAAGCTAGCCCTAAAAAATCACTGTGAGAATGATTTTCCTCGGGATGCATTTGACAAGATTCAGACCCTAGTATCGATAAGCACTTGTTCTACCATGTATTAGGGCAAATGCGACAGTAGCAGCTCTGAGTCCACAGTGTGTGTGACCCGCTTTGGAGACCGAACCACCAGTTATGAGACCGTTGTCACACGCCAAGACCATTCAAGCTCATATTTCGTACAGAGTGGATTCAAACTAGCAAGTATCCGACGGCTTTGCAGTCAATTCTACAAACAAGTTTCACTTACTTTTGAAATGACTTTGAGCAGTGAAGGGTTTTGCTCCGCTCACATCCTGCATATTAAATTTGGGGATCTTAGTCGTGTGGGGGACTGATCTAGATATATCGGTCACTGACAGCGACTGCAGACAAGGTGGCTAAAGATACTCTTTGACTTGACAGGAAGCACTACTCGAGACCGTTTTACTATTTAAAATTGAGTAAGAAGCAATTTTTGTTATGGAACCAAGGACCGATGCAGCTTGTAAAGTACTCGCTCGGCATGTTGCAGATATTTAGACAGTATTAACTCACCGTATGTTGAGCTAGCCGATAAGATCTAGATTTTCAGAAAGAATTAAGCCTTTCATATATGGAGATACCGAAGTGAACAGCCCCTTCACTGCGTAAGATGCATTTGATTGGTAGACTAAATGCGGGGTGTTGATTAGGCGCTCTACGTACTTTACACGACAGAGACATGCTAATGTCGGCTAATCTCCGGCTTATGAGTGGGGTGATCTCGCTATACGAGAGATACAGAATCCCCCAGTTTCATTAACGCTTCCACCAAGAACGCCATCTCACCGAAAGACAAGGATCTCAAGATATCCTTGTTTATGTTTATCGCCATCCCAACTCCAAACTGTCGGAGCTAAGAACTTACTGTTGATACCATGGCTATCCTACCAATCCAGTCGGAGTTATTGGAAAGGTTTGTGACCTCCAAGATAACTCGCAAACGATGACTATACTTACATCTCGAAGACTTCCACAGCAACAAAGGAACGACTGGCGAGACGAATTTCACGCCAAGGGCTACGTCGTAATTAAAGACGTGATCCCAGAAGACCGCGCAAAGGCGTATCAACAAGAAGCCTTCAGCTGGCTCAAGTCCTTCAGCACAGAACTCGACATCGAGAACCCGGATACATGGACAAAGGAGAACCTACCAATCCAATCTAAGATAAACTCATTCCCCAACTATGCTGTGATGCACGAGAAATTCTTCTGGGAAGCCCGACAAGAACCCGGCGTCCTAGAAGCATTTTCCAGGCTTTGGGGGACGAATGAATTATTGGTCAGCTTTGACAGTTTGAATGTGACATTCCCCAATCGCAAAGATGTCCTGCCAAAAGCTGCCTGGCAGCATGTTGATCAGAGTCCCTTTCGTAAGGGTTTGCACTGTGTCCAGGGGATCATTAATCTTTCTCATGCTGGACCTGAAGATGGGGGTTTGATGGTTTATCCTGGATCTCACAAGTTGTTTGAGCAGTTTTTTGAAAGCCAGACCGACAAAGATACGTGGAGTAAGAACGACCTATACTTGTTCAACGACGAACAGCTGAAATGGTATGGGATTCATCCTCACAAGGTCTGCGCTGAGCCTGGTGATCTCATTTTGTGGGATAGTCGTCTCATTCACTATGGAGCTGAGCCGACAGACAAGAGTAGTGTGATTCGCACTGTTATCTATGCTTCTTATACTCCGGCTAGCTTTGCTTCTAAGGAGGCTCTAGCTACCAAGGCTGACATTTTTAAGCAGTGGGGTGGAACTACTCACTGGCCGCATGACAATATCGTGCCTAGAGAGAAGAGGGCATTCAGAGAGGATGGCACTCCCGATCCTAGAAATCGAGAGGAGCCGTTGAACAAGCCTGAAATTACTGACCAGGTGCTGAAATTGGCGGGAGTGCTGCCGTATTGATTTTATCAAGTATGTTATACTCTTTACAGAATGATGCAAATTGTTCGAACCAAAGCACCCCACAGTTCTAATTTCTTTTTTTAATCAAACCGTGATTTTTTCACTCGCTTTGCATTCAATCATGAATTCAGTCCCTGACCTCCCGAACCTCGGTCATATCGTACATTCTTGGCTAGTCAAACGCAGTTTTGAATTAAAAAGGAAAAGAGAAATTTTCATTGCATAGTACAGAAAGTAATTGATGCAAAAGAAATGAAAAACAAAAGAAAAAGTGGTTCCAGAGGGGGTCGAACCCTCGACTTTGGCGTTATTAGCACCACACTCTAACCAACTGAGTTATGGAACCCGATTATTGAATGACGTCACATCAAGGAAGACTGAGTGCTCACATAAAAGAATTGACCAAGTCAGCATTAACACGATCTATCAAGATACCCCAACGATGCTATCAGGCGACGATCTAAATTGGGCCGCTCATACTCCGGCTCAAAAGCATCTCGCAAAATGCCCACTCCTTTCTCGACAGTAAAACGCCCAGCAGAAACAGGGTTCGAACCATTCTCGCAGAGAGACGAATGTACCTCTTCTCAAGCCAATCGCAAATCCTGACCAGGGATAGTCAGTCAACAAACCGATGGTAAGTGTTAGCTTCCATACTTGGTCTCGCTTGCTCCAGCAAAGTATGTCTCGTATTTCTGTGAACCAACCGTGTCAGCTGCTCTCGTAGAATTCCAGAGCCTTTCTGAGGGACCTGCTTCTGAGGGAGTGCCAGTTCCAAAATTTCTCTCCGGGCATCATGAGGGGAAGATCCAGACGACAATAGCCGGGGCTCTGAAGCGCTGTCACAATATTATCATAGTGCTCACTCGGTTTATCAAAGATAGTACTGCTTAGCCCGATTGGAAGCTGGTGAACATCGATAACCAGTTCAGAAACATGGTGCTCGTGCTCTGCAAGCAAGCTGACCACCTTTCGGAATCCGCGCCATTGATCCTGTCTGTTTTCATAACCAAGGCGCGGTGGTGATGGAAGATTCCTTCATGTCGGCCATCCCCGTGTAGCTGTGATTGGATACTTGAATCCAGTTGGAAGTGGAAGTGACCGGATCATGGGCGTTTGGTACAGAGATGTCCCGATTGGCCAGCCAAGAGCAGACCCACGTGAGAAGCTCGACAGGGAGATGGGAAAGATGATTGGCAACGTTCATTGCGGAGGCCCCAGACGAAAATCCGAGAAGCCCAGCGGGGAGGCTGGAAACCTTGGAAGACAACTGGTATCAGTCATGTCAGCGGTGTTAATTTGACAAATTGGGAAGGCGTTGAGAGAGTTTGATAAACAACCCCAGACCTCTGGGTGATCGGCCCCACTCTAGCCCTACGGCAGTTTGTTAGTGCCAGAACCTGGCCTGAAGTTTTGTCTCTGTAGATCCTCTATGATATGGTCAAGCACTTGGCTTTGATTCGAACAAAATATTTACGAGATGGTTCAAAAATAGCTCAGTATCGCTAAAAAATCCACTTTTAACATTAAAAATTATGACTCCTTAGTGGGAATGCAGAATGCAAGTATATACATGTACACGTGTAAGTATGTTCAACGCTGAACAGTTTCTTCAGCAATAGCATCGCCCTCATCCTCAGCGGCATGTGATTCCTGCACAGCCTCATAGAACGGCGCGAACTTGCTCTTCATTCTCAGCTTTTTGCCGAAGAAAAGGAAGGCGATAGGGATTGGAACGAGAACGGCGGCGACAGCGCCCAGGAGGGTGGATGCGTACTGGATGCCCATTCCTTCGAACATTTGGCGGGAGAAGAGGGGGAAGGCGGCTGCGACCATTGAACGGCAGAAGGTGTTTGCTGCGATGGCAGAAGCGGCAAACATGAGATATGTATCAATCAGATAGTTGAACAACTGGATGAAGATGATCAAGAGACCAAAACCAGTGAACAGACCACTCAATGTAGGGACGATCCAATGGATTGTACCGCTGAAACCGGTCCAGCCGAACCAGAAAAGTCCTGCGGCGAAGAGAGCTCCGCCGATGATTACTGGCGGGAGACGCCATTCGGGGATAGGGACACCCCCGTTCGAATCTAATTTCCTGTTGTACCCCTGGCTAGCCCAGATAACGTAGGCGGCGGCGATCAACAAGCCCACCACCATACCGAAGAGGGGCAGACCTGCAACACCAGGGTTCATGCCGTATACACCCTGGAAAACAAGGGTGTAGGCTGTCAAGAAACAGTAGAGCAAGCCGTAGATGAAACTGAGGTAGATGGTAACAGCAAGAATCAACGGCTCGCCTAGTAGCAGTCGAAGGGGACGAGAAAAGTTGTTCACAATCAGCTCTCGAAGATCGACTTCAATTTCTTCTTGCTTGGCGTGAATTCCCCAGTTCTTGGTTCGGCGACGCAATTCTGAAGCCTTGGCAACGAGAACGACAGGTGGGTATGATTCGTGCAGGAAAAAGAGGTTGATGACGAACGCGGCGTACCCCATGAATGCGGGGATATAGGCGGTCCAGCGCCAGCCAAGGTAGGACATGTTGATGAATCCTCCGATAAAGTTCGCAACCAAGGGTCCGAGGAAGACGGTACTGGAGAAAAAGGCAATAGCAACACCACGCTGACGGTTATTCCAGATATCCGAGAAAACAGCTGCGACAACGGCCAATGGGCTACTGCCAAATATACCGGCAAAAAAGCGACAGATCATGACGGTTTGGACATCCTTTGCGACTGCGACCCCAGTGTTGAAGATGCCGAAGCCAAGCATACCAATAATGATAGGCAGGCGACGGCCTTTCAACTCGGATAGAGGAGCCCACATCAACGGCCCCGAGGCATAACCGGCGATGTAAAGGGAGCTGGAGAGAGTGGCTGTTACCAGGCCGACATCGAATTGGCTGGCAACGGCTTTAGAGGAGGAACTGAAAATGGCAGAGTCGAATGTGGAGCAGATACTGGTAAAGGCGAGCATAGCACTGATGTAGGACCTAACAGGAAGAAATTGTCAGCACAATCCATGTGTAATAACATATGCGCCAAAAAAAAGCTTGTATAATTGACTTACTTTCTCGTCACTGGCCAGTTCAAAGGATACAGAGGATCATCAGGGCCATCGAATTCCACCACATATTCTTCACGATTAGGAAGAGGTGGTGGATACGGCTTATCCGCGCCAAAAGCGGGAAGTGGAGTAAGCGACTGTCGCGACCTGAGACTCTCACCAACAGTGAGCGCATGCTGGGTGCGCTGAGTCTCAGTCCTGCTCAGTGCGCGCGAAACACCAGTCCGGTGGCGTTCCAAGTCAAGCTCTGTATTGCGCGATTGTAGCCTGTGCACCTGGGGGTCATATTCAAAAGAACTGCTCGAGCCTGTGGAGGTCGAGCCTGATGTTTGAGGCCTCTCAACCTCTGCCGATGATCGCTTCTCGCTCGAGTCAGGCAAGTGATCGGCCATACTGCCAATGTTGACCGCTTTACCGATCCGGTGGCTCGTTGTGGTTTCGCTGATCTTCTGTAGGTGATGCTTGACGTATGTACGGAGTACGTCTGCACTGTTGTTTTTGTTTGAGGGGAAATAAGGTACCAGGAGTTGTTAGTGAAAATACTTTTTCCACAAAGCGCGGGCCAATCTATTTATTAAAGACCGAAAGCATCAGTTCCGAATATCCGTTTTGGACCCACTCCAGGCCGGCTTCAATACTGGATGCCGACTGCCGATGCTTTGAATGCAACGTGGCTTAGCAATGTCTTGAATTGCAGCTTGTGACGGGCTAGGCAAAGTGTTCTAGCGTACCAGACTTGATTCCATCGGCTGTATTGCACATTTTGTAAGCCCTGCTAGTATAGTGGCAAATTGATATTTTTTTTTGCCCTCAGGCAACAAAAGCTTGGCATAAGCTCAAGGGTATTTACGTCACCATGACTCAGCTGCCCCAGCTCCGGCCCGGATCTTATTGACATGTGCTTGTCTGTGGAGTATAAGCGAAGTTAGCATAAGTCAAGTTCATCTGAATGTACATCTGTTGAATGTCATCTTGCATCTTGCTTCGGATTTAAAACGGACTCTTGAGCATGTAAGCGGAATTATTCCCTGACCCACTTGGGGACCACCTGATATATCAAATAGTGCCCAAATAACAGGCAGCCATTGAAAGTGGACCAGCAGGTTTGTAATAGCGGACTTCCAAGCTGAGCGAGTTGAGTGGGAGATCTGAGAAGATCCGAAATCCTCACCAGCATTTCTTTCCTGAGTATAGTGGCCTGTGACTTGATCTGATGGCATTGTGAATCCTTGCATATTTGTATGAAGCTGCAGAGTGGGGATAGGAAGAGCATTGCCTCTAGCACGGGCATTGGAGCCCAATTGTGGGGAACGTCTCAAGAACCCTCCCTACCCTGAAACGGTCACCCTTGCTTCATTTCTTTAAGATCACAATGTTTGTCGCTATTGACCGACTCACCTCCAATTCATTTTTCGGTTGAATGCCCGTCTCCATAGCTTGTTGAGGAACCATCCATGCTCAGAGAGATCCCGGGGCTTTTCACGACAATAATTGACGAGATGGTGGGCATTATTTCAACCCTCTTGCTCTTGCTCTGGGACTTCAGAAACACAGTTCACATTCTGATGTCTTCCAGGAATATCATGCCAGATATCGTGCAAGGCCATCAAAGCCCCTCGTGGTCGTGTGACCCACCCTCATTGTCATCCAGGGCTAGTCACAAGCTGTTGGGGTAACAAGACAACTGGATCCCGTAGAGAGATTCTATAGGCAGTTTCTTGATGCTGCCGGTTCTGACTCGGCCTTGAAATGACATATATTCTTGTCGAGAGAGGAAGGCAGCCATCCCTTGTTGTTCAAACACCCTTTGGTGTCCAAGAACGAAACTCATCAAAATTATAATTGCCGTTGCTCGTCAATGATGGATTTCATTCTGATGGCAGCGCTTCGATACCCGGATGTCGTAGTATTGGCCACCTGATGATAGTTTTTGGGGTTAAGGGTAGAAGGCTCCGGCACCACGAGGCCATTTGAACGGAGCAATTGAACAGTAGCAACTTCAGTAGCAGTTTTGTAAGAATACGGGAAGGTGCTGCAATATGGGGTTTTGATAATGGTTTGGAACCCATCTTTAATCGTCGATAGGAAACCCTGATTGCAACCCCGTTCGCCTGAATTGAAAAGTGCATTAAGTGTGCCATCGCCGACATGGTACGGGATCACTTCATGCTCACTGGATTGTACCGGTTCCACACAGACGCTGCTTCGTTATATAAAGCCACCCCGGAGGTATGTTGTATGAAAACAGTGGGTTGTCGCGTATTGTTTCGAGGAGGTATTGAGTCCAGACAAAAACATTTTTATACTCTTAGACAAGATTTGACTGGCCCACCTTTTGATGATCGAGACTAAGCACTGAACCTTTTTTTTACCTTGCTTGGCGTGAGCGAGTGAAGACGTCCATATCCACGTCTGCTAAGCGTCCCAGCGTGATTTGAGCGTGGACCGTTCTGTAGTTGCGCCAGCGTCTCATGTTTACCAGAGCTCTTGTACTTTACCCTTTTTTGGCGGCAACTTTGAGTTCATACAGGTCCTGTGGGGTTGAGATCTTGAAGGTGTAGGTGTGTTTGTAGTAGGTAGATGTTGTCTCTCAGGAGAACAGGCCTGGAGGGGCTGCATATGATTAGTCAATTCTCATCTTGACTGCCACCATCCTCGAAATCTCCAATGATCATATCAATTTGAACATCTTGAAGAAAGCCAACCTAGGCCATTGTAATAAATGTACGAGAACCACCAAACCCACTCTGACAAGGCTCACAAGGCTCGCAACCCCTAAGCCCCTGGGCTCATCGCCAGGTTCTCTCCCTTGATTCTTCTACTCTTGACTGGATCCTTGCTTTGGGATGTGGGTTTACTTCCATGTGAATCTTCGGCTCTATGCAGCGGAGAATGTTTAATCCAAAGGAAAGCTTGCCCCGAGAACGAGCATAGGAAAAAAGGTGCAAGAATTTTTTGAGCAAGAAAAAGCTAGTTTGTGACAACTACCTTACTAACAAGAGTCTATAATTGTATGTCAAATATTAGGATCATTATCACGCAGTAACGAAGTTGAAGGAAAACACCTTCACCCGGTTTATATGGAGGACTTCCGGTTCCAACCTCCCCACCCCCAGTCAGGGACTTGATATCTATAGACAAGACGGCTGATATCTCAGACAATCTAAACGAGATAAAGAATGAGGTAGGTGATGCCATACCTGCTCCCCTCCCGGAACATGTCGTGGAAAGAGTACGAGCAATATTGAGATGATAGTATGCGGACATAATGGACGAACTCCCTGAAAAGGACTTTTACAAGCTACCTGGTGCTAAAATTCGGAAACACAAGGGAAACCAAGGCCCAAAGAACCATACAAGAAGCTTATACACCACAACCACTCATTTTCCCTCATTTCCCTCCACCTTGCCCCTCGCAACAACAATGACACCCCTCACAATATCCCCCCTAGCCCACCAAGCAAACATCAATCTAGCAACCTTAAATTTCCCCATCTTCAAACCAAACGATACACCCTCCCCAACCCTTCGCTCAATGAAATCTGCCAATCCCGGAAAGCAAAATTTAGTCACATCCCTCATCTCAATTTGAGACCGGTCATACCCAGCCGAGAGTAGCATGTCCACATATTCACTTCTCGAAACGAGATTCCCAAATGGCGTATTCGTTAACCAGCACAGAACCCTCAACAATAAATTTTGATGCCAGGGGATGTTATCGGCCATGATTAGATCGAAGGCCATGAGGTTTGCGTTAAGGTTGTTTTGGGCGTATGTTAGAAGTGGAAGGCGGGTTGGTCGAAAATGGTACATTGTGTCTAGGGCTAGGAGCCATGTTGAAGATTCGGGGGTGGGCGAGGTTGTTTCAAGAGCTGTGACTGATACTTTCAGGTCGCCAGTCCAACATTTTGGATTTCCAGCGTCGGCGCAGAATATCTCTGCTGGAATGTTGGCGGTTGAGCTTTCGCTTTGGAGGTCTCGTAGACGGCTGGAGCCGAATGAAGCTTGCGCTTTTTCAAGTGTTATTCCGATGTAAGATTCCAAATTTGGTAGAGATGATGGTAGACCCTCTGTTCCAGGATGTCGAAAACGAAGACCTTGCCTTGAAACCTGTACATCTGGGCTGCCAAAGCCTGTTGAAGTGGGAGATGAAGTTCCTAAAGTTCTGTGCAGGTACAAAGATTGATCACCGCATCCGCATCCAACATCTAGGATCCGCACATAGGATGCATTCTCTGTTGATAGAGCTGTTGTGACAACTTGCTCTAGGAGGGCTTCACATGCTGTTGGGAAGTCGTTTGTGTGCTGGAGTGTATACGTCAATGATTGATCTCAAGATCACTACATAAAGAGTGTAAAATACCTCCCAATATCCCATATTCATCCACATTGATTGCGGTGGGAGTTGGATGTTGAGGACGGCATGGTCGAGGCCGTATAGCTTTGCTGGGGGCTTTTGGAACCCCCTTTTGAGAAATTCTAGCATGAATGCTATTTCAAGTTGAAGAATCCCCCTGACAATATGAAGGGGTAAACGCAACACTTGCGTTGGGGCGAAGTTAGAATATGAATGATGTTGATATTGAGTGGAGCTGTGTGGCGGCCCGTGCCAAGCCTTCTGGGCAGGTGCATTTAGTCACGCTGCCAATATTGTAGATTAACTAACTTTCGTTTCTGATCTACAGCTCATGTGGAGATTCGGTTTGGCATTACGAGATATTTATGCTAGGAACACGGGAGGCCGGTCAAGATGCATGGAGGAATAACAAAAAGTGGGTAGAAGGTGCAGATAGCCGGATCTATTCAGGTAAACTGCTAGTAATATCATCACTCATCCCCCTCGACCTGCAGATGTTATCTGAAGTAGCTCTGGCTGCTGGAAGAAATAATAGAACTGAGCCGCTCTAAACACTATGAAGAAGAAAGCAAAGGTAGTGGCCTGAGTGAACCAAATCACCCTTCAAGTCACCACCTGGAGCAGCAGAGTAGGCAGGGCAATCAATTAAGACAGGGGTTGCTTTTTTTTTGTTATTTTGAGCTTTTTTTCTTGTTTCGGGATTTGGGAACGCTTTAAGCAATGGTGCCCACGTCCTGCTTCAGGTCGGAAGTACTTGAAGCATCAGGTTTCTGTGACGCAAGGAACTTCTTGAACATGTCGGAGATATCCTGATCGGTCTGCTCATCCGTGCCGTTCTTTTCCATGATCAAACCACGAAGCCAGTTGTTCTCCAGCTCGAGCTGAGATACACGGGACGCAAGGATGTCGTTCTTGTCGTTGGTTTCCTTGACGGTCTGCTCGAGAGCAGCTTCACGCTGCTTCTTCTTGACACGGAAGCGGGCACTTGCAGCGGTGTTGCGGCGGCGCTTGTCCTCCTCTGCCATGTTACGGGAGGCCTCCTCCGCGCTCTCCTGCGTGGACTTCTGTGTGTTCTTACGCTTGGGGGCAGCGGGAGTAGGGGGAGACACCACACTCGAGGGTGGAGCAGGAGCAACCTTCTTGGGGGCGCTGATTGGCGCGGGCTGAATGGGTGCTTGGTTCGCAGATGCGTTAGGGGCGGAGGGAACCCCCGAGAAATGCGCGTCGTGCATGGGCTGCGCATTGTGGCCATTCAGCTCGGGCTGGTACTCGGGCATACCCAGGCCTTCTGGAAGATATTAGCATTGCATTCATTAAATTTGAATATTGCGTTCTGTCCCAAAATGGTTGAAGTCGAGTGCCATTCACGTGAAATGGCGTAAAAGCGGGGATAGTTCACGCCAGCCACAACTTTCTCATTGAACGAAATATCCCTGCAGTATGCAAAGCAGCAAACTCGAAGGGTCCAAGCCGAGGAAAAAGAATGGGGTGATGAACTTCGGAGCGCATGCGCCCGAAATTCAAGAGGCAACTCCATAAACCAGATTCACGAGAATGACGAGATTAAGGCAGCCAATGACATAGGCAAATCGTAGGCAACGATCTCGTGAACTTGACCGTATAGAGCTCGTGGCAGTGGTGTGATCAGGGGAAAATATGCAGCTCGAACTCCAACCATCCAACCAGGAACGCGAACACATACACCAAGTTCAGCCACACTTACCATTTAGGAAATCCAAGAACTTCATATCCGCAGTTTGCGCGGCTTGGTCAGGGACCGCATCCTGGGGCTTCGCACCATCGACGGAGTCGAAGTTGGGCAGACCATTGGGAAGACCGAAGTCGGTGAACTTGTCAAAGTCGAAAAACTCGGTGTTGGTGAACAAAGCAAGTTCCTCATCGAGACTGAAGGAGTTCTGCTGGCGCTGTTGCTGCTGCAGGGCCTGGTCGTAGGGCGAGGGAATCGCGTTCAGATCATCGATGTACTGCGAGAAGTTGGGCGCGCGGCGCCCGTTGTAGCCGGCCATTTTGATTGTGTCCTATCAGTTATGGCAACTGCCAGGGACTGATCTCTTGATATCGGAGGACAATGTGGGAATGCGCGTTGCGCAGGCAGCGAGTTGACTCAAATCCGAATGCGGCTGGCGGACTCGCGCGGTAAGTCAGGACCGTCGCGAGGTGGCGATTTGCAAAGGCGATTCCAGATGTGAATCGCACGATGGACTAGATGGAATGGAGATAGTATATGGAGAGAAGGGGAGTCTTAGCAGTTGGGACCACAAGTGGGTTTTTTCTTTGAAATCAGTGGGGGGGGGAGCCCGGAGGGGTGTGGGTGATGATTAATCCCCGATTTTCCTCATCCGAACAATGACCTTCTCTGCTGCTACTCTAGCATTCAGTTGGAACTTGTATAAATGTTCTGTTGATATCTTGCTTTCTTCCCTTTTACCCAAATCTTTCTCTCTACCCTTCCCAGTGAACTACAGTACTACGTACAGAGTACACTTGTGTGAGTCTCAATCGGATGCCGGTGGCCGAGGATCGGAGCCCACTTTAAATCAAGGTTCCACGTTCGCACGTTAATCCCCAAAACAGGGCAATTGCAGGGCCAAGCACAATTCATGCATAGAATGATGAGCTGACATGCTGCAATAATCACGTAGTCTCTAAACACTTCTTCTCTTGTCCTCCCAAAAGCATTGAATATCCAGCGACAAGCGCGGCCACCGAAAACGAACGCCGAACGGCCGCAACGGGCGCACAGGGCTCCCCGTATTTATAAGCACAGCGTTTGTAATCCTCATTCTCCCGAGCTTCTCCCGAACATCGCAGCAGCCCTCTCCACGGACGAGCAGTATGAAATATGGAAATATCAATGCCTAGCTTTCCATTTATATACATCCCTGTTAACCATGGTATAACGCTTGGGCTTCTTCTCTGAGGCACAGAGTCCGATCGGCGTTCGTTATGCGAGCCTAAAGGGGTTTAGCGCAGGTCCTTATTTGGCAAGGACGATCCCGATATCGCTCCTGGCTATACCTCTTGCTCTGGCACATGGTCGTTTTTCTACTGGAATTGGCCAATGTATAATGAGGTATTCCCCGTCGGATAATTCAGGGCCCAATAACGATGTCTTCTCTGTGGAAATTATATGGGATCATTTGACTAGCGCATCCCCATGCTGTACTACAGTATCATCAGGCTTTGGGCTTTGTTCAAAATGCCGATATAAACATACTGTATATGTGGATATCATGGTTATTTGAAATCATTTTATCATGTATAATTCATACATAGAGGAGGTGTTGCTCGACATGCTGGTCTCATGACCTGAAGATGACCATGTCAACTCGATTTTTAATGCATTGGGAGCACAAGGTCTGATGGCGTGACTTTCCCAATCATTTATGACTTCTTCACTATGTCTCTCAAAAGATTCCTGTCTTCTAGCTTTCTACGGCTCTTTCATTACAAACCCCATTGACTTACGCGTATCCGGTCGTTCTGCTGCGTAGACTCATCCCGAATTCGGAATCCAGTGCTTAGCTATAGTCAAGTAGTCCGAGGACGCACTACAATAATTCCAGTCATTAATAATTCAAGAAATTTCCAAATTCCAAGTACAAAAGGTAAGTACACATTGAAATCACCAATGTTCAGGCCCAATCTCAACATCATTAACATCAACACCATCGACAAACCAACGTCCAGTCCCATCTCCATCCGGCCCAAGGATGAGATCATTTCCAGACATCATTCTCTTCTCCATTTTACCATCTTTATCAAAAGTCCAATCTTCTAGCCCGTAGCATCGTGTCCACTTATCTCCATTCTCTTTATCCTGGTACTCATACCAGAATTGCACTGCGATACGATTGTCGGTAAACGAAAATAGCTCCTTTCGCAGACAATATGATTTCTCTTTCTTCCATTTGGCTGTAAGGAATTTCACAATATCATCGGTGCCGCGGAGAAAAGAGGTTCGGTTACGCCAGATGCTATCCGCTGTATAGGCTTTGGCGATTGCCTCTGGGTTTCTATAGAAGATTAGATTATGTATATCAACTAGATAGACTTGTTTGTGAATACTGACTGAGTATTCCACAAGTTTTGCGCGGCTTTGACTTTGCTCGTGGCTGTTTCGAATGTGAAGGGTGGAGTAATTGAAGCCATGTTACCTGCTATGGGCGAATCTGCTTAAATATATGTTGAGACGAGAAAAGACAAAGCTAGGGATTCTCAACCTGCGGGCTAAAGAGCTTGTTGCGGGTATTTGAATACGCAAGTCCTGGTCAGCCTTGCATGGTTGTCATCGAACGTACCCCGCCACCTTCGGCCCCGAACGCCGGGCTAATAACGCCGATTGTTTCACTTCACACGACCGTAGTACTAGCTCAAGGATAATTATGTTCAATTATTGATGTCCTTTGAGAGATAGTTGTTTGAAGCGAATGATTGAATGACTATCTTCCTCTCAAATAAACACCTCACCTCATGCAACCTTCAGACAATATGCGCTCAGCTGAGAGGTCAAGGCGAAGATATATTTGCTTTTGTACATCTGTATAGGTGAGTTCTCGGTAGCACCTTTGACGTCACACTGCAACCTGTGTGAAGCGCATGTTCAGCCTGTTAATTTCACAAAGTGCGAATGAACGAAGAAGGCGATAGCACTTCTACTTTTTCTCATACACTTACCCACAGTATATATACAGCGGTTTGATTTAAGTAAATTAGTGGTCCGTGTGGTATATATCAACTGTTCCTTTAGCCTTTTTCATGTAGGGCAAATGATCCGAAGGCAACCTGCAGCATAGAGCATAAAATGTAAGACATACAACAGAGGGCACCCTCTCTGGCTTTCTTTTCTGCTCAGCTGCTGTGCCAGGGCCCCATTTCATCAAATCCAACTCAAGAACAGTGTTCGGATCAACAATCCTATCGGGTACACAGCAATCTGACAGTGACGGACGAGCTCTAAGAGGTTCGTCGGGACAATCACATCCCTTGGGATAATATTGCCCGGAATTGAACTTTTCTTCCACAGAAGCTGTCAAACCCGAAGTCCCTCCTGGGGCAGGTAGCAGTGATTGGGGGTCATAGCCCCTACAAAGTCCGCAGATCAAACTACCTACTTCACTGCATCTTTCCTACCACCAACACCGTTTTCAAGAACACGACTCCAAAAACAAGCGTCTCTTCCACATCAATAATGGCCCAAAGAATCGCATACTCCGTGTCCAATCCCTCGTCCCGATCTTTAGTAGAAAAGCCAGCAAGTAGGGGTGACACAAGCAATCAGAAAACGGGAAACGTCCATGGAAGCCGCAATGAACTGCCATCCAACCTCTCCGGAAAAGAATGGGTTCAACTTGGAATTGATTTCGTCCTGTCGTGAGTATTCCGTATTCCACATTGGCATGTATGATCTCATGGCTTACAGACCCGGTTTAGATTAGAACGGTCATGCTTATACCGTGACCAAAACAACCAGCCCAATAGTCATCCATCGATCATAGAAAGCAAGCCACGGCAGAATGCTTCAGCTACACTAAGTTCTGACGCTCGATGGGAAGTTACTGTAGAGGTTTTTCAGAGGCTGCTTGAAATGGCTGGTGAGCTAGATCTGGATGGATATATTACACCTGTGCAGGCTTGGAATCGAATTAAGAATCATGATAAGTTTCAGCGGATGACGCGTGGCAAGTTGAACCAGTTAGAATCTTCTATGAGACCTCATATCAAGTGTCAAGGGTAGGTATATAACCCTTTCGTTGTTTATTGATATCTTCTAATGACCTGCAGATTTGCCGCAATAATGGAAGAGCCGATTTTCGAGATTTTGTTGAATCAGGTTCTTAATCAGTGAGAAGAGCTTATTGATTCCAATACACTGTTCAGAGAGAGAAAGCTTCACCAAATAAACTACATGAAATCATTGAACCTGACACCAGCGATATATTCTTTTTGGAGATACCACGCCGCCTCCCGAAGCCTTGCGACCAATAATATGTTCAAGGTGCCAATGGATAATATAGTTTGTACCAACAGGGCTCAAGATTGAGACTTCTCACAGTCGCAAATCGGAGTGAAACGATATGGAAGATAAGAAGGTTGAGTTGTTGTGTTCACATGTAAATAGGGACGGACCCACGATATTTTGGTGGATAAAGTAAATGGTCATGATTGCAGACCCAGTACATTTGATTCAATTGCGAAACCCTTATAACAGTAGACTGCTGAAGTGGAGGTGTATAGCTAGTTAATTAGTTAGTTTAGTTGACTCGGATCTCGACGCCGTAACGTAATTCACTGGTGAGCCGCCACCCCATCCAAAAAAACGCGTCATTTAAATGCATTTATCTCAACCAAAACGCCATTAAATGCAATAAGCTAAAAAGAAATTCTATCAGTACATGTAGTCAATTTATGACCCTTAATTCCACATAAGCTGCACGTCGGCAAGGCTCTCGTACGTGGCTGTAAAGGTGCCGGAGCCGGCCCGCCTCACGGGATACTTGTGCTAAAATTTCTCTTAAGGTGGAGGCCTCTAAAGCTGAGAGGCCTTTTTCGGAAGGTATTTGCCTCATAGAACGAGTCTTTTTCTGCTTCTTCTTCTCGTTTTCAGCGCGTAAATCGCTTACTTCTTTCTCGAGTAAAGCAACCGATTGCATCATCATTTGGCAGGCTTTTAAAAGCTGATTGATCGCGGAATCTAGCAGGCTTGGTGGGGTTTTCGAGCGCTGTTTTAGCATAGCTTTAATCGAGGAAGCTTGCTTTTGCAATTGGACGTAATTCGATAGCGATTTTGGCTCCCACTCACTAACACGGCTCGAGGGGGGTTTCGGGGTCCGAAGGTGAATATTGAGCTTAGAAATCACTCGATCGGGGTTGTAATGTACTAGACCGGCGGCGGCGAAGCTATCCCTTAGAGTCTCCGAATTAAATACCTTAATTCGCGCGGACGGGTAGGCTTTAAGGAAGTCTAATTTATCGATATAATTGATCCCGACCCGTATTTTCGTTTCCAAAAGCCGACTATACGCGCGCTTTAATACCGCAAGATAGCTAATATCGAGAGGCTGTAAAAGGTGAGACAAGTGCGGAGGCATACAAATTGCGATAATATTGTTCTTCTCGCAAATTTCGTCGAATTTCGGGGTTAAATGACTCCCGTGGTTGTCGAGTATCAAAAGTCTATACTTTCCTTTCGTACGTGAAGAAGTAGACGGAATAAAAATCTTTTCGAGCCACCGAAGGCTAATTACGTCGGAAGTCCACCCGTTTAGACTAATCTCGAGTCTCTAATTACTCGGAAGGCTCTCGAACCAAGATTCGAGAAAGACTTTGCCCTTAAGAATGATACACGGAGGAAGCACCCACCCCGACGCGTTTATACACTTAATCGTAGTCACCCACGCGCGGTTTCTAGGCTATAAAAGTGATCTCCGACCGTAGAATTCCTTTCTCGTAACAACATTTGCGGTCGTGGTAAGACCTATTGCAAAGCTAGTCTCGTCAAAGTTATAGATATCGTCGGGATCGATCCCGTACGTGAGAACCGTTTTTTGAACAAGAGAAAACCATTCAGAAATGATTTTAGGGTCTTCATATTTAGCACGCTTATAATTGTAGCATCTTGAGAATCGGGAGGAAAGGTTAGGATGCCTCTTAACGTAGTTTGTGACCTAGTTTTGGCCGACCGAAGGAGGGGGGGTAGATCCACGCGCCGCGAGTAGTAAATCCGCCATCTTTCGTACAGTAGAATACCGAGGTGCTGCTCCACGAGAGTCCATAGAGAGAATCCATTTTTGAAGAGAATCTTCTTCAATTTCCGTCAATTTCAGGTTATTTACGCGAGAAAACGCGCGGTTTTGAACCCTAGTAAGACGGTTCCGTAGAGTTGAGCGCGCGGCACTTCAAAAGTCTTAGCAGCGAGAGTAATAGAGCTTATTTCGTGGTTCTGAATAGCCTGAATAGCTAATGAAATCTTGCCCTCTTGCTCTGTACGTTTTTGAGAGGATTTGGTACGAATTGGTGGCATAGTGCGTGGTTGAAGAAGAGAGGTCTAGTTAAACTGACGCGTGTTATAGATAGGGTGCGGCTCACTAGTGAATTACGTTAGTTATTTAACTAACGTATTTCACATGCGAACCGCCTAACCCAAAACACTATAGTAATCACGATGTTTTACAACCTGAAAAGTCAACAACGGGAGCTTAACTAATACTATAAGCCGTACACATATATTCAAAATAAGGAAAATTACGAATCTTAGAGGTTAGGATTAAATCAATTGATGTTGACTAAGATACATCTTTATATGTACTGTTAAATTCAAAATTACGGCGCAATTTGTTGTACCACCCCTGAAAACTTATCTAGATTGCGGTAAAATAAGCTGCGACATCATTTAGAAGCCGAATATTTCAGACCTGGCAAACAAACCTGACAATATTGTAGTTGTTGAGATAAAGGGGTATACAATATCGCGCTTACTATGGGTGTTTCGGGGCTGGCTTGTATGCGGCTCGCATGTGAATTACGTTATCAGACATGAATGGATTATCTAATACGATCGTGAATTCTTATCAGCACGTGCCTGTTTGTTGACAGCCATTTTTGACGCAAAAGAGCTCGAGAAACAATACCCCAAGCCCTGCGCCGAAGGATATGCGGCTCTGTTTTATCTAAGAGAGATTCTACCCAGCCAGGTTGTCCACACAACCCTCTTCACAAGTTTGGTTATGGCGCGTCCAAAAACAGTTCGCGCCCCGACAACAGCCAGTCTTCCAAACAACCTCCGCATCCCCTCATCGACCCCCTCGCTCTCAAAAAACCTCGGCAAGCTATCCAGACAAGCTCTACTAGATCTGGCATTCTTATGGCTCAACGACCGCAACATTGCCTCATTCCCACCTTACCTACAACACGATGAAGAAGTCGCACCAGATGAAGACGAAGCCCTACCCTACCCCGCCGCAGCGACAATCGAGGAAGTGCGCCAGGCATATGAAGACCTCCAAGATCGAAAGGGCGGCAAGCGCGAAGTCCTCGAACGGATCCTTGAAGGCGATTGGCGACATGGAATCACATTGCGACAACTAGCAATGGCAGATCTACGCTACATGGACGACCACCCAGCCAGTCTTCGATGGACAGCATTGGAACTCAGTCGTATCGACACGAAACAGAAAAAACCCGAAGAAACACCATCAGCCAAGTGGTCCGGTTCGGTTCCGCGCATGCAAGCTGCAACATTCGTTCAAAGCCTCCAACGGGAAATCTCCCCGCTCGTCAAAGCACATTACCATCTCGGCCGCTCAGGAACACTTCCTTTAACAATCCTGCGGATATTCGTCGTTGACTCGCCATATCAATCTCCACGACAGGCAGCTGAGATCTTCACTGAATCCTCGCGTGTCATCTACGTCGCTTTCCCGGATAGTTGTCCATTCGTGTATACATCCATTGCGACATCTACAGGATCGAAAGCAGCTCCAGCAGCTAGCTCTGTTACAACTGACACACGAACCCTTCAGCGCCTGGTGCGCGATTCTATACCCAAAGCTCTTTCCAGACCACAGGAACGATTCACCCTGAAGGCTACATCGCTGGCAGCAAAGAATCTACCAACACTCCTTGCACTCCGTGGCCCTGGACGCTCAGCATTTGCAAATGGAGCATACAGTATCTTTGCTGATGCGGTCATTGAAGGGAGCCCCCTTGATCCACGACCTTCAAATACAGTCACGCCAGAAGAGCATATCAAAACAAGTCACCAATCTCCCACAGAAGAAGGAATTGAAAAAGAAAACGGCAGTACTGGAGAAGTCTCCTCAAAGCGCAAATCCACGGGGAATGAAACAGCATTCCTGTCTCCAACCTCAAGGAAACGCCGCCTGGCTATCCATTCCAGATTTGGAACGTCGGGTTCATCACTAGCTCCCGCGCCACTGGACCGTCTTGACGTCCGTCTCCTCGACAAGGTACGTGCGGGGAATGAAGATGAAGCCAATGAGCCATCCGCCTCAACGTTACCGGCTGTATCCCTAAACTTCGCCGGCTCAGATGTCATCACTGGTATCCGCAAGCTCGCAGAGCTAGGTATCATCGATCCAGAACGTATGCCATCATGGATGACAGGCGACGAGGGTATAAGTGTAGCGACTATTCAACAAGGTCGACGGCTGTAAATGGGTAGAGAGATCTCTTGGTGCTCTGGGCTTTTTGGTGTTGACATTTCCGGAGTCTATTTATTGTTTTGGGATTTTGGGGGTTTGCTGTGATACCCACATTGGAATGAGTGAATCACTCCTGTGAATTTTGATATCTATATTGTCTGTAGAGAGGAACAAATTTTTGAAGCGTTGCATGTCATGGCATATTTTCGTTGCCTGTGTAGGCTTGCCTACTGCCGCGGCTATATCACGATATCTTGGCCTTTACAACGAGTGCATGTTTGGTATTTCTAAAGCTGTAGATATTGCATTTTCTTTTCAGACCGAGTCAAGTCGGCTACTAGTCTCTACTCTTACGGTACAGAATTGCCTCCAGACATGTCGACAGCCACGTAACCAACACCAGCAAAGCCCACATCGAATACAGAGGAAGAAAATATAAATGTACACCATGGATCACCAGCAGAGGCCTGGGGCGTAGTGGTAACTCGCACAGTGCTGCCGAAGCTTGATCTGGGCCGACACCTGAACCACCGAGGATGACCTCGAGATCCGCAATGAGTGCCTTCGGGGAAGGGACAGGGACGAGAGAAGAAATGTTCACCATGGATCACCAGTAGAGGACTAGGGCATAATGGTAACTCGCACAGAGACCGAAGCCACGGCCGCGAAGCTGTAGCCGAAGCTTGATCTTGGCTAACATCTGAACCATCAAAGATGACCTCAAGATCCGCAGTGGAAGGCCGTGCGAGGGAGGGAAGCAGAAGGAGAGGGAGCGATGAGGTGAGAGGGAAAGGGAAAGAAGAAAGCGAAGGGAAGGGGAAGGAGAGGAAAGGGAAGGTAGACATAATAAATGTTCACTATGGATCACCAGTAGAGGCCTGGAGCATAATGGCAAATCGCACAGTGGCTGAAGCTGCCACCGAAGCAGCACCTCAAGCTCGATCTGGGCCAACACCTGAACCGCCAAGGATGTGTCTTGAGATCCGTGGTAAAAGGCCGTGAGGGAGGGGGAAGCTACAATGGGGGTGGTGAGGGAAGAAAAGAGAGAAGAAGAGAGATGTGAAGAAGAAGAAGAAAGAAAGAAAAGAGGGAGAGGTGGGAAAGTTGGGGGTACTTGTACCCAGAGAGGTGCCTTCCTGATTTGGAAGGGTCATGGGGGAATGTTGCCTACGATTATCGGTGGGCATTTGTTGTCTAACACAGTATTATACTAAGGAATAAAGCAACACAGAAAATAACACCCTCGCAAGTGTAGTAATCCCCAAAGAAATGCTTCGTAAGTTCGTAGTTCAAATCACTTTGAAAGAAAAGAGCAACCATAACACCAGCAAAATAACCCGGTAATCTATGGAAAAGAGAAAATCCTCCGAATGAGATACATTTTCGAACTTTAGATCTCGACAAAAGGCCAATCCTTTCGCCAGCTTTGTTGGCAACCACAGACTATCCCCCCGAGATGGCGAAATGGTCTGTCAAAGCTCCGAATGATGGCCCTTGGGCGAGGGCATGATGAACAATCGTCTCTGGTGGCGAGAAAGAAGGGCATGTAGCCACGAATCTAAGCGTTAGGACTTGGCGGATTGTTAGCACTCGTGGAAGAATTAAATCCCACATTGGAATCCCCAATCCCAAATATGTCGCCGACATTGACGTAGCCATTTTTGCCGTGGAAGCCACCTTCCCGGAGGCGTTCAAGGTTCGGACCAGGGTCAGTGAATCTCCATGGGATGCGGCTGCGACATTATCATTAGAAATCTCATAAAGTCCTTTTGTGGACAACAGGGATACGATCACGTACCAGTAGGCGCAGCGCACGGCCAAGCCGGATGCTTTGTTAGTGGTTGCCCACCGCTCAAAACAGAGCTTGTGTATGTTATTCCCGCATCTAACCCTGCACCAGGTGACTTCTTCGATGGAGTTGAAATCCATGGAACAAACTGGACAAGGGCCTTCAACTGGCTTTCGGGCTTGGACGACCTTTTCTGAAGATACTAGCTCATCGTTGTGTAGCGGAGAGGCAACCAGCATTCTGGACAGTTCCTGTAGCATGGCCAAATGAATTAAAGACATGTAAGGATATCGAATGATAGTATCCTGGGTGGTCATTAACATACGAGAGGGAGAAAAGACATCTGAAATTAAAGTTCCTCGGGTGCCTTCAGCACGTTTACCAGGACTTCATATTTTACCTATTAGCATATGATGGACAGAAATGACACAACTAGACGTACCGTATATGATATGTTTGCACTGGCTCAAGCCCCTCCGGTATCTTGAGTCGGGACAGTCACACCTGGGGACTTTTTCAATATGTGTTTTGTAGAGATTGCCGGTGGTTCCCACAATGTCAAAGGTGACCACTGGTACATTGCCCACATGGCCAAGAGTATGGTTGACGATGAACATCCTAACAGAAGTGTCAACATCCCCGATCACCGGTCAGATTACCAAGGTACTTACTTTTCAGTTTGCGCACGATATGCCCTATCCAGAAAGGCTTTTGGAGGTTCCTCAGGCCAGTTGCGAGGACGCTTCCCAGAAGAAGGTGCCGGGTAATATTTCATGCCCGATTTGGTGATCTCAACCATTTTGGCTTCGCCTGCGTTGACACCTGCCATAACCACGCCGGCATGGCTCAGGTTTTCAGAAAATGTGGCAGGCGGATTGCTTTTAGAGGGTCCTTCAGCTTTATCACCTTTGGTGGTCTCTGGGGCGTTTGAGCTGACCTTCTTCTGAGCAGTTGTGCTGGTCTTCTTGGTCGTCTTGGCCACAGGCTTCTGTTCTGTCGCGGGGGCATTGTATGCCAGACTAGGCTCAGATGGAGGGACAGATGATCTCTCACTCCCCTTTCTTTTGTATGGCTTGGTTGGTTTGGTTGAATTTCCAGGAGCAGTACTTGCTTCCGGGGCATCAACCGCATCCAACAAGGCTCGTTGTTTCCGAGTGATGGGCATTCTGAGTGGCATAGATATCGTGAGGAGACGAAGAAACAAAGGTGGAATTAAGGCGGTTCTTCATTTTGTATTCCTCAGTGTCTAACTTCTGAAAGAACAAGCAGGAAAGAGCCATGTCTATAGATGTTTGCATTGTTTGCTGAGCTTATCGCTATCGAACTGCTCTGCCTCTGCGCTCTACACTCTGCGCCTTCATCGCTGCGACATGCTAAGCCAAGAGTATAGCTAAATTACGAACTGTCTGATCGCTCTGGATCTTACTTTGCTTCCATGTCGCGTCCTCGGGCCCTGTCGGGCGCTGACGCCCCGAAAGAACCACATGCGGTGTCTCTGAAAGGTACGTCACATCTACAAGTGCAATCAAATCGATTTACTAACTACTAGGACAGTCTTACGGTGACTAAATCTATTCCATCAAGCACATGGGGCTGTTCTGACTCCTTGCAGCTTGTCGCGGCCGTCACTTTCTTACCAGCACCCCCTCCCAGCCTCCAACAACACGATCTCCACGAAAGCCTCTCTAAGTTACCCGTCTAATGAATCCGATGACCAGTTTACATTAGCTCCTCTTGTGAGATTACCAAGAGCTTCCCGATACAGAACCACTGTGCTAACGGCAATAGCTTACACTACCCCCCTCCTTCGGATCCGTCTACGTCGGCGAAACCTTTGCATGTACCCTCAGCGCAAATAACGAACTTGACGATGACGACGATGAAAGAGTCCTCAAATCAGTCCGCATCGTGGCGGAAATGCAGACACCATCTTCAGTAACGGTTCTTGAACTTGAGCCACCGAGCGACTCGGCCCAATCTGACGGCCTAAAGATCGGCGAGTCATTACAGAAGATTGTACGATTCGATTTGAAAGAGGAAGGGAATCACATCCTGGCTGTTAGTGTCAGTTACACGGAGACGAAGATTGGGTCCGATTTCCAGGCAGCCAGCGGCCGGGTCAGGACCTTCCGCAAATTATACCAATTTGTGGCACAGCCCTGCTTAAGTGTACGGACCAAGGCCTCTGAGTTACCGCCATTGGAAGTGGACAACAAATCACTTGGACCGTATGGGAAAACAAGGTTACTCCGATTTGCCCTGGAGGCACAACTGGAGAACGTGGGAGATGGCGCGGTGGTAGTTACGGTAAGCCCCCTTGGAATGCACGCGGGTGTCCCGTCAGCAAGGACAGTACCTGAATATCGGGCTGAAAATGTTTGATTTGAGTTCGACTAACACGGGGGATGGACAGCAAACCAAACTCAACCCCAAGCCACCGTTCCAATCGAAATCCCTGAACTGGGACGCGACGAGCCCAAATATGTCAGCGGCGTCACCACCGACACTTAACCCGCGCGACGTGCTGCAGGTTGCCTTCCTTGTGGAACAGGAAGAAGGCCGAGCCGAGGGTCTCGATACCCTCCAGAAAGATTTAAGGCGCGACGGTCGTGCCACGCTAGGCCAGTTGTCGATCGAATGGCGCGGCGCCATGGGGGACAAGGGGTTCCTAACCACGGGCAACCTCATGAGCCGGAAACGAGCCTGAAACGCGGTGTGCACGACACCCGATCCCGTTCCGTGCCACGAAATGCCGAGTCTGGCGCAGCCTGCCGAGCTGCATGGACATGGGCGATTTGTACAGTCTCTGGACCCACTGGTACACAATATGACCATTGGCCTGAAAACAGTATAACTGTAGACCTTAAAGTGATATGGTTCTCATCCATATGAAGTATGAGGCTGATAGCCCTAGCGCCCGGAAAGCAGCCATGCAGCCCAAGCTTAATTTTCGCACAAATGCCAAACCCGACCCAATCCCTGACAAAGAAAAAATGGCCATTTCTGTCCGGTCTAACGAGCCACGTACACAGAACAGGGAAGGTTCTTTTTGGGTATGTATACAGGAGTCTGCTTGAGTCGAGACCCGTAAACAAAGGCCTAGACTCGCAGCTGATAACTGCCACACGCGGCAGGAAACCATAACCACAATAGTTTCTTTATAGTTCTTTCAGCTTCTACTACGGAAATATAGAAATAATCTATGTGTATCAAAACAGCAATTTAATCCCCCAAGGCCATGTAACCCAGTTGAGTTAATTAACTACAAAGTTCAATCCCTTCGGCCCCCACCGCTCGTTCTCGTCTCGAGACATGTCTACGGGCAGATGCGGGTTGGATTAACCTTGTCTCATACCCCTTGAATGCAGTCGGACCAGACGGCTGCCGGTGCATGTGCCCTATCCTTATGCAGGTAGCCATGTCGACAAGGGATTATATTCACAGTCACCGAGGAGTTTAGGTTATACGTTGCTACGAGGATGGAGAATATAGATCAGAGACATACTAATTCTAGTGAAGTCTCACTACTACCTTTTGTTCAATCAGATAATATTCAAAATATATACCAAAAACACTCCACTCCCAAGTTGAGTATTGATCGTCTCCCCGGGAACACTCTCCACTTGGCAACTGGTGCAACATCCATGAGATAAGTATTCCTAAGCATGACCAACCAGCTGCTGAAGGATTTAGTCTAACAATGGGGTACACAGTATACACATACACCCTACCGAGTCGATGCTGCAGTATAGCCCAAGACCAACATATGCAAAGCCCTCCACTCCATTCGGCACTTGCCGACCCCCTGAGGAGAACAGTTCCTGAAAATGCGTCAGAATGAACCCAGTCTACAAAATAATGGCATTGTGGCGTTTCTCCCGAACTCCTAAGATAGAAACAGAGACCCCTAAACGGCATGTCTCACTTGCACGTCAAAGGTCAAAGAGCTTAGACGAAACCCCCCCCAAAATACCGTAGCATCCCCCCGTTTTTATAGGAAGCTCGGACCCCTCGGGACGTTAAGATATGCGAACCCGCTTCTTTTTTCCGATGTCTCGCAACCATGGAAATTAGTCCTGTTGACCCCTGTGGGCTTGGGTTAGATTTGCGGAAAGTCCGAAAGTACTTTCTCCTCCACCGTACCAAAGGCGAAGCAGTTCGTTTTAGGGGGTGGAGCCGGTGAACTATACTAGTAAGTACGCGCATAAGGAAAGACAGAGTTCTTCAGCAATATGACGGGAATTCATTGTACAGTACGGAGTATACTGTAGTAACACTCTTCCCCGGGAGTCTGGAACACCCTCAGCCCAAATGCAGGTCAGATCCTTGTGTACAAGGCTACCCGGGAAAAGAAAAGCAAATAAAAGGAGAAATAAAATGGAAATCGAAATGAAATATAACAAATAAACCACACTACAATATAAAAGAGAAAATACAAAATATCGAAAATCGAAATCTCCTTTTACGTGGACCATCCCCGAAATTGATCTTCGTTCACCCCGCCCCTCCCTAAATTCTTCCTCAACTCACCCACCCCCCTTTACCCATGTGGTGAGAAGAGAATGCCGTCGTCTAGCACCTCCACGGAGGGCGCCCCCCTCGCCGATTACTTCTGGATAGCCGGTGTAGACGGCACCGAGATCCTGGACACATTCAAGAGATTGGGAGAAGACTACCGCGCCAATGGCGCCGCCTCTCCAGGCCCAGCGGTCGCGGACACAATTCAAGAGGACGCCGATGCAGAGGAGGAATTCAACCCGGACGCTCCTTCACGGCCCAACTCGATGCTCTTCACCGGCGCCAGTCGCCGCGGCTCATTCCAGCGCCTTTCGACGCTCTCCAAAACCTCCGAGGGAACCAATGGTAACGGCAATGGCAGCAACAGCAACCGCAGCAGTGTCACTGTCAAGGGTGCGTCGTCGCCCCTGCGCGGCTCGGCCATGTTCATGGAGGACTTCGATTTTGATCAGGCGCTGTTCAAGTTTGCGAATGAGCGGGAGTCATTTTTAACGGACTTGAGTCTGAGTGCTGGTGCTATTACGCCGAACACTCGCCCGCGGTCTCGGGTCCGTACGCAGAAGATCGTTTCGGAGGATTCGCCGTCGCAGGGTGGGAATCTCCTGAGATCTGGTATTGGGAGTGTCAGACGACACATGTCCTTCCGCGATATGAACAGTATGAAGCGGCAGCCGTCAGTTGCTCGTCAAGGTGAGACTTGCTCTTTGAGATTCGGGGCCTTGTTTCTGAAATTGGAGGAATCAGAGCTAACTTGGGCCATTTTCTCAGCTTCGGTGCGAACCTCTCGGCGACTCAGTAACTACAACTCCGTTATTCCTGTTCCGCAGCCTCTCGAGATATCTCCGACTATGCATCCGCTAAAGCGGCGATTCGAGCCCGTCCTACTAGACCGGTACCCCACACGTGGAATGCCCGATGAATTGAAGCAGCGCGGCAATTTCCCCGATTACGTTCCCATGTTTGCTTTTCCCAATGATATCAATATCGTTTCCTCCGACCAACGACCACGCTCTACTTGGCACGGGTTTGCCATGACAACGGATAACGGTTCCAGGCTGCATGCTATCTGTGTGCTTATCTGGATTCCGCTGAATCAGAACGCAGCCGAGGAGCTTGAGAAGCGCTGCGAGGAATGGAGAAAGGATAATATGACCGACGAGGAGCGCGAATTGGCTGCGAGCTTGGGCGAGCGATTGGCATCCGAGCGGGCTAAGCTTTCCCGCCTGTTAGCGCAGCTACCGACAGTGCCATCAGGGTCTGAATCCCGCGAACAACTCGAGGATGATATTAGTGCCGTGGAAGAGAAGATCGGACTGATGACTGATCTTCTGCGTCCGGTCCGCCATGGTGCAGCTTCCAAGATCGAGGGTCTTACCGATGGTGATACTGGATTCTGGATTCCCCGCGCATACGGTATTCTGGGTCGAGAGAGCACGATGACCAGCTTCTGGAAGGAGTGGCTCAAGGCCATTGTGGTGCCTATGACGGAGGGAGGTGTACAGCGCGTGCCCCCTCCTTCTCCGCGGATGGGTGTATGGCAGCCACTGGAGCGATATGTGATGAATCTCTGCACCGAGGCGTTCTGTCCGATCTCGTCGAAGACGCAGGTTGAACTAGCCATTAGGGAGTTAAGGTTGTTTGCCCGCAAAGAGGCGCCCAATGAGATCCCAGGGTCCCGAAACGTATGTATTCCTCTTCGGTTCAACCGGACCTTGGCTAACTATTCCAGACTGATCTCTATGCCTTGTTCCGAACATTATCCGTTCCCAATATCATGATTCTCTTCGAGGTTAGTTTTGCTCTTGCTGGTTTGATGGCAATGCTGACCATGGTAGTACGCTCTTACCGAATCTCGAATTATCTTCTTGTCCTCCCACACTTCCATGCTTTACCTTGCCACCAGAGCCCTGGTTGACCTTCTCTTCCCTATTGTGTGGGCCGGAGTTCTAATTCCTGTGCTTCCCGCTCGTTTGATCCAGGCCCTGGAGGCCCCTTGCCCGTACATCGTAGGTATTGAGCGTCGGTACGAGAAGGTGGAGCTACCCACCGACGATTTCGTCTTGGTTGATCTGGATTCCGATATGATCGAAAGCACTATACAGCCAACCGCTCTTCCTCGCCACCAGCGCAGAAAGCTTCTGTCGTTGTTGCAATTGGCTGCTCCTCAACACAGCCGATGCCACGTGCCCACTGGACCCCCAGCATATGCAATTGAAACGTATCCCTGGGACTCGTTCCTGTCCGAGAGCAAGGCTACTTTCCAATCCAAGGCACCGGCCACTAACCTGGCTAAATACGTCGGTCTCAACTCCAGTGCGTTTGGCTCGACCGCTGTTGTTCCAGGCACATACTCGCCTCCGATTTTCAACGTCTTCCTGCATGCTCGAAGTGAGCAAGGGCCCTCTCGTGGTTACTCGTCCCGCGGGAGTGAGCGTCCAGGAACCGGAAACACTATCAGAGCTAGTGCTTCTCCGCCATCACCAAGAGAAAGCTCGCCCACGTCTGGTTATTTCCCTCCCCCTCCCCCAACCCCATCCTCCCGCAACGATTCGGGTATGGCTTTGCAGGCATCTTTACGTGAAAAGCGTTCCGGTCACTTTGATGCCGCCTCTCGGCGAAGCTCGTCGTTCGGTATGAGCCGACGCCCTAGTGCACCATTCCTTGGTCACACCTCGAACCTCTCCGTAACAACCCTCAACACTGAGTATGGTGGCTCTGGCTCTACCTATGCTCCCTCCGTCTATGCACAATCTACCATTGCTGCATCGACGATTGTTCCTCAAGCCAATATGCACCAACCCGATAACAACCAGGGTACATGCTGGGCTGAGGGGCACTTTTTCCAAGTCCAGCCCTGGGATGACAAGTTGACCTGTGCTATCTGCGACGATCGTGCAGAGGAAGGCATGTACAAATGTTCTGCTTGCAAGCTGATCGTCCACAACCGCTGTGCATGTATGGTCTGCCTGCCGTGTGATGCAGCCTTCCATCCTGATCAGATCCGTGCTGCATTTGTCAGATGCTTTGCCAGCTTGTTCTACACTTACAAGAAGTTCCTCATCCCGGCCACTGGCGAAAAGAAGAAGTCCGGAATGTACTATACGTTCAACATGGAGTCTTTCATGAAGAGTCTTCCCAGTGAGCATGCTGAGTACATTGCTGTTCTGCAGCAGACACAAGGTGAGCATGAATAACATATCATACCGCGAAATAATACTAACCTATATAGGGTTCAACGAGTTCATCAGTGATCGGGAGAGAACAAGCCCCAAGTCCAAGGACCCACGGATGGCACTGTTCGACGAGATCGTCCTCTCAAAGCGCAATCGAGGCCGCACATCTATCTTCTCCGGCCGCTCGACAACCGACTTCTTATCAGACACCTCCAACCATCTATGGCGCACCGCCAACGCTACCTTCTTCGCCCCGACCAGCCGTAGCCAACAGAATCTCTCCGCTGATTACAGCAGAGTAGTAACAAGAGGTAAATCCATCACTTGCCACCCCTCCCGTCCCGTCTCTGACGATCTTCCTGCAGCTCCGGCGAAATTAGACACAAGCCTGATGACAGAACCCCGCATGATCCACGGCGCACCAAGGGTTTCCAAGACGGCGAATACTGCCCGCCGAAAGCCCCTGCCCAAACTGATGAATGGCCTGGCGATATCTCCCCCGAGTTAACGTTAATTGGTGCAAATCTTATGGCGAGTGTCCCCGGCGTTATCTTGCCTCGTGGGTCTTGTCTCTTTTGTCCCGCGTGTGATGTGCACGTGAAACACCTATGTCTCTCATCTGAAACGCATTTCCGACTCTAGCTTGGTCTCGACCCGATTCATCGTGTGGTCCGTACAGCCATGCTTGATTGATCTATCTCATCGCTGGGTATGGACTGCTTGCGTGATCCGGTGATATGCTTATCTCCATTTGTGGGTGTACGTTGAAGCATCCCATCCTGAACAGCACTGAAAATGTCCACTCCGCTGGCTCGGCTGGGCTTCTCCCTCCACTTCCCATACCTTTATCCCCCACTTCAGCGTCCTGCATTCCAACCCTGGCTACTGTCAATGATACTCGCCGGTCCGAGTATATTGACTGCAGGGCTGAATTCCCACAGTCGGACCACTGCATTGCAGTCCCGGCCACATATGGATACACACCCTTGATCGCATTCATCTCCCTGAAACCCATCCTCCCCTAACCCAATCAAACCTGCCATGCACCCCTCCTGGCAGGAAATGAAACCTCTTACGAGACATGGACAGTCCCACGCGCCAATATCCCTATCCTAGCGGTGGTAATCTGTCTTCGTACATAGTGTTGAACTGAACTCCGGCTTGATGTACGGAATACGTTGACGTTGAACAAAACTAAAAAGCGTGATTCTGTATGGCCATATGGTTATAATTTGTCTGATATTGACCCTACACATTTTTGTTGTCCTTTTTTTGCCCATTTAGCTTGTTTCTACTGTCTCTTTGGTTTTGAATGCCTGCTTCTACCCAATACCCTACCGTTGATTTGGCTGGTATTCTTCCTCTCTTTATGCTTGGTGATTTTGAATACAATTCTAGACGGTTGACTGATTCCGTTGTTCATCTTTCTCTCATATTTCTTTTCTTTTCTTTTCTACTAATTTGTTTCCTCTTCTGTCATACGAGTCGGTTTGCTTTGAGAGGGACATACATAGATCGTTAGTGTTTACATTTGCAAATCGTGAAAATGAATATGAATAGGCGTATCAACAGAAGGAGACCATACCATGTCCTACAACAGTAGTCATAAGTCCTTTCCCACCACGTATTTATAATCTCAATGATTCAGCTCAGGCGCTTGGAAATGAGCAAAAAAGAGGCGAAAAAAGAGAGGCAAAGTCAGAGTACAAATAATGCATGAAATGGCACATTCACTGCAAGAGCCTCGTGAAGAACTTATCCAATACTTCATGACACTGTGAACGGACTGACGTCCCCTTTGTATCATACCATATATCCTCGATATCATATTTTGCAAGTATACATCTATAATTGTAACATAATCTAGCATCTGATCCGTTACTTGCCGCTCTGTATCTGCCAGACGGGAGCCTGCACTATGCCACACTGCACCAGGTAGCAGTATTCCCGGGGCCGATAATTGGCTATCTTCTAGCCAAGACTGTCTCTCTCAGGCTCTTGATTTTCCCTCGTATCAGAGGTGCTGGATTGTATGGTGGAATTCTTATTTTTGCTGGGTTGTGTCGGCTCGAGGGTTTACACCTATATTACTGTAGCAGTAGCAGTAGCAGTAGCAGTAGCGGCGACAGTGTTAGATGGATGTTGTTGATGGTGGTCTATAGATAAACTATGTCTGGATAGATACGAATATAGGCTATATTCTACCCAATGTATAAACACCATATAACGCAAGCCCAAATAGCTATCGGACTAATGCCGCGCACTACTGTACGTACTATAAACATCGAGTATTTCCCCACAATCTGATTGGCGGAGAAATGTATCACCGCTCCCACTTTCCCCCGCGTCTCCGCCTCGAAGCAATGCCAGCGGTGGAACTTTGCTCGAGAGTTCTTCCGCCCAGATGCCGTCCACTGTGGACGTCTTCTCTCTGATCTAACTCTCTTCGGCTCTGGGGTTGTGTCTTCGCGAATTGTGGAATTGTCCGGCTTCGGATACCACCTACCTCTTTCGATAACAGCCTGTAATATTATCTGCGCGCTGGTCGATACCTGGCCCTTGCGCAACGTCTTCTATTCGTCTTTGCTCTTTTTACCCATTCTCTTCCTCAATTGCTCTGTTACTATTACTTGTCACGCCCGGCTATTGTTTTTCTTTGAACTTTGCCGCATACACACGCACACCCTGCCACACCCTGCCACGAGAAGTATGAAAACAAGGACTGCTATGCGATGATTCCGACAGCCCTTCCGCAGCACATGGCGACGCCGCTGCTCGACGACCCCCGGTTCCCGCCTTGAAGGCGCAAGACCCTCCACAAAACGGCACCGCTGTCCCCGTCTCGAATGTCACACCTATACCCTCCACAACCGTCTTCCCCGCGCCAAAAGAAACAGTGACCGCTGTCCCCGTACCAAGCCACAGCGCCGCAGTCACAGTGCTAATCGTCTACGGCGCCAACCAGGAACATATCGTGCAGCTGGTCGCGGAGGTACTGGGCAAGCCATGGACGACGGAGACATCACTGGAAACACTCGAAGGCGGTGATGCCGTGGTTGGAATCCTGGAGCGCGATCTGTCGCGTAGTCTGCAGACCGCAAAGCGTAAGCGGTCTTCTCTGATTGTTGTTAACACGTACTGTGTGGAAAACGGGTCTGCGCCTGATGACACGCTGACTGAGCGGTGTGATTATGAATTTCTCTATTCTCGCAGTCCGTTTCTTCGTCGAGATCTGTCGAGGTTTTTGTCTTTGATTTTGGGGCAGACGAGACCGCATGATGATCTGCGCACGAAGACACGGACGAATTTTATTTCGACTACTTTTCCTGATGTGCATGCTGCGCTGCCAAATTTGGATATTTTGTCCGTTGGTTCGGATGCTGTTGAGATTCGTGTTGATTTGCTTGTTGAACCTGCTGTTGGTCCTGCTGCTCCTGTTCCCAGTTTGAAGTATGTTGGGCAGCAGTTGATGTTGTTGCGGCAGCATACTGAGTTACCTATTATTTTTACGGTCCGGTGTACACGGGAAAACGGGAAGTTTCCCATGGATGATCCGGCTTTGTTCTATAAGTATTTGCGTCGGGCTATTCAGTGGGGTGTTGAGTATATTGACGTGGAGCTTTGGCTCCCCGAGGAGATTCGGCGACAGCTGGCTGAGAAGAAAGGGCACAGTGTTATCTTGTCTGCGTTCCATGACTTCTCTGGGACCTGGAAATGGACTTCAGAAGAGGCACAGCGGATTTTCACGGAAAGCGCCAAGTATGCTGATATCGTGAAGATGATTGCTATGGTGCATACCATCGAGGAGAATTATGAGCTGGAATACTTCCGCTCGACAATCAAGAGTCGTGGCCCAGGTCCATTGTTGTCGGCTGTTAACATGGGCCAAATGGGACAACTCTCTCGAGCACTGAACACCGTCTTCTCTCCAATCACCCATCCTCTTCTTCCAATGATCGCAGCCCCGGGTCAATTGACAGCCGCAGAGATCAACGAAGCCCTGCACATAATGGGTCAACTCCCCAAACGGGACCTCTACGCCATTGGTTCCTTCCGCTCCACTCCACACTCTATGTTCATGGAGAAATGCTTGAACGAGCTGGGCCTCCCACACCATTTCTCATCCATCGACCGTGGCCCGAAGGGCTCAGTAGAGTCTGTCATTATGCAACCACAGTTTGGTGGCGCCTACGTCAACCCTCCGGTCGCCAGCACAACATCTTACATTCCAGCGGTAAGCGACGCAGCCCGCGCAATTGGCTTAGTCGACACAATCGCCATGACCAGCACCCCAGAACCCCTAGCAAAATCACGCTTCATTGGCGAAAATGCTGCTTGGAAGGGTATTCGCGCAACCCTGACACGCGAGTACGTCCCATCAGCATATCAGAATCGCGCAGCTATAATCTTAGCAGGCAGCGAAGCAGACGCTTCAGCAGCAATCTTCGCACTGCGCAGTCTAAACGTCGGGGCAATTTACACAGTCGGCTTCAAAGCCTCGGGCCCGCTAGCGGCCGGCCTGGAACCATTCACATCCATTCAATCGGTGAAACTAGTTGAGCAACCATTCGTTATTGTCTCAGCTCTACCACCGGAGAAATCGCTTCTCGTCCAACCCCTACTTCGACATTATGGAGCCAATGGCCGCTCATCACCACCGTCAACCTGTGGAAAGGTTTACCTAGATCTAACGAGCGGACCACGAAAGGGTGATCCCCTCGGTGTAGCGACGGGTGCTGGCTGGACGGCATATGGATTCGAGGATGTGACCGCATGGACGACCGTCGAAACGCTGAGGTTGCTTGTAGGCCAGAATGTTCCTTTTGACTTTGTGCGCATGGCGTCTGGACGACCCCTGTTTTAGGACTAGGCGGCTCTGGTTTCTGTCTGTTGTTCATGCAATAGATTGTTACTGGTTTATTGGATTGTCTCATTTTAGCTTCTTGGTTTGGTTTTCTTGGTGTTTCGGTTGGGATCATTAGGGGCTTTTGCTATGCAGATATGCACTAGAAATGCATGCGTATATTTTATATGTTTTTAGCGTGTAGCTTATGTACATGTCTTACTTTGATCTCTACACGCCTCATGGATACAGATCTGCCAGGAACATATCCTTCGGCCAGATAAGCCCTTATCAAATCCGGGGTTTAGCCCCTCATTATTTTCCCCGGTCTTTCAAACTTTTTCCCTTTCCCAAACACATTCAAAGTCTCTTATTCATTGACATTGCCATTGTTTTACACCACATACACTGCATATAACGAACAGGAACGCAACATGCATCTCCGCCCCGACCACGCAGTTACCGACCTCCCAACCCTCCACGCCTTCATAAGACAACACCCCCTCGGTCTTATAACCACCTCGCTTCCCTCTAAAATCCACCCAACGCTGCAGAGCAGCCACATCCCCTGGGTCCTGGACAGTACAGCAAAATCTCCAGACCCGCAAGCAAACAATGCCGACTCCCAATCTCAATCCCAATCACTAGGAATCCTCCGCGGCCACATCGCCCGCGCAAACCCACAAACAAAAGCGATAGTCGACACCGTGCTGGATGATACAAACAAAAACAAGACCGCCAGCTCAGCCAATACCGTCCCGGGTGCATTCCCGACATCGGAAGCAGATCCGGCGCCATCATCAACATCAGAATCAGCATCAGCACCAGAATTGACTAGACATGGTCATACCCTCCCGGGTGAAGTATTAATCGTCTTCACAAGTCCGGTAGACCATTATATCACTCCGAACTTTTATACAGAGTCCAAGCCTAAGACGGGGAAGGTTGCACCTACGTGGAATTACGCCGCTGTACAGGTTTATGGCCGGGCGACGATTTATCATGACTCTAAGGATGGGGCTACGGAGGAGTTTCTTAGGCGGCAGTTGGGGGATTTGGCGAGGTTGGGTGAGGTCGGGGTTATGGGGTTCCAGGAGTCAGAGTCAACGTCAGACGCAGACAGCCAAGACAGCCAAGGAGAAGGAGACGCGGCTTCGGGTATGGCTACGGGTAAGGGAATCCCCACTACCAAGACTGCAACCAAGACTGCAACCAAGACTGCCACCAAGACCGTGACGACAGAGAAAGAGGAAATGAACCAGGGGGTGAGCGCTAGCGCTGGAAGTGAGAGTGAAAGTGACAGGACCACAGCCTCCTCGACACCGACGCCATGGAAAATCGCCGATGCACCACTGGAATATATTGCCACCCTGCTGAAGAATATTGCCGGCATGTCGGTTGAGATCACGCGCATTGAGGGGCGATTCAAGGTTAGCCAGGAACGACCGGTGAACGATCGCGGTGGGGTTGTTGAGGGGTTGGAGGGGATGGGGTCTGTGAGGGCGAGGGACATGGCTGACTTTGTGAGGAGGGGGGGGTGTTGTTTAGTGAACAGGGGTGTGTATATGCAGGCATACTGCATATGCATGAGTGTACAGGTAGAAAGTGCATAGAGTATAGGAGTGCATAGAATAGAGAGTTCATAGCGCCATGTACGCAACACCTCGGTTGGATAAATGCTAGGTCGTATACGAATATTTGCATACATATACACGGACTGCAATGCAAGCGGTAGCATAGCCATTCTCATGTCCGATGTGATATGCAGGGGAGGTGCTTCAAGGCCAAAGCCAAAAAACCGAAAGGAAACCGGGCAAGACGAGTTGCAGGAAACGCCCACGTTCCGTATCCAAAACAGTAGACTACGGATGATCAGGCGTCTAAAGGTACTTTGATAGGACCGTTGCTTCGTACAAGGGCGTTTCAGGTGCAAGTCTGGGAATCCGGGGAATTAGAAGCGGGGGGCTGAAGAATCGGGGGTGAAGACCGCAGAGGCTTCGGTTAATAGTGGACTTAGCAGGGTCCAAGCGGCATGAGACTAAATGTGACTACTGTCGGATGTTGGTGTGGAAGCCCTAATTGACCGGAGGTGGTGGTGAAAAGAGGATGTTCCCCGGAGTTCTGGACTGGGGCGTGGGGATATTAAGGGGATTGTATGTTGGCTGTCAATAGTAGAGGATATCAGATGTAGTATAGTACATATTGTATGTCAAGAAAGACAAGTAGACTTCTTTGAATTAGTCAAGTCAACAAGACTAGTAAATGAAGAATATAACGTAGAGAAGAGTCTGGAGAAAGTCCGGCGGCACATCTTCTCCGCATTTCGCCCTCCGCAACTCATATCGGCATAGACTCAAGCCACACTCTTAGTTTCTCTGCCTGGCCTCTTTCTTTCCTTTCCTTTCCTTTTCTTCACCACCTTCACCTCATCTCCTCCCTCAATGTACCATGTCTCGCCCTCAGGTCAGCATCGACCGTCTCATGCCCCGCCGTGCGACGGTCGAGCCACGCGAAACAATGAACTGCAAATCCTGTCGCAAGCGCAAGGTCGGTTAAATCCAAGTACCCCGATCGCGTCGCTAATTTAACAACATTAGATTAAATGTAATCGCCTGCGACCAAGCTGTGAAGCCTGCAAGGTATTCCAGTGCCCGTGTATTTATGGTGAGCCATGCCTCGTTCCCTCAACCAAATGACCCACTTTAACCCAAACAACAGACGCAGTTCCCAAAAAGCGCGGCCCCAAAACCGATGTACTAGAAGCGCTGTTGAAACGCGTGGATGGCCTGGAAAAGCGACTGCACGATGAAAAGAATCCCATCTCGCCCACTTCGCCTGACCAGACCCCGGACGATCCACCAAGCTTTCCCTCCCGTCGGAATACCATGGATACCTCGTTCAATCTTTACACTGCCAATGAACCACAACCTGCCTTGGCAAAGTCTTTGTCGCATGTGAAACCGTTTCCTCGGCTGGCGAGTCAGTCGGGGAATCTTCTTCCGCAGCAGTCTCCAGCACAAGGCGGTTTGTCGGATGCGATCTTGGATATTTACTTTTCGCGATTGCATGGGAAGCCTTTCTATATACTCGATGAGGCGACTACGCGACAGCGACATCAGATGAATCAATTGCCGGCGTTTTTGTCTATGGCTATTTCGGCAATGGCATTGAGGTAGGACTCCCTATTTGTCGCTTCTATTTGCTGTTCTGACCTTCTCCAGGTATACCACTTCACCTGGTCAGGTAGAGCAGTCGCTACGGCCGGGGCTTGATGCGGCGCATCAGGCAAGGCGTCTGATTGATATCGATAACCCGACGGTTGAAGGGTTGCAGACACTATTGTTGCTATCGCAAGCTTTTTTCGCCTTTGGATTGGGGAAGAAGGCATATATGGCGTTCTGTAGGTTTCTCTAATTTCTTGGATGAAACCCACTAATTTGACCAGCGAACTGCGTGGCGATGATTGTTGCGCTGGATATGTACCGTGAGGCACCAGCCAAGATGAACGTTTCACCCGCCGAACGGGAAACGCGACGTCGCCTGTTCTGGTCCGTCTATCTAATGGATCGCTTTATCAACTGCGGATCCAGGAGACCTTGTCTCATCTCAGATCATTCAATTGTTCTGCGCCTCCCCTCTTGGTCGCCCCATGCAGCCGGTCTCAACTTGGAAGGAGAGCTGTTCCACGTCGGACCTAACATCCAATATTCGGCAGACTCTCGCCGCAAATCACCCAGCGCGGCTTCTTTGTTGATTGACATCACACGGATTCTCGGGGTCACCAACAAGTATTTGGCAGCGGGCGGAGTCAAGGGCGACTCTCATTTTCCGTGGCATGCGCTGTCTACTCTCTCCAAGATTCGACAAGAATTGGATATCTGGGCCGCCGGTACGCAGGACGTATTCGCATCTATTGATGCATTGTTTGGTCACCCCGAGAGCACAACACTATTACTGAGCAAGTTGATTTATCATCTTGTGCATTGTTTAATTTACCGCCCATTTCTACCAATCGACTTGTTTGAGCTGCGCGGTACCGGGCAACACCAGTCTTGGCAAATCGAGGCTACTAATTTGTGCTTCTCACACTCAAATGCCATTGCCGAGCTGGTTGAACTGGGCCGCAACTCTCCTCTCGTTGAATGGCCTGCCTTTGTCGGTTACTGTGTTTGCACAGCTGGAACTGTTCACGTCCATGGTGTGCATTACAAGGGCCGCGAGGGTGAGGTATTCTCTTCGAGTGCTGAGTTCTTGACTCGAGAGATGCATCAGCTCTCCTGGTTGCGTAATATTTGGACAGGTGTCCAACACCAGCGGGAGCTGCTTCAGACGATCTATACATGTCACTCGGAATTGGTGCGCAACCTTGCGAGCAGTCCAATGCGTTTCTCGCCTGTCTTCCATCTTGAAGACTTCCTCGATCGATACCCCGGTCTGTCATTGGATGGATCTCATGTCCGTTTAATAGATACCGGAGATGAACTGTCATCAAGGTACGTTGTCCACACGATACATTTTGACACCAACTAACCTTGCAAATAGCACACCAAACTTCACTGATCGACAAGATCACTACTATCAACGATCAAGTGCAGCACCATCCTACCAAACCCCATCATCCTTCTACTCAAACGCCAGAGACGCACCCTCAACCCCCTTGACAATCCAAACCCCAGAAACAGACCGCCGAACGTCCCATTCTCACTCTCACGCCCAATCAATCTCCTTCACTCAAAAAGGCCAACACCCCCCTTCTCTCTCCCCAACCATCCAATTCCACGCCCCAAACCACAACCAACCATCACCCTCTCTCCCCTCAATCTTCTCCCTCCCCGCAGCAGACCTTTCAAATCCAAACTCAAACCATGCCCAAGACCAAAGCAACCAACTCTCCCTTCCACCAGGCTTCTCCCCCACAGCCTTTGGCCTCTCCCCGCCCGCCTTCCTCTCCGACCCGACCCTAAACATAGCCCCAACACCCCCCTCAAACCCACAATACGCAACCTTCCCCTTCGACGCCGCTCACACAGGTATCAACGGCGGGGCAGGCGGCACAGTCCTCACACCAGGCGCGCAGTCTCATACCAGCGGGACGCATACAACGACCGGAAGTGAAGGCGGTTCCCAAGAGAAAGATCCATTCCTCAGCTTGCTGGAGCAGCTGGCCGAGAATGAAACCTCTCAGGGTGGGCCTAGCGAGCTTGATTTCTTTTTGAGCGGAACTGGGGCTGTTGAGGGTGAGGAGGGCATTGTTAATGATAAGAATGGGGTTTAGCATTTGCAACGTATATATAGTCATGTTTTGTCAATAGCTTTTTTCTTTTTTTGTATATTGGAACTATTGAGGTAGCGTTTTGGTTTTGAATTGATACCCATTTGAGGTATTGCTTTTGCCTCATATGTTATTGGATTTATTGGATCTTCATTGATGATCGACAGTAGCCAATAATTCAACTTGGCGATATGTCAATGCCTGCTTCAACACATAAGTATGAAATGACACAGTGTTAATATTCCAGATCACTGCGGTGTCCGTATATAGACACAATAAGGTACCCCCGCGGGGTGGACTCAATTTATCCGTCTCGATAGCCGGCCAGCATCGGCTATTGAAAGTCAACAGACTTTCATGTAAGAATGTATAGAGCACCAACGATCGCAATTGCAACATGACGATATGGATCAAACTTTTCCAAGCTCCATGATGAGAATAAATCCAAACCAACCCATATATAGAAACCCATCACTTATAGAGAACGTGCAAAGCCAAGCACATCCTCCCCGGCCCCTCGACGGAGCTCCGCCACAGCCGAGCGGGAACCCCCACGTCGCAAAGCCGAAGCAACTCACATATAACAACCCCTCCAATGTCCCCAACCGACCGACTCACATCTCTAAAAAACCACCTCCCACCCTCACAAGCCAACGAAATCTCAAAAATGAAGCTCCTCTACCCAACCTCTCTAATCCTAGACACAAAGTCCCTGGAAGGCTTCTCCGTCTCCCTCCACCCGTACGACGTCACAGTCCCCATCCCAGACACCCTAATCGACGCCGAAATCCTAGTCACATGGACCAACAAGTCGGAAAACCTACGCGACGCAGCAGCGCGCATGAAAAACCTCCGCTGGATCCAATCCCTAGCCGCCGGCCCAAATGACGTCCTATCCGCCGGCTTCGACGCCTCCCGCATCGCCATCACGACCGGTTCCGGCTGTCACGATGAAACGGTTGCCGAGCACGCGCTTGGCATGCTGCTCAATGCCGCCCGCAAGTTCTACGCTATGCGCGATTACCAGAATAAGGGTGTCTGGCCTGGTCATCTTGGTGGGCCGCAGCCTGATCGTGCCCCCGGCACGTTTACCACGCTGAAGGGGGCTAATGTTACGATCTGGGGTTTCGGAAATATTGCAAAGTGTCTCGCTCCCGTGCTTACGGCGCTGGGCGCAAATGTTACTGGTGTTGCGCGGTCCGCTGGTGTGAGGAATGGATTTGAGGTTGTTGGAGAGGACGCGTTGTCGGATGTTCTCAAGAAGACGGATGCGCTTGTGATGATTCTGCCTGGTTCCGATAGTACCAATGGTGCGCTGGGCAGGGAGAGATTGGCGCTTTTGCCTAAGCATGCTTGGGTGGTTAATGTTGGACGTGGTACTTCTGTTGATGAGGGCGCTCTTGTTGAGGCGCTTGAGAAAGGGGAGATTGGGGGTGCCGCGCTTGATGTCTTTTCTGTTGAGCCGTTGCCTGCGTCTTCGCCGCTTTATACGGCGCCTAATCTTGTGCTTTCGCCTCATGCTGCTGGTGGACGGCCGCGTGATGCTGAGGCTCTTATTGCTTATAACTTACGGAGGCTTTTGGCTGGGCAGGAACTTAAAAATTTGATTTAGGGGCTTTGGGGGATTGTTGATAGATTGTTATTAGTACATAGATGCATGGATGTTCATACTTATGTCTTGTTCTTGTCAGGTGTAGGCAAGGTGTCATTTGGTTGGTTTACTTTGAGAATTCCTGAAGAGAGGAATTCAATAATTCTGGCCTGCCTTTTAGACAGGGCATGGAGAAAATAATCAACCCGTAGCTGAGACGAAGGCCACATGATTATCCCTATACGTGATCAAACCAGTCCCATTGAAATAACGGCTACTGATTATAATATAGGAATATAACTGAAGGGAAAATACTACAACGAAGAAATTGATCAAAAAGAAATGATATAAACATAGGACTATATACAAGTATCGAAACCACCCATATTTTCAAAAACAATCAACACCTAAATCAATGCCACATCAAAATTCCGACCCTAAAGTCTGGAACTGCTACCCTGACAACAAGAAGCAGAAGCAGCAGAAGGGAAAGCATTCTTGGACTGGGTATCAACACAAACAGCAGAAGGAGGCACCCACAGACCAGGATTCTTCTCAAAGAAGTTCGAAGCACGAAGCATAATGCTTACCGGCTCAGCAGGCATAATGGGGAAATCCTCCGTACGCGGGAAATGCGTCAGTCCAAACTGGAGGTAGCAAACGATATCGGTGTTGTCGATGTTCTCGTTGCGGGCTGCCCAGTCTGCGATAGTAGGGTTGTGCGGGTGTCCGTCGTCGCCGGTGGATTGGCAGACATAGTCGCCGGCTGGGAAGAGCTCGTAGTCCTTGTAGGGCAGGACCCAGAGGGGCTTACGGGCGAAGGCGGCGCGCTTCCAGACTGTGCTGCCTGGCTTCGCGAGCATGGGTGGGCAGTTGTTGTTGAGGATCTTGTACCCGACGGGCTTCTTGGCGATTGCGTTCATGCGGTTTGGGTTGATGATGTCCCATGAGCGGTTGGTCTCGTAGCAGTAGTCTGCTGCGCCTTGGAGGGCTGTGCGGAGGGCTGTCTTCTTGCTGTAGAAGGCGTTGCCGTAGGGGTTCTCTGGGGAGCCGACGGCTGCTTCGGCTGAGACGGCGTCGCTTTGTACGACGGAGTTGTTGTGGCCGTCGATTTCGGGGTCGATGCGGAGAGAGAAGAGGTGCTGGTGGTTGTGGGCGTTGATTGAGGGGGCGACTTCTGTACCGTAGGGTGCGGCGGTCTCGGTTGGGTGCATGCAGTAGGTGTTCAGCATGCCGGTAAGCTTCATCTCCAGCTTGTAGGTGCCATCCAGGGTGAAGGTGTGGTAGAAGCCGTACTCGTAGTTGGCGGCGGTGATGATTTGGGAGACAATGAGCTTGCGATCACGGGCGGAGATGACTGTGCCGTCGCGGTAGTCGGTGTGCTTGTAGAGAAGGCCGTTGTCTTCTTCGTGGATACAGATGGCGTTCTTGATGACGGCGGCTTCACCGTTGGAGGTGGACATGACACCATCCATGTAGTGGATGGCACCCTTGCAATCACAACCCAGCTTCAGGGAGTTGGTCATGAGACCGGTACCGTACTCACCAACGTCGAAAGCGTGCTTCTTGTGGTGAGGCTTCTCGGGGCAACCGTAAGGAACAACCATCTCAACAACGGAGATACGGTTGAAAAGGGTGCGCTCGCGGTCCTCGTACATGTCGTGAGTCCGCACATCGGAAATGACAATACCCTCGCGGTAGTTGAAACCAATGTGCATCTTGAAGTTGGCCCAGGTCAGCTCGTTGCCGCGGACCTTGAAGGAGACACCCTGGGGCTGGGTGATATCGATAGGCTTCAGGCGGTCGTGGTTGTACTTGTCGCCAATGAACTCGGGAAGGTAGTTGTGCTCCTGGAGAGGAACAGCGGTGCGCTCGCCGTTGACGTAGCGGACATCAACGCTGAGAACCTCTTCGGTCTCGGTATCCGCAACAACAGTAAAGTCCAGAGGGTGGGCATACTGGTTGTCGAACTCGGAGTTCCGATAGTACGCCAGACCCTGCTGGAGACGGCGCTCGAAGCCCCAGCGTTCGTCAATGCCGATGGCCCATGCGTCGAGGAAGACCTTATCCATATCGGTAATGCCGATCTCCTTGCAGGCCCGGATGACGCGGGCATCCTTGCGAGCAATGCGCTCCATCACATCGAGATCCTCCAGAGTGAGAGTGGGCATGACCTCGGAAACTTCCTTCCATTCCTCAACCTTGCCGGTGGCGAGATTGGCAACCACCTCGACGACCTGAGAGGTCTCGCGCACAATGACAATGGCAAAAGCGCGACGTTCCGGAGTGGGACTTTGTCCAGCGCGGAATGCCTGGTATTCGGCTTTCCGCGGTTCCCGGAGTGTGAGGCAGTTGAACTTGATAGTCTTGGGGTTGGCATGTTCCCGGATGATCTTGGCGGCCTCTGGGATTTCCTTGATAGTAAGTTGATCTGTATCCCGGGTTAGCTTTTAGTCTCTCCAAAATAATGCACTTGACCAACCTAATGGGTGGGGAGTTCCCTGGGGCAACATCGCTGCCGCGGCTACACTATCATAATCTCCCTCGCGGAAGATCGTGTAGCCGGGAATTGATGTGGTATCTGGGGCAGACGCCATGATGAAGATATGAGGGGGTATGGGAGAAGAATTCAGAGAGTTGTAGAGAACTGAAAACCTTCATTGCAAAGTCATTGACCTTATATAGCTACCGGACCTTGGATATCAGATCGAATGTCACCGCATGTACCTTCCCAGAAAGGAAATCGGGTTCTTATAGAAGCCGGGGGCGAATGGTCCCGAGAGTGGACTCTCCCGCCGTTGTTCGGTTTGGGCAAATATCTGGAGAACCTATTAGATTGACACTATAGCTGGCAGCTTGCAATTCTATGCCATAATATCTGTTTCGTAAAAGACATTGCCATCGAAAATATCGGCCAATCAGGATACAACGGCTGAGTAGATGTGTTGGCCTCTGGGTTCTCTGTTGGTCACCCTAATGAGGCAAGTCTTATCTGCAGAACACCCACACTGTAGGCACCACCTGCTTCTGTTCGACGAATCCGGTGGCTCTGCAGGTTGATAGAAGCTTGTTCTCACGTGGCGGGTTATGTAAGACGCGGCTCTTAACTTTCTATCTTTACGTGGAGGCAGGTTAGGTGTTCGCGGTCTGTAACTAGGTATGCATTGATTCGTATGATAAATTGAAAAGAATTCAAGACCATATTATCAACAGGCCGAAAGATATCAGAATTGTCCACCATCAGAACTGACACCGAACACCAAACTGAGGTTGGCTGGACATGCCTAATCAGGACTAGCGCATATACCCTTCAACCGCCGTGATTTGGTCTCCACGCCCGAGTCCACCCCGACTTTGATAGAATCCGGAGGTGGATCTCGTGGATCGGCTTGAAGTCACTATGGAGTCTGAAGTGGAATGTACAGCCGACTTATCGCTATCTCAGCTATCGCATAGCTAGTCCTCGGGTTAAGTACTACTATGATTCACGTAACTGGATCATCTCTTTACATACTTTCAACCTCATTCACACATTATGTCCGACGTGTCAGTTCAACTCACAGCGCCTAACGGCCACACCTGGACTCAGCCTACCGGTTTGTTCATCAACAACCAATGGGTCAAGTCTTCCAATGGCGAGAAGATTGCAACCATCAACCCCACGTACGTCTCCTCCAACTTCATGTACAATTCAATTAATAGCCAACCAGATGGAACCCACAGAACTGCAAAGGAAATCACATCCGTCCACGCTGCCTCATCGCAAGATGTCGATACAGCTGTCAAGGCCGCTCGCGCAGCTCTCAACAACCCTTGCTGGCGCGACCTACCTGGTTCCGACCGCGGCAAGCTGATGAACCGTCTGGCCCAGCTCATTGAGGAGAACCGCAAGACTCTCGCAACCATTGAGACAATTGACAATGGAAAGCCATTCTCCGTTTCTTTCAACGACGACCTTACCGAGACCGCCGAGACTATCCGCTATTACAGCGGCTATGCCGATAAGATCTTCGGTCAGGTCATTGATACCACCCCGGATAAATTCGCTTACACCGTTCGGGAACCCGTCGGTGTCTGTGGACAAATCATCCCGTAAGTTATACTGTGCTGCGTGATGATCGTTCCCCACTAAGTATCATAGATGGAACTTCCCTCTGGCAATGGCAGCCTGGAAACTCGGCCCAGCCCTGGCCTGCGGCAACGCCGTAATCCTAAAGCCAGCCGAACAAACCCCCCTCTCAATTCTCTTCCTCGCAAACCTGATCGTGGAAGCCGGTTTCCCACCCGGCGTTGTCAACATCGTGAACGGCCATGGAGCCGTCGCAGGCGCGGCTCTCGCCTCGCACACAGACGTGGACAAGATCGCTTTCACAGGCAGTACCGCTACAGCCAAACACATCATGAAAATGGCCAGCGTGAACCTGAAGAATATCACCCTCGAGACAGGCGGCAAGAGTCCCCTGGTCGTCTTCAACGACGCCGATCTCGAGCAGGCGGTTGAATGGGCGCATATCGGGATCATGTATAACCAGGGCCAGATCTGTACTGCTACCTCGCGAATCCTCGTCCAGGATGAGATTTACGATAAGTTCCTGGAAGCGTTCAAGGCTCAAGTCAAGAATGTGTCCAAGGTCGGCGATCCATTCGAGGAATCGACTTTCCAGGGTCCCCAGGTGACACAGGCTCAATATGACCGTATCATGTCCTACGTTGATGTCGGCAAGTCCGAGAAGGCGACCCTTGTTTCCGGCGGGAAACCGTTCAAGGGCGTTGGTGATGGGAAGGGATATTTCGTTGAACCGACTGTGTTCACGGATGTTTCTCCCAAGATGCGTATTTACCAGGAAGAAGTTTTCGGACCGTTCGTTGTTATTGCCAAGTTTAGCACTGAGGAGGATGCTATCCAGATGGCTAATGATACCACTTATGGTCTGGGTAGTGCGCTTTTCACTACCAACTTGACTCGGGCGCACCGCGTTGCTAAGAAGATCGAGGCTGGTATGGTCTGGATCAATTCGAGCAATGATAGTGATTGGCGTATTCCTTTCGGGGGTGTCAAGCAGAGTGGTATTGGGCGTGAGCTTGGTGAGGCTGGTCTTGATGCTTATTCTAGTATTAAGGCTATTCATGTGAATATGAAGTCTAAGCTCTGAGGGCTTCTATCATGGGTGCTGGGGAAACAGCTGGGATGCTGTATTGTATATATCAAAATTGAACATGCGTTTCAGGTATACTCCAGATGATGTATTTCAGTAATATTTACATGAAACTCAGCTTTTTGCGTCTCGCCAGGAAACCACAATGCCTTTTTTTCAATGACTAAGAGCATACTTAGGTGCAGCTGGAGCTTCCAGCAACGAAAGTACCATCCGAGTTCTCACAACCACACTCGCCAGTCTGGGGATCCTTGATGCAAGTGGTACCGTATCCACTGCTCTTGCCACCCTCACCCCAGTAGAAGATCCAGTAGTCGGAGTCCTCCTCGATCTCACTGGTGGTTGGCGCAGTACAGGTGTAGGCGCTGCACGTTCCGTAGGGAGCACCGTTGTTGGAGTCGTATTGGTGGTCGGTTTCGAAGACGGCAAAAGTCTGAGTGGATGAAGTGCGGGTGTTGTGGGAGCACTCAGCAGCCTGAATGGCCTTGGAGACCTTGGCGGCTTTTTGTCAAGGTTAGTATATGTGTTTTGATATACAGCAGCTTTTGTCGTATGCTTACCAGAGCAGTTCAGGCTGGTAGGCTTGTAACCCTTGCTATTTGTAGAAGCAGGGTCCAGGGTGGCAGCGACAAGAGCCGGAGCAGCCAGCATAGAGAGGAAAGTGATGAAGTGCATCTTGAAGTTCAGAAGTTCAGATGTGATGATTTACAATTTCTGTCCCAAGATGTTGTCGGATATATATATGTGGTACCAAGGCTAAACGTCGATCCGGAGACGTATGATCCTGTAGTCAATGATCTTTACCTGACACAGGAGTACTCACCAACTATGGAAAATTCCAGGTCTAGAGCGCGTTGCTTTGAATACTGTCTAGGGTGTTTGAATGAATTTGTGCTCAGGGGGGCCCACTTCAGCTTTCTGAAAGATGAGACTCATACAAAATGTGTTTCAGCTAAAGGGCCGAAACAGCCAAGATTATCTTTAGGACCCGCACGATGATCCGCCTTATGTGATGTAAGGAACACGATTGGGAAGCTTAATGGGATATTTCAGAGCCTTAAAGCTGTGTGTTAGACTCTAGATGTGTGTCTTCAACTTGAGAAACACATCTATGAAGGATTTTGCCAAAACAGTAGCGACCGACAGCTTATTGACCATTCGTCAGTCAAGTTTCAACCAAATTTGATGTTAGAGAATGTCTGTTCTAGATCCGGTAATCAGCCGAAGATGCGCCTTGGCCGCAGGCAACGTCAGACACCATACGTCACCCTATCGATGTACTCAATTAAAGTTGTGGCAGCTAAAAGGCTTGTAGGCTAGTCAAACACGGGGTTGGTAAATTGAGATTATCGTGAATGGCACCGGCCGGTTGTTGCAGACAAACGATCGTACAACGCCATCGAAATGGCAAGACAATTACAACATGAGAAACAAAAATTGATCTAGAAATTAATCCAACTGTCCTTAAGATCGACGAGAAAGCGCATAGAAAAAGCTGTATCGTCAGAATTAGAATCGTGCCTGTCCCTAGTCAATCAGATTGAAAAAAACATAGATTTCCGAAGCACTAAATTTTTGTTATATAATTATTTGTGTGTGACATAGTCTTTTGAAAGAAAGGACAGGATTTGGTCAGTGAGAGAACGTATGTAAGAGCCCAAGGAGCTGGAATCGGGATTCCACCGAGCTACAACTGGTCACAGGGACATAGTGTGACGAATAGAAGGAAAAGGCTACCCCTGCTTTATATAGTAATACATTTCCTAGTCTACGGATGGTCAAAGAACGTCTTATGAAGCGTCGTAGTTCCTTGCACGACCTTGGCGCGACTGGGATGCTTTCGGGGCTATTGTATTGACCCATCGACTCCGATAGCGAGTAACATCCTGGATTCTGAATGGATGAATTCCTAGATAGAGATTCTGTTCCAGTTTCGAACCCGCTTCTGCTACTGATCACAGAAAAGCATTGCGAGGATCACTGGAAAGACGGGGCGCAGCATATTCGGTTCTAACACTTCTGGATCACGATGCTCTCTGAATTCGATTTTGACAAGACCGCGGGTCCGTCTTTTTCTATTTGATATGCTTTGATATATTTTCAATTCTCCCATGGTCAGAAATCCATGAATTTTCCAATTTATTTTGAATTTGTCAATAAACTTGCCATGCTTCAGTTTCAATTCTCTCCAGGTGACACCGATGAATCCATAATCTAGCAATTGGTAGCGCCGACATATCCAAGATTCAGGAATTTGTAGTAGTGGCTCTCAACAAAATAAAAGGGGAAGTGGTGAGATTCTGCAACCGAAGGTCTACCAAACAGTAGCAGCTATCACATTAGACTTGATTATCTACTTCACTAACGTTGCAATTTACTAACTGGGCATTCGCAGCAAATCAATTCTATATACACGTAAAACTGCCGTCTATATACATCTCCCTTATATACCAGATCCCTCCAAATCATCATCAAACAACGCACATCGAGTCAACCGTCTAATTTTATTTCAAACTTCATGAGAACCCAACGAAGCCTGTAATCCTAAGTTTAAATCCATCGATCTTCCTTCTTAGGCTCAGATGGTGCAGGCTCATTTGCAACAGCATGAGCCTGAAGAACATGAGGAATAGACTCCTCGGTATTGAGATAGGTGCGACTACCTTGGATGAACCAGAAAGCGATGGAGATGACAAGCATCACACCAAAAACGCCAATGGCATAGTTCATGTCACCACCAGCGGGGTTGGGAGCACTGGGGAAGAAGAAGAAAATAGTTGTCACGCAGCAGTAGACGAGACTAACCCAGTTGGCAGGTGCTCCAAATCTACCAAGATGGAATTGACCACCGTGTGGGAGTTTGTCACGGCCCATCAGGAGTAATGTCATGATAGGTAGACCGTATGAAATTGTCAAGGCGATTGTGCTGACGCTGAGGATGGCATTCAGCACGGTTTCGGCGAATAGGAAGAGCACTCCCACCAGGGCGATGATGAAACCTTGGAACCATAGTGCCCGAATAGGGGCTTTCCATGTTGGACTGACTTCTGAGAGATATGTGCTGAATGGAAGTCCGCCATCGCGGGCAAAGCCCCAGGTTAGGCGGGAGGCTGTGGTCACTATACTGATTCCTTGGCCAAGACCGTTCGTGATGAATAGAGCGATCAAAACTGCTCCACCAGTTTGGCCAACTGTTTCTTGGACGAGCTCCATGAAAGGAAGACCACTTGGTGAGTCAACAACTGTCTTGACATTTTGGATGCAGAAGAGGCAGACCATCATCAAGATGAAACCGCTGATCGCGCCAGAGATCACAGCCAAATAGATGACCTTCGGGGCATTCTTGCGTGGGGCGGGGATTTCTTCCACTAGGTGAATCACGGCGTCGAAGGCAGTCAGACCGTAAGCGGCCTGGACGAGTCCAATAAACCAAACAACACCGTCTGGCCACCCGGTCTGATTAATCCATTTTCCAAAGGTGAAGGTGGCCGGCTGATACGACAAGCCATCTTTGATGCCCACGGAAATAAGCAAGGCAAGACAGAAGACGAAGAAAAGTCCGAAGAACCATATACCAACAAAATTATTCAACCAGGGCAAGAACTTCTCTCGCCGACAGCCGACCACATTGATCAATGTCAGAGCAAAGACACATCCAACATAGACGACGAATTCAAGCCATCCGGTAGACGCACCAGTCCAATTGGGATTGAACATGACCTTCATTCCGAGCAGGAAGTTGGTCATGAAAGCGACCTGAGAGGCAGCAAGAGTCCACCACCCGAACACATTGATCCAAGCACACATATACGAAATGAATCTTCCCAAGCGCGAGTCCCACAAGCGGTAAACCCAGTACGCCTGTCCCAGAGCAGTTGGCATGCTGCTGCAAATCTCGCCCAGCGAGAGTGCCACGCAGGTGTTGCAAAATGTAACCAGGCATAGACCCCAAAGGATCGAAACAGGACCACCGTTGATTAAGCCATCAGAGAGATCCTGTGCGAATGTTGACCACGTTCCAAGGACACAGAAAGCAAGCGCTAGCATGCTCCAAATGTTGAACTTGCGGGCGAGGGTCTGCTCGTGCCCGAATTCGGCGAGATCGTTGGCATCCTGGGCGCTCTGGTCGGTTGGCTTGAGGGGATTTTCGGTTTCCACGTCCATACTTCCAGTAATGGGGAAGACCAGTGAATTTATTCAAGAAGGTCGCTCTGGGGTCATTTCCCAATGATGAAGAGTTGGCGAGATACTGCTGTTGAAGCACTCGACAGCGTGGTTTGAGTTGTATATTGTCCTTTTTCAAGGCGATATATTGGAACCAGAATTGAGGATTCCAAAAGCAGTTGTAGCAAACCGAAGGCCCGCACCCCCAGTTTCAAGAACCGGGGGTTCTGACGTTTGTCTGGGGATACCCCATGGGCATCGGCATTTGTGGCCAAACAGAATCGCACGTACCCTGAACACTCACCGAGACCGGATCCACCTGCGATGTCCCGAATTTGGAAGCATTTACGAGATTAGCGACACGGAAATGTCGCGGTTGCTCCAGTTTTCTGCTGGAGACTCCACATTGGCCATGCGAAGGCTGAAGATTCCCTCTCTGGAAGGTAGATGCGGAGAGCTTGACGGCAAAAGCTATAGATAATATCAATGGTACCTGGAGATCTGCTCAGTCGGTGCCCAACAAGAATATTTCCCGGTGAACTCGATCTTGACAGATAGCCATCGGAACCGGCTTTTGTCACGAGTGGCGACTTCACCCCCAGGTCCAAATGCACCGGGTACAAACGGCGCAATCTCCCCCGATCGGAATGGCAATGTCGACCCCGGATTCACATTGATAATTGACTTTCCATCGATTTCAAACTCGCAGTATAAACTGGCGAGCAGAACAATGTTGCCGGAAGGTGAGCGGCCTGAAGCGCATGCTTGTTTGCCTGCGTGTACCTGCCCGAAAGGGGTTAAGTCGGAGTGCAGTCTTGGTGATCAACCATAAGAACAACCTCACGCCGTTGTGAATTTGGACTTGTCTTGAATGCGAGGGAATTTGCGCACCGAATGTCTGCTTGATTTTGAGCGAGTTGGCCGGCAAGTACTCCCTAGATCGGATTAGAGCGCGTTAGGCCTGAGATCTTTGTTCGGCCAATCAGAGATGCTCAGACCACCCATAGTATGACCATATATGAAGATGTAGGAATTCACGATCTTTTCTGTCTCTCCCTTTCTCTTTGATTTACCTTTTTTTAAGCTATCTTAACTATGTCTCCGATCGAAAAGCATAAAGATACCCCTCACCCTCGGCATCGCTCCTTCAAGGGATGTTGGACTTGTAAGAAGAAGCGGGTTCAATGCGATGAAGTACGCCCCTCTTGTCAAAGATGCAGTGTGCGGGGCATTACGTGTGAGGGATACGAGATCAGATTGCGATGGGGAGCTGGTATCGCATCAAGGGGAAAGTTTTCGGGTGCCGAGAAGCCGGTCAAGGAATCTATACCACCTCGGTCAAAACGAAGATGGGATATGCGAGGGAAGGGGGAAGAGAGGGAGAAAGACAGGCAGGGTCAGCCGAGGTTGGTTTCTCAGCCCTCGACAGAAGGTAAATATATTCGTGAATGTTGTGATGGTAGATCCTATACTCACATACACTATCAGAACCGCAGACAGACTTAGTTGCCGAACGAGCGACTGTTAATATTCTCAACTCGCCATGGGAGCCAACGCCAAACGACCATATCACGGCAGTCAACAAACATTTCGAAATTCCTGTGTCGTTGACTGCCTTGTCAGGGACGGGTACATGATGAGTATGCAAGACGGCGAAGTATATTGGCTTAGATCCTTGCCTTGTCGGAATGCTTTTTTGAGCTAATATCCGATCATAATGAGAATATGATATGTACATAAAAAGTGGATATAACACTTTCGTGGTTCTGAATTCCCTTCTCATATGATTCCATGTTATGACTCAAAGGCTCAATGATCAAGGAGGAAGTCGTTCACAAACTCATCCGGAGTATGAGGCAGGCTATCATTGTATCGGGAGTTTCGGAATTTTGCCAGCCACTCGGGGTTATCCGCCATAGTCTGGTTCCACGAATCCTCGGAATCGAAAAGAAGACGTCTTGCTTCCAGCTGAAACATCTCATCGGAAGGAATGACACCAAGCCTCATATTCTGCTGTGCATAGTGGCTCAAGTGACGAGTAAGCACCTCGGTATAGGAATCTAATTGGGATCCTGGTTCCTGAACAAGCTCAGGATCAACCTCAGCAACCTCGGGGGAGACATGCTGACTATCCTCAGCCTCAGAGAATGTGGCGCGGGTCATCATTTGAGAAAGGTGATCCGTCACAGCTCGATTAGTGGCAGAGAAAGGCACGAAAGATCGAGCTTCAAAGTCCAAAAGGTATGGCGGTACGCTATGGGTAACTTGAGCCGCGATCTCCGGGGGGAACTCGTGATCCCCTTTCCAGTGGGCCATATTGCGACCTTCCCGGAAGTGGAATGTCAAATGGTCGGCTCGTTCATTCCAAGTAGACATTCGGCCGCTACAAAAACCACAACGAGAAGGAAAGTCAGTAATAACGCGTTTCCAATCATCGATCAACGGCATTGTTTCCAAGCGGTGGGCAAGACGCAGATGCTGTATAAGGTGGTCCTTTCGTTTGAATATACGATTTTGACGCTTGCAAGCCGAGTAGTCATGTTGCTCGAGGTGATCGGCCGAGGGATCGAGCTGGTTGCAATAGGCACAGTGGACGCGACCAGTCGATTGAAGTATCATGCATCCTCCATGTGGTGCACAAATCCATGTCTCTAGATTCAGGTGCAGGGATTTCTCATGTCGCATCCAGTCGTATTTGCTTTTGAATTTGTCGCAACAAAATGTGCAACAAAAGATCCGAGGAGCCGGGGCTGAAGTCGTGCGCTTCTTTTTGCCCTCTCTTGCCTTGTGCCTTTTGACTCCAGCCGTTGATTGATGTTGAGATCGACTGCTGCTAGAGACACCAGACTTATCAGATCTCCTGGATGAGGCGCTGGCAGCAGTTTCTGCGCTCGTTATTGAAGCAGGTCGAGAGGTGGTGGCGCGACAATTTCGAAATTGCTCGGCGACGCCTGGATTGGATGTGCTATACCAACTGTCATGGTCTTGCTGTTCCTTATACCCAGTTGAATAAATGGATGGATTCTGAAGTGCGTTTCGAATTGCTGATAAACTGGCAGCTTCACCTTCGGGTGGCGATTCCTTCCAGCGTTCCAGTGGATGGGCTGGGTTTGCGTTTGGCGGTATGAACACGGGACTTGCTCCTCTGTCAGTTTCCCGGATGTGATACCTGCTTCTGCGACGTAGAAGCGCATGCCGCTGTTGATCTGGTTGTGGAACATATTGGCTGGTCGGCCACTGTGGATTTGATCTTGGTCTCGGGCTTCCAATTTCCTTGCCATTGTTTCCATCGGACACTGGAGCGATGGGTAACGGAAAGGCTGGATATAGTGAAGGCTCATGACCCAGAAGTGGACCTGACAGCTGAGAAGCATGAAGCTGTTCATTGGCCTCAAGGGGGAAGCGCTCATGGTTTGCGGTTGAACAATCCGCCTCCGATGACCTCGTGACCACATGTGAGAGCGCAGATGTAGAAAACGGAGAATCTGGACCTATCTCACCGCTGGCGATATTTTGATTTGCGGCATAAGACCCTGTGTGACATACCGAAGAAAAAAGGGCGAACAAAATCTCGTTGCCTTCGGGTGCAGCGAATGACTCGGCAATATGAGCTGCCTGAGGCTCATCTGAATTGTCTAGATGATAGATTAATTCAAGCACCGATATGAAACCACACTATGGTACATACCTTGTGGATATTGACGTGAATCCATCTCGGTTCTTTCAGATAGCTTTCGTGACGTGGCTAACAGCACCTAAAGACGAGGGTTCGGATGTGGAAAGAATGGCTCTCTATCATTTCAGATTATTCATTGATATTGAAATTAAAGAAAGGCAGCGTGATCAAGACGACAATCTTTTGTTGCAAGTGGCGGTGATTTTTGGTCGTTTGCCGAATCTCCGCAAAATTCCATTTTCCGGCGACCTCATGTGAAACCCTGAACGAGCCTAAAATGGCCGTCACACGCTAGTGGCCTTTAGCCAAATCCTGTCCTTGGGACTCAAGAAAGGATTGCGGTGATTTTCCAATAAGGGTCTCATAATTCGACGGATCGGTAGCTCCCTCCCGGCCAAAGCAAATAGCTTGGCTCTTTTCATCCAAACCAAGCTACTCATCTATCCCACTTTGCTTGGGTCTAGACACTGTTTTAGTTATCATTGAAACCAATTGGCTTCATTCCGGATATTTCGTTAGCTGGGATGCGCTTGAGCCTTCTGCAAAGGTTCCAATTAGAACAGCACGAACTGCGGGTGAACCTTCTTAATATATCTCACGTTACAAGCTGAATACAAATCCTATCGGCATGTGATCTTATCCATTTCGGCGTTTATTCATATTTTATGAAGATTCACCTAAAGATAAGCTGCTGTGGGGTGCAAATCAGTGGAGCCTCAATATCAAGAGCAAGTACAAGTAAGTTATAGCAGCAAGTTCAAAGTTATGGCCTGCGTCAGCCCCGCAAATTGTGCAACATTCGTTTATCCGAAACTCCTCCCATAGATGTTTTAATCATTTCATCTCTTCAGTTGCTACTTTGTTACGTTGATTAGCTGCGGCAATTGGGCCTTTCATTGATGGAAAACTACTGAAAGAAGGCTGGACATACAAGGATAATGTGGCCAATACAAGATGCAAAGAAATCATCCAGGGAGACACCAACATCGAAGCGATCATCCTCGATGGTCTTCTCAAACGCTTACACCAAGAACGATTCAATGAGCTCGTCGATAATGCACTCGCATCCCAGATTGCAAAGGAACTGTACACTCACTTCGGCTTCACCCGCGAACCTTAATCCGACAGAAGCTTCCGCAAATTATTCAGGCTTCTCATGGGCAACACAATCTTCATTTACTCACAAGTGGGTATTTCGGAAGCCTTGCACGACTCAGTCTTGTGGAGGGATCGCGTATATATGTACCACTGGGAACAACCATCATCATTCCCCGAGCTGACATGTGGTCTATCCTATCGTGGTCTGTGTGCAATGCTCTTGCGTCTAAACAAGTTTCAAAATTGCCCTCCTTCAACTCAGCAGGTTTCTTTAGAGGCTGCTGGGATTCGGTCCGCCTTTGCTCATGGTCAGCAGCCTTGGGAGCCATACCTGGATGCGAAGAGGCTCATGTAATTTGTTCCGGATGGCCAGTCCGGTTTGTATACTTTGGATGAGGAATTATGGGGTTCAGGAATGGCTTGGTGCTGATGTTGATAAGGTGGGTGTGTTTGTTCGCAAGCTTGTTCCTGATTTGGAAATTCAACTGAACTGGACGCATGTGGATGAAGACCGAATCCGTGAATAGTCTTTACAGCGAATGGAATAATTTCAAGGGTAAATTGGTTGGTCAAAATATTGACTCTGGTGTCCGCGAGTCCCACACATTTGATTCATGATCCACTCACATTATCAATGCCGATTGCTTGTATGTGGTAACACTCCATCTGATTCGGCACGAGAAGCTAGAAATCCACTTCAAGCAGCCTGTCTCCAGCTTAGGCCCTCAAATAGCAACTTACCGTTCTTCCTTTTCTGGTCAAAATTGGTTTTCTTACAGTCGTTTTCGAAATCAGATAACTTCAGTTATACCTCCACACTCTTCTAACATAATTCCTGAGCACGGTCCGGATCTACGATATGCCTTTTATGGAAAGAGAACGGCGATGACCAGACGCACGTACGCACGGCTAGTCAGCCCCCTCAAATTCTACGCTACTACCACACTACTTATACGCAAGTTCGACGCGCTTTACCACACCTCCTTCAGCTCCCGTAAACTTATTCAGTACGCATGGATATGGAGCCCAGTCATTTGACTCTAATTTCCATCTTGCATCGCCATGTTTTATTCATCTTGCGGATATAACTATTTACGGTTGTACTCGAACATTATCAATCGGAGATTGCTGCCTCCTCTTTTGATCGCAACAACGATATTAGCGGAGTCGGAGTGGTTTACTTGTAGGCTGAAAGGTTAGCTCGATCTTACGGATGCCGGCGGTTATCAATTATGTTGCCGTTACTGGCAATCCCATTCGGGCCTTTTTCAATGAATTATTGGACAAGATTTTTTTTGAAAGATTCTACAAACGAGTTATGCTAATTCATGCATGGTCTGCGCCCTTGCTTAGCCTTGTTTTCTTTTTTTTCGCCCTGTTTTTGCCCATTTCCAAGTGCCTTGGGTGAGCTATTCAGGTCACATAGACGTGGGGTTGTGAAAAGACTTATGTCCATTGTTGTATATAATTACTAATTGAATTCTCTCATTGAGTCCTTCGTATTCACTCCTGTCACCCAAAGTCATCAGGAGCATAGTTAGGGAAAGGAATAACCAAGAAGAACTTTTATTTTTTATTATAACATCCACACATCATTGCTCAACACCAGCCAAGAAACAAACAACAGCAGAAGCAAAAGCCTTGGAATCATCCTGACCCCCCTCCTTAAGATCGTCCCCAACCTGCTCCAAGAAAAGCGCAAGCTTCGACTCCTTCCACCCCATGACAGGCGCAGACTCAAGACACATCTTAGTCATACCAAAAGCATCCATCTCATAATGACCCTGCACAGAGAGAACCCTGCCAGGGTGGTAAAGACCCTGAATAGGGCAGATAGGCGTACTGCCAATATTAACCCAAGGCGCAGGCAGCGAAACAGGCGGCGACTCGACCAGCGAAACATGAGTCCCCTTCTCAACAGCCATAACACGATCCCCGTGGAACATCTGGATCCGCAACTTGCCTTCCGGCAGCTGACCCAGTGCCGCAGGGAATGAGTTGAGGAAAGCCTTCTCTAATTGAACGGTATAAATTCCGACTTCGCGGCCGAGGGGGCACTTCTCGACCCAGACGTCGCGCACGCTATCTTCTGAGTTGCGCACGAGCGCGTGCGAAATCATCTGGTGGCCGAAGCAGGTGCCCAAGATTCGTACTTGGGGGTAGTCGTTGTACACGGTTTTCACAAACTTTTCTAATGTTTGCATCCAGGGTGAGTGGTCCAATTCGTATACACCCGGTGAGCCGCCTGTGATCAGGACGGCATCGATGGGCGATGCCACTGGGATTTGGAATTGGTTGGCATCGCCGCGTAGCTTATAGAGGTCCGGGTAGTGGCCGCCGCGGATATCGTATGGTGTGATTTTAACTTCGAGTTGGTCTTTATCGGCGAAGAAGGTCTCGTTCAAGCGTGAGGCCGTCTCGCGGAGAATTGTGCGAAAGTGGGCGCTGCAGAGTCCTCGTGCCTCGTAGAGACGGCGGGCTGGGATGTCGACGTCCAAGACGGCGATGTGGATGTTGTGGACCATTTTGATATGTTGCGCAGCTATGGTGTTGATGCTGGGGGTGATTATAATTATGGAGGTTCGCAATGGTGAGAAGCCTAGAATATAACTACAGAACTAGAAAGCACAATTTCCCCATACTCCACTGCCAAATTGCCAAAAAGTTATGTAAAATCCGTGGATTTGCGGAATCCTCCAGGAATTTATTCGTAAGAAAAAAAAGCAATGTTCCAACGAAGATGTCGAATGACTCCAAGTGACCCCAACTGTTACTTAACAGCAACGTTGGTACTCGATGAGCTTAATTTCTGCTCCACTCGGGCAGACGCACACCGAATGCTTTTTCAGATCTTTGCTCCGAGAACGCTGGGAAGCGTCACGAAAATAAACCGGGTCATACTCGCTTGATGATTTGAGACAAGCACAACAAAAGCAATTGAAACAATAAAACATCAAATGAAAAGAAATAACCACGGCATTTCGGATTGTATGCACAAAACCTAACCATAAAGCTAATCTCGTAAAAAAGTGGAGCATTAGTTAACAGCAACTCGGAGAAACATTTCATACTCCGAAAAAACATGACATTCAAATTATAACCATAGACTCCGTCTCCTTGAGGAAATTGACCGTCTTCCCAGCCACAAATTTCACAATATAAACAGACCCCCTAAACACAACCTCGGCCTCAATATCTTTTGAAATCTCCACCTCCAGATTCCCATCTTCCACCCACTTCAACTTAATTTCCCCCGCAGGAGTCGCAAATGTCCCTTCGCCCGTCGGCATAAGATCCATCTGTGGCTCAATGCGGAGACGCGAGAAACCCGGCTTGGACGGCTTGACACCATACAATTGGGTAACGATTTCGTTGACTGGACATGCACTCCACCCGTGACAGTCGCTCCGAGGATTCTCCTCGAACTCAGCCCATGTCGTTAGGTCATCCGCCAGCATCCGTCTCCATGGCTTTAGAAGAGCAGGGAACATCTGAGTGTACAGGCCGACTTTTTCCACTGCGCGGAACACGTAGAATTGTAGTGCGCTGGAGCACTGTACCAGTGCGGAATCGTACATTGTTCGGACCATTAGGTCTCGAGCTACTGTGCCGGTTATTGTTTCCGAGAGGACGGCGAATACTTGGCTGTGCTGGCTGTATTCTTTTGTTGATGGGCCGTCTAGGTAGAAGCCGTCTGCGAAGCAATGCGTATTTACCGCTTCGCGGAGGGCCTGTGCTCGGATGGAATATTCAGAGGCTGTATCCTTTCGTCCCATAAATTTGCATAGATCGGCGGCTTGCATCAGCGCCACGATATATAGAAGACTATTGACTGTCGCTGCGCCGGTAGTGTTGTATGCTTGAGGCATGCACGATTGGAAGATCTTGCCCGGGACAGACCATTGATTTACCCAATCGATGAAAGGCCATGTATCCTCTTCAAACCGACCGACCAGACCTAGTTTATTGATGCGCTCATCGAAATGGTGGAGGATTCCATCAATGGTGCTCAAATACCGCCGCACAACCGCTTTGTCCGCGAAATATTGCATGTGATCCCATACCATGGCAACCCAGTATAATGAGAATTGGGGGATTTGTTTACTGTTGAATCCAGCCGGAAATTGAGCTTTGATCAACCCATCTGAGCACTGGCTGGCGTGAAATTCTTCTAGCGTTTTTCTGGCGAGGCGATCGTCTGATGATAGTTGGTATGTGAACAGCATTTGGAGTCGAGAATCAGATGCAAATTGATTTTGCTCATAGAATGGGCAGTCTTCATATGTTTCATGTCGGCAGTTCTGGAGAGTCCGTAGGCTGACATCCCAGATCTTGTTTATTTCTGGTCCGGCCTGGATTTCAGTGGTGATATCCAGCGGGTATGATGTCTCGCGTAGAGAAAAGCTCTTGAGCTTGAGAGGTTGGGATGATGTCTTGATGTGTAGTTGCACATATCGGAATGCTCGGAACCAGAATGGTTCGAATGTTTGTTCTGCTTGGCCGTCGGCCACTGTATAGCTATCTTTCACTCCATATAGCCTGCCGGTAGAATCTGACCTGAGGAGCTTGGTTCTTGGCATTGGGAAAGGAGCGATTTCAATCCCGAGATCTTTCTCGTAGCATTCAGAGTAAAGAAATGTGATTATTGATCCAAGTCCCTCGCCACATTGAAGGTTGACGAATGCCGTAGTCAAAGATGTACATTCAATGTCGACAATGACAGTCTCTCCAGCAGGGATAATCAGTTCCTGTTCTCCTTTGATGAAACCATTCCATTGGTCATGGGTGGTTGGACCAACGCATTTCACAACTCCATCAAAGGTTCCAGAAATCTCAGGGAGAGCGGGAATAGGCCGTTCGGTCAACTTCCATGGTCGCTGTATTGGAAGCATTTTGACAGGACGAAACTGGAAGGTTGCGTGCTCCCAGGTACTGTCGTCAAAGGCTGGTTGCTTCCAGCCAGAAAGCGTTCGGGATTCTGTTACTCTCTCATTGTTCGACATGAACGGTGGGCCCAGGAGAAAGTTCCATTCTGAATGCGGAATAATTTGACGAGTCATCTCTTGCAGACACTTCCACGAAGCATCCGTAGACACCGAAAGTCCCTGTTAAAATTGTTACTGATCTGCAAATACATATTGAGCAGGAACACAGGATACTGACTCCGATTTCGCCATACACCATAAGACCAGGTAACTCGGTACTTACTATCGACGAAGAACCAGTATTTACACAGGAGTACCGCAAGACGCGTGCACTAATGACATTTTCCCCTTCTGTGAGATAGGGTAAAATATCAACCGTCTCATAATACCAACGTTCTGGGTAACTCTTGCAAGGGCCCAAACTGACACGTTGCTCATTCACAAAAAGCCGATATCGACTATCGGCAGAGACATGAACAAGGAACTCGCGAAGCCCATACGGTCGAGTCCACTGGAAGCTTTTGCGAAACAGGAAATACCGACCGGGTTGACTCTCATCCTCACTATGTGTGGGTAGCCAGATCCACGGTGGCGTTTGTGTCCAAGCAGGAGATCCCATTTCGGCTTTCATTCGCAAATTAAAATAAAAAAGAACAAGATGTTCAGCTCTGTTGTGGCTCATATAGACAATCCGGGGTTGTTACTCTGACCTCGGATATTCCGACCGGTATGGTTTAGGCCGAACCCCACGGGGATCAGAAATCGGCAGAAACGGGGCTTGACTGGCTTGACTCACTTAACGTTAACTCGCTAACTTCACTTGAGAGCTTGCATTTGCCTCTAGCGTCTCAGATGATTTCCCCACATTTTCATACTCTTTAAGTCGCCCTGTGTCCACTGTCCACTGTCCACTTCCCCATGTCTACCACAACCCCAGAATCAACGCGCTTCCGGTGCGCATTATGCCCAAAAGAGTTTTCTCGGCGGGAAAATCTTTCTCGCCATGCTCGGATCCGTGAGTATCTGACCCACAGTCTACTGTTACATGCTGATTAGCTTGTGCTATAGACAAACAACAAAAGTTACACCGGTGTCCCGTGTGTGGCAAAGAGTTCACGAGGAGTGATGTGCGTCAGCGTCATGAGGAGATTCATAAAACAAAACGGGCGCCTAGCGCGACTTTGAAGCCTCTGGCACAGACTGCATCGCCACAAGAACATGGGCTGGCCTCGACGCATACTGCCGATGTGCTACGTCACATTCGGTCGGCTGAAACACACTATGTTGCTGAATCGAGCAGTCTGGGCTCTCTGGCTGCTCAGTCATTCCCGCAGAACAATGTACAGCATCTGGTTGAGAATGATTGGACCCCTATGCATCCATTAAACATGGAAATAGATCATAGTCCGCAACTTGAGGTTCAACCTAAGACTGGGCAACCCCTTCATTGGGCAGAGCAATCGTCCCAGAATAATTTTGACCACGATCTAATTCGCTGGATGCAAGAACCATGTTTATTCGAGGATATGTGTTTCGACGACGATATCATGTCAGTACTGCTGGAGTCGGGGTCGATGCCGCCGTTCAACGCCGCACCAATTTTGGCGATGGACATCGACAAAGATCAAGCAACAATCGACCGTCATGACCAGAGCTCTAATACCTTTGTTGAAAGAGGAGATCGAATGTGCCGACCAACTTCCCCTCCAAATGAAGCCTCTGAAGAAGACAAATGGCCATATAGATGGGATCCTGGATCCCAAGCTATCACCGCAGCTAAACCAATTGAACTTCTCAAAAACCATCCGTTGAGACGAGACCATGATCCATCCTTTGATATCTCTCAACAGCGTTATGAAAGACTGATCGCATTTCTTTTGGAACCAGCAAGAAGAGGGTTCAGCTTTCACTCACTCCATTTCCCAGAGTTGCAGACTACAAATATCTTCATAGGATTGTTCTTCACACGCTTTGAACATCAGATGCCTGTCATACATCGCCCATCTTTGAAATCTTGTGATGATTTGCCTGACCCACTTCTTGCCACCATGATTGCTATCGGAGCTATATACAGCCGCGAACGACATACCTGCCGCTTTTCAATTGTTCTCGTTGACATGGCAAGATTAAGCTCCCAGATTGCCCTCGAAATGAATAACAAATTCATGAGAGACCCTATGTTTGTCTATGCACTAGCACTAATCTGCTATGCAGGCTTGTGGTGCGGTAATAAGCGACTGTTTGAACTATCTGAAAGCCTACGGGGTTCGGTGGTGACATATTGCCGCCAAATTCAAAACACTGAAATTATCTCAGCGAGGAAAGACCTCAAGAGATTTGGGAATAGTCTCGATGGCCAATGGCAAAGATGGATAACAAAAGAATCCAGAAAAAGGCTCATGTGGGCAATTTACGGTCTTGATTGTACCTTTCCATGTCTGTTGTACCTACCGGCTTCAATCAGCCTAGCAGAAGTCCTTACGATAGAGTGTCCCTGTGACGAGGAGCTTTGGCATGCCGCGAGCGCCAATTGTTGGAGAGCATTACTTGGCTCTGCCTCTGTTCCACCTGCTAGAATCTTCTCTTCCGCCGTGAGTCCCTTTTTGGTGCCATTGAATCTGGGACGCGGGTCACACAACTTTTCATCTGATGCAATCCTTTGCCAATCATCTTTTTCCTCATCAACAAGTCTCAATTCCTGGACCCGACATCTCATTCTTACTACCATCCTGGTACAATGCTTTGAGATATCACAGATTATCTCAATAGTATCCAAAGTAAATCTCGATACAGAGATATGGCAAGTACCGGGGACAAAGGAACCAACTACTCCAACAAATAGCGGTTTCACGGCTACCCTCGAGCCCGAGGTTCAAACTCATTATGCATACTTGATGACAAGATGCTTATCAAGTCGTTATCCAGATTCTACTCTATCGCTTCCAGAACAAGATGTCTGTAGATCTCTCGCAGAGCGCAAGGAACTGATCTCAAGTGAGTTCATTGATATTACTTTGAAAGCCACATCTAATCATCTCCTAGAAATGCTAGTTGCCTGGGAACAAGCCTACGCATCAGTCCCTGCCCCAGATGTAGCGGTATACGAAACCTCGCGACATTTCCACTCTAGTTCACAAGTCTACCGTCGTCTCGGCCGACTAACTCTCCACGTCCCAATTGTGGATCTCCAAAACGCACTCGGAAAATCGGGGGCAGCGGAAATCACCCCGGCAATAGAAATGATGCATAAAGTTTTCACAAATCACCCCGACGATGTCGGATTAATACTCACACATTGTCTGGAAGTCATCCGCGATCTGCGCGTTCAGCCCAATTCGAAGTCCCGGATGACAGAGCCTGCTGAGATAATAACCTGCTTCCTCAGTGAGGTTTTCGTTTGGACGCTCGTTAGTTGTGCAGACCTGATACAGATTCGGCTCTTGAGAGATAAGATCGAAGCATTCGAGGCATGGGATGGATTTTTTGCCGTTGTGAAGGAGGCCTTGGATTGGGCGAGGGATCAACAGGGGCGAGGGGGTCAGAAGCAGAATACTTCTAAGACGAACTTGATTTTGTTTGCTGCTGCTGATATAATTAGCAAGATGACACCTTGGAATGCGTCGCTTAATTTGGCGTTGCTTTTGTGTCATCGGGGAAGGGCATCTACGACGCGTGAAGGTTTAAGGTCATGAGTAACTCTGATCTTTCTTCTACTGCTTCAGAGTTACAAGGAAGCAGTCTAATGTAAATTTATACTAAGCGAGCTGAATTTGGTGCCCGTGCTTCATGAATATTAGTCTCTTCCAACGATTATCATAACAAGCGAAAAATACATGTAGCCGATTCATGTTCAGACAGGCCCACCAGCTGACGTGGCAGCCTTTTTATGACTAGTAAACTTTCTAGCCGGGACCTTCGCCTCATAAAGGTTATCGATGTCTTCCGTAGAGAGCCCAGTGGTATCAGGTACAATAGCCCATGCACCCCAGATAAGCAACACCGAAGCACCAGCGAAGACCAACCCAGTCCGCGCACCCAGGTTGCCAGAGTCGATATTGTACATGTACGGTACCACAAAGGTAACGAGCCAAGTAGTGAATGTCTGAGACATCATTCCAAGAGACATGGACTTGGCACGCAGTCTGTAACTGGAGATTTCGGCTGCGATTGACCAACCTGGGGCTTGCATTAGACTAGCCTGCAAGGAGATGAGAACATTCCTGTTTTCACATTAGCGAGTAGTCTCCACCAGAGTTGGATAGGTGTCCGTACATGAAGATTGCAATAGCCCACTTCGGACCAGTACCATGAGCCCAGTAAAGTGCCCCAACAATCAGATTGAAGAGGAAATTGATAATGCATCCCCAGAGCAGGATGTTCCTGCGTCGCACATTCTTCAATGCGATACCACTGGCGATGATGAGAACAATGGCCAGCCCGAATCCACCGATCGAGATATCGAAAACGTGAACTGCGGGTAGGCCGACGGAGATGAGGAAGTAAATTGATTGCGAAAGGAAGGGACCACCACCTAGATTGACAAGACCGAAGAGGAACATCATGGTAATGGTCCTTTTGAAGTTCACTCCTTGGAAGCATTCAATGTAGCTTGATTGATTTGCCTCGCGTTGCGAGTTTTCTTCCTGAATGGTCTTCACTAGATGGTTGTAGCGCTCCTCGCGATCGGCATCGTCACGGTAGAGCCATTTGAATAGCTTCTTTGCACTCACTTCGCGTTTGTTGATAATGCAGTAGACGGGAGATCTATAGATAGTTATTGATGAACGACCAACTTAGAGTACGATATACGTACTCCGGTGCAACAGCAAACACAATCGCGACAAGTCCACCGACTCCCCATTGAATAGCGAACACCGTACGGAACGCCTGTTCAGACATGTCGGTAACAAAGATTCGAATGATTCCCATGGCCAATGCTTGCATGATGAGAATGAATACCACCAACGCTTGCTGAACAGCAGGAACAAGCATGGGAGGGACGACTTCGGAGGCATAGGTCATACCAGCAGACATAGCCATTCCAATGCCCAGCCCTCCAACAATCTTGCCACCAAGTAGCGCACTTCTTGTGCGAGCAGTGTACTGTACCGATGCACCGATCAACGCAATGACACCGGCAATGACACCAGACCATTTACGGCCAATGCGATCAGCAAGGAATCCAGTGCCAGTAGCTGAAAGGGCCTGAGCAAGGGCGGACATGGAAGTCCACAATGCCGTCCATAACGATGGAAGATATAATCCGGTTGCATCTTTCTCGCCAAAATACATCATAAACGCCGGCATGGATATCGAAGCGCCATTCACAATGGTATCGTAGCCGAACATCGCACCAGCGCTGAAGGAGATACTACCTGATCATGTTGTTATTCAAGTATAAAACATAATGGAAATATCAGATCTTACATATCAACAATGCTCTCCAATGTGTCTTGATAGCACTAATCAAACTCATCTCCTGATCAGCTTGCAGGAACCGAGGCTCCTCCCACTCGATGTGAGAAGAGCACGACTTGACATATTCTCCCGTCATGGTGGATAGCGACTAATTTGCTGAACAAGTGGACAGCGCTAGCACTTGTCACAATGGACAAGAGGCCATCTTAAATGGATTGATGATCTAGTTAGCAGAAAAATCCGGGGAAAAGCCCAGGGTGTACGATTGCCGGCCCCACAAAGGAAGTGGACAGTGGACAGTCGGATATTCCGGCGGACATGCATCTCCAGCTGGCGTGGACAAGTGGCCAATTGAAACGAAGCAAAATGCACTCTCCTCATTCTTGTTCGGTATAATGTTATGTCGAAAGACTATGTCTGTCGAATTCCTAATCGCCTCGCTTTCGTTGGAGCAAAAGGTTCCCCTATTGGCAGGTGAGTCTTTTTGGCGCACTACTGCTCTACCACAGCATGGCATCAAACCGACAAAGGTAGGTTTTTGTTTTTGTTGGGAATAATTATGCAAGGCAGGCCGTTAATAATGTGCATAGTATAGCGATGGTCTCAATGGTGTTCGCGGAGAGTATATCCATGCATCGACCAAAGCGACAGGTTTCCTTGTGCAGCATGCGTCGGATCAACGTTCAACCCCAATTTAGCCCTTCAAATGGGAAATGTCATTGGAAAATATTGTCACGCGAAGAATGTCAGCGTCTTGCTTGGACCAACAGTCAATTTGCATCGCTCGCCTTTGGGTAAACTTCATGGAGTCTATCGCTATCTCGGCATGCCCTAAGCACTTTGTTGGCAATGAGTGTGAAACCTGGGCGAGTCACCGAGTGATTTCTTTGTATGAATCGATAAGGCTATGAAATCAAATAGCAAAGAGTAGCTTGATCATTACAAGAGCAGATCACTAGACCTTTCTAGTACGTGGAAACCTAGGAAGATTATGCATGATCCCTTACCAACGATTTCACAAAGCTGCACCGTGAAATATCGGATAGAGAGGGAGGGAGCAGACTCTAAGAGTGATGAATCTTCTATGAGAAGAACAGTCTAAATAGGCATACATGTCTTAACAACATCTGCAATCATCTCCATAGACCAAAGATTTAGGGCAAAAGATATCGGATCCGGGATCCCGGACCCCGATCTCACTCTAACCCAAAAAGGCAAGGTGAAACACACGACAGTCTAGGATCTGATTGGAAAGGGGCGACCTCGTATAAGCTCGCTTTGTTGTAGACGTTTTCTTCCCCCTTCCACCTGTTTGACGGTCTGGTATAATGGCGATCTCAATCCCCCACCAGTCCAAGCAAAATGGCACATACCAACGTAGGAACATCACCCAATCAAAGCCATCACTATCTTCAATCAATGAAAATGAAAAGCAACTCAGCAATACGGTGAACAAACCACCCAAACAACACAAGAGCCGCACAGCCCTTCAACGCTGTAAGCGCTTTGCAACAAAAAACACATGGGCCACACCGCTAGCCCTACTGCTATCAATCTCATCACTATACGCGGTCAACCCGACCGAGTCCAACATCCTGCACCACTTTATATTCCTTTCCTACAAAGAGCCCTCAAATGTGTCATCCCAAAATGCCAAACCCCAATATGGCAAGGGACCATGGGATCTAGCCTTCGTCCTCTTCTACACGATTGTGCTATCATTCACCCGCGAGTTCGTAATGCAAGAACTCCTCCGCCCACTAGCACGCAAGTACATCAAAACCAACGGCAAGCAAGCCCGATTCATGGAACAGGCGTACACAGTGATTTACTTTGGCATCCTGGGTCCAGCGGGATTGTATGTGATGCGCCAGACGCCAGTGTGGTATTTCAACACGCAAGGAATGTATGAGGGTTTCCCGCATCGGACGCATGAAGCCTCGTTCAAGTTTTATTATCTTTTTGAGGCGGCGTACTGGGCGCAGCAGGCACTTGTTATGTTGCTTGGGTTGGAGAAGCCCAGGAAAGATTATTATGAGCTTGTCATGCATCATATTGTGACGCTTGTGCTTATTGGGTTAAGTTATCGGTTCCATTTCACATACTTGGGTATCGGGGTTTACCTTACTCACGATATCAGTGATTTCTTTCTTGCTGTAAGCTCACGCCCAATTCTGGTCTTTTATGCCAGGCTTACTTGTCTTTGTTGGGATATATACTGATCTTTTGTAAAGCTGTCCAAGTCCCTCCACTACATCGCACCAGATTACATGATCCCCTTCTTTGCAACATCAATCGGTGCCTGGGTCTATCTACGCCACGTATTGAATCTCCGTATTCTATACTCCCTCCTAAATGAGTTCCAGACTGTTGGACCTTACGAACTCGACTGGGAGACTCAGCAATACAAGTGCTGGATTTCGAACATCATCACTTTTGGACTGCTGGCTTCTCTCCAGTGTCTCAATCTCTTCTGGCTGTATTGTCTTTTGCGCAGCGCTCTCCGGTTCCTTGTCACTGGTGATAAGAAGGATGATCGGTCTGAGCCTGATGAGTCGGAGATTGAGGCGGAGGCTGAGAAGCAGATCTTGGAAGAGGTCAACGGTCATGTTGCTTTGATTGGTAATGGAGACGTTGTTTCTGGGAAGTTGAATGGGGCTTCTCGCTAGGCTTGAGATTGCTTTTCTAGTGAACTTCATATGCTGAAGATGAGTGAAGCTTGCAGGCTTGCAAATTTTCATGTCTGACGCTATCATGGACCATGAGGCAATGGCAACCGACTCTGCCTCACGGCAATGAACCGCAGTCCATGCTTCATATTCGAAGCTGTGGCATCTCTGCGGAATGATAATTTTGTGACTATACATACGTTTGGGGACTACATCACTGTCAAAGGTTACAGGTGCGATGTTCTACACTGGATCTCTCTGTACACGTGACATACTATGATATTTTTGGATATAATGATAATAACGGGTTATGTCCCCGGTAAATGAATGCAATTTTGGCTTTTAATATCTCAATCAGAGACGGCAAACCCCAAGTATGAAGTGTGGTGACAAGCAATTTAATATTTAACCGCAATCATAGGTGCAGAATAGCGAATCTTGCTACCCGTGTATCAAGAAGCAGAGAATAAAGCCCGCGTGTATTCGGCGAAACTCCAAGTATGTGCATATCAAAGACGATCTACAAGTCTTAACAAACATCTGTCTATTCCCATGACGTACACTCAGGAAAAGCGCATTCCCTGACTGGGGTCCCAAGTCCCGGGTTGAGGACCACGAGGCTTTGGAACGGCCTGAGCCGGTGTAGAAACAGGTGCCGGGTCCGGGTTCGCTCCGGGGGGTATAGCAGCAGAGCCGAACCTAATTCCCATCTCAGGTGACCACATGCCTGGCATTCCAGGTGTGGGAACCGGAGGGGGAGCAACGGGTGCGCGGACTGGCTGAGGTGCTGTTAGGGGGGGAGTGGGGTCAACTGGTCGTGCGGTGTGAACAGGTGTTGGATGTTGAGATGGTGGCTGTGACGGGTGAGCAGCTGTATAAGTAGATGGTGCGGGTTGTTGTGGTTGTTGGCGGAGATGGGGTTGGGAGATGTGTAGGGAAGACATTGCGTGGGCATTGGAAATGTCGCTATTGCGGTAGTCAGTATCCAGAAATGGTATGAGGAATTGTGAATGAATGAGGACATACGTTTCCATCTGACTCGCCTCCATGCGGCGCTGGTGGACGAAGGCTTTCCCGTCGTCACGGAAGCGAGCAACAATCTTAGCAAGATCATTATAGAACTTGCGTCCGACATCGAGGTTGGAGATAACTTCCTTGTACTTCAAGTAGCCATTTTCCAGATCTTGAAGAGCAATCTCGCGCTCTTTGGTTGAGGCGTCGCCCATATGAGCACCGGTGAATGCACGATTGGCTTCCCGAACCTGGTCAGAGAGGCTGTCCTGATCTCTGCGCTCCTGTACGAGCATATCGCGGTCCGAGTCAAAGTGCTTGAGTTGCTCTTCAAACAAGTCCTCAAACTGGCTGGCCTGGATAGCCTGCATAGGGAACTCGCGTTCGAGGCGTGCAGTCTGTCTCAGCAATGCAGGGTCTAGAACCTCATTAGTGGGAATTCGCCATGAAAGCAGCAAAAATACATACGAATATCATCGGCTCGTGCCTTATCCTTGAGGGTTTGGATACGCCGCTTCCTCCGGTTCTCCATACGACTGATTTCACTCAAACAGCCCCGTAGACGATTTGACTCGCGCTCAACATGGGGCGGGATAGCAGCTCGTCTGCTACTAGGCACGTATGATTCTAAATCCCTGTTGGTGCCAGTGAGTACGAGGAAGACCGAGTGTGAATCCTGTAGCTTCCGCTGTACAAGATCGTCGCTGCTTTGGGCAGATGTGAAATAGCCGCTGATCTCATTCAAACTCTTATAGAGCTTTGGTGCTGCAGATTCTGAGGTTGGACGAGTCCACCGGTCAGTGCCATACTTCTGGCGAGCTGCAAGATCCTCTGCCTTCTCCACTTTGAGGAGATCAACACCCTCGTTGTAAACTGCTTGATCATTTCCCTTGATCTTGGCTGTATCTTCGATCGAGCGGTGTAAGCGGTTTAGGCCATCTTGCTGGCGCATCTCTTCTGCGTGGGAGACAAGGGTTGGTGGGAGGCCCAGTGGCTTCTCGAGTGCCTGTAGAGAGCCGGGCAAATTCAAGGATGAAAGCAAGCTGTCGATCCATCATTAGCAGAACGTTATTTTGAAATTTTCAGGCCTTCGCGGGTACGCACTCCCGTAATTTATCGGTCATAGATTCTAATTCCCCAATGAGCGTATCGTTGACCAAGCGATCCCTGCGATCAGAGTAAATGCTAGCAGCAATGTGCACTGCATATGGCACCAACTTAGAAAACAGCGGCTGTCCCAGTGGCCCATTATCACCGAGCATAGAAATCGCATCGGTGACTTGCGAGGGAGCCTTGGAAAGAACCATGCTGGCGCGTTCAATGGACTTGAGCTCCGATTTCGGTGGCACAGGGTTGATGTAGATAATATCGTTGTCCTTCTCAGCACGCTTGAGGTCTTCTGCCACACGGCTCTTCAATCCGTTTAGGTCACCAAGAACAGTCCGGTTGATCCACCGCTGCTCCTTCAGACCTTCGTTGACACAGATCAAGCTGTCGCGCAAGCGGGCAACCTCTTCTCCGTACTTGCGCTTCTCCAAACAGTCCAGCGACTGGCGGAACTGAGCCGCTGCCGCAAAGTGATGATGCTTCGCAGTCATATGGTGGATCCAGTCTGTGCTGATGGCATTGGATTTAACAGCAAGATCACCGGCATCGCCGTAGAAATCAGACACCTTGGCTGCTAACTTCGCGATAGAGCTATCCTTGAGTCCATCCTTGACAGCCTTCTGCCAGAAGCACTCCTGGCCCTGGCCTAGCAGAAGCTGTTCTAAACTTTGAAGAGTCATCTCATCCATATCCTCCGGCGGCGATGTGCGAAGGTCGGGAATGATATCAACTCGAAGATGGTTCAATACGCCAGCTGCAGAGCACAGGTAATTGCAAGCCTGCTTGAGTCCATCGGCGGTCGTCCGGTTGGTTGCATAAGCAAGTTGCGAATATAGAGCAGCGAGGTTGAACATGACATTCGCCAATTCAAAGCGGAGGTTATTCTGCGATACTATTCGCTATTCGTCAGTAAACCTATCCGCCTCCCCCGAAGATCCTCGTGAACTTGCCTGGTCGCGCAGCATTGAACCCAAAAGCCGGATACCATGAGAAATCCACCCCGACCTAGAGAATCCCGTCAACCTCAAAGCTCAACCAAAAAGAGAACCACCACGCGAGGGACCGCGCACATCAATCGGGAACTTTCCACCTAGCCATTTCAGCTGTGCTGCGTATGTGATTAATCGGCTGATACCACTGAAATGCGGTTCCTGGACGTTGACAGCTTCAGATCTTAGACGATCAATTATCATAAGATCCTCCGCGAACATATCAGGGCGCTGGTCATATTTGGAAGATATGTACTGCGTGATAGCATCGGAAAGCGAGACGGCGTGTGAGCGACGGAACGGGAGCTGGAGGATGTTGCTAGTATACAATGTAAGCAGATGAAACCAAATCAAGTGCTTTGTAGCTATCTGCCTTGGAGTACTCACGACGCCATTGTCGCTGTTGGCGGGGTTGCGAAAGAAAGACTTCGTTTGTTGACGAGAAGTTTGACCCCACCGGGCAACGGGATGACGTGTTGATGGCCTAAGGCAGAATTCAAATCTATCCGAGCAACGATCGTGCTTTACTTGTTTTACGATCTAGGGCAACACATCGAATTTCAATTGTGATTCGTTTTGCTGTTCAAATATTTGCGCCTTAATGAGATTCCACCTCGTCCATGTATGTACGTGGATAGGAGATCATGACGTCCCCTCCATTGCCTGGGCTGAGGCTCATTCCAGACAGCGCAATCCTAGCCCGGCTGACTCACGATATCTTCACTTGAGCGCTCAGTTTGGCAGCTCGTCGATGCGGCGCTTAAAATACTCCATCAGACTGAGCAGGATCATGTTATTTAGCCCAGTCCGGAGCATGATGATTGAGATTCCCTTGTAGGTACTCGATTTGGCAATGGCTTTTGAAGCCTCGCCAATCTCCTGGCTCTTGCCGAGGAGGACACTTTGAGCGCGGGTCTTGCGCGTGTCAAAAGGATATGTCTGGTGGTCACATGTTAGTACCTTTTGTCAAGGCGGAATTCTGATCACATACACAAACCCAGGGGACAGTGCTGCAAATCACGCCGGCAAGCATTGTTGACCCCAGGTCGTTCTTGTTCCAACCCAGCTGTCTTTCTGCAGTTTGCTTCACGGTGTCGTAAATAGCGAAGTACATTCCGGTGCCAATGGTGTCACGCATCGCATGCAGACGGAATCCGGTATACAGTCCTCGAACTCCATGGCGCTTAACGATCTGCTGAATTGCTGCTATAGTACCCAGGCGAGGCTTGTGACGCAGCGTATGGTCTCGAGCGGCATCTGGAGCCGCCATTGCGCGGTTGGACACCAAAACGGAGGTTTGGACGACATTCTTTGCTAGTTCAAAGGGGCCTTTTTGGTGTTAGCCTATCTTGGTCGTTCACTTGGCCGAAATGAACTTACAGGCAAGAGGAGAAGCGAATAACCCCGAGAACATGCCTGCAGTGGCAAAAGTCATCACTCCAAGCATGTTTGGGGTACTTCCAGGCCGCTTATAGTCCTCAACAGGATTGAAGCCAGTTATGTTCTCAACTAGGTCGGAGATCCTGCCCGTGAATGAATGGTACACGGTGAAATTGACGACGCGCACTGCCGTGACACTTGCCAATGGAGGAAGAGCGCCTATGCGACTGTCAGAGAACCCCAAATTACTACATTGTAAACCGGAAACTCACCAGCGACATAGCCGCGATATCCCTCATTGCGCCAGAGGTAGCGAGCACATTGGAAAACGTTCTTAAAGTCATGACTATATCATCACTTAGTATGATCATTCATTTCCAAGGACGGAGAGAGTCTTACGTTTGCATTCGGGTCTTGATATTTTCAAGGGGAATCTATCCACGAGTTCAGACGAATTAGCATTGGTCCCAACAGGGATCACCAACCCGGTGCTGGCGCAAAAGAACTCACCAGTGATATGGTGGCGCAGATGGTTGAGGCCGCCGAAGAAACCTGGGTCTTGTATTTCTTCAAGAGCCTGTTGCGCGTGGACTCATCAAAGGTCCAAGCATTGGAGCCAGGCATGTTTGCGGTGATTGTTTGTGGTGACGACGAAGGGAATGGTGCGTCGTCAGAGCGCTTGCCAATAGTCATTTCTCTGTGTGGTCCATCGACGCCGAGGGGTAACGATGCAATCAACGGCCAGTACCCCGGAGAGCCTGACTCTTCTGCCGATAGGCTGGGGAACCCAATGGAACGCAAACCGGTCTCTCAAGCTAGAGTAGACCGTTCGGCGTCCCACAATGGTCCATTTAAATGATCCGCCAACACTGTTGTATTTCGACTCTGGCTCGGAGGTCCTACAGACTATGCCACCACACTTGCGGCACGGGTGCTGTTGTTGCGGGTTGTGTTGGGCACGATGCGACGGTAGACTATGGAGCCTGATGCTGGAGTTGACAGATTCGACGGGGCGACGGCACAGGAAGGACTGGTGAAGCACTTTACTTCGAAGTCCTCTGGTCCAAACAGCTGTGATCGTAGTGGGTTCCGACTTCCGCGGTAATTGTGACCGGTAGTGATGATCTGCAAAAGTAAAGTGTCAGTCTCAAAGTATTCATCTCAGACATTCAGCTCTGAACAGTTATACATCAAGCTCACATACCACCGAATGAATAACAAGCACAAACCAATCGCCCAGGCGAGCGAAGAAGTGAAGTTGAGCAAAATGGCATGTGGACCGAGCTTAATTCCCCAAAACGGTTAGGGCCAAATCGGGTGACGTCGTCGTGAACAATTTCTACTCCGTACGGTCTATATGTTCACGCTATGTTCCAACGCTTTTTCTACTAGTTCGGTTCAGAATCACTGAGTCGCTATATTAATTATCGAGTGGTAGAGCGCAGAAACATTGGGAAGAGTGCTACGAGTATCGCCACCTCTACTAACCCCGCTATATGCAAGCCAAACATCAGATGTAGGATATCTGCACGCCACAGGAGAACTAACATAAGCCAAAGACATGATCTGGAGAGTCTTAGAGCAAGGAAGACAGTACTCCGGAGAAACGCGGATTTGGAACCAGACTCTATTTACACCCAACAAATATATACCCATGGAATGATGGGATAAAATTTTCAGATTCAAGGCAAAGCGGCTATGATTGGGGAAATGCTGCAGATCGTTTGATCCGGTTTCATATCCTTGGCGAACAATGTTCTAGGTTGTACAATGTTGAGTCTAGGGCAAATGCATGTCATCTTAAGTAGATAACTGGGCAGTGTACAACTTAGGCACCTGCTCCATTGCCTTATGAGTGACTGGAATGCGGGGAGGCAATCTACTTAATCCACTTGCACGCAAAGCTATTTGGCTAGTCCGTTTCCGTACAGGGAAATCTTATCTCTCGTAATATCCAGTGCCTTTCACTGGTTTAGAAATGACTGGTTCTATATAACGCTCATGTAATGGTAAGCTTGAGCTACTCTGTCCAAGGCTAAATGTCATACGCAGGATCAAGACCTAATCCGGCGAAGCTCTCCACGAGGAAGACTTGTGGTGAATTGCTATTCCATGTAACATACTTGGGTCTGGTGAAATTTATGGATGTCAAGACCTTTATGTTGAATTAGCTTTTAATCAGACTGCAAAGCTAGCACATGCATGAGGCTAAGTCCGGGTATAGGCTATTCACGTGAGAAAGTGCGATCGGGGGGAATCCACATGCTACAGTTTATTATATCCAGGAACATGATCTTCAGAGCAAAAAGCCGACTTAACAAACTCCAGATTCCCAGGGTGGAACTGAGTTATGCAGAGTTGTGCCAATGCCAATGCCGGGGTCCTCGGGACCTCGGTCTCTCCCCGCAATTTCACACTTCCCCAACTCTTATTTATACATCTGTCAAGCCCCCTTGATAGCTAACACCCCCATATCCTCCTGAACAAAATCACACTACAAAATGGGTAAAAAGCAAGCAAGCCCTGCCTATGTCCTAGGCGTAGGCATGACCAAGTTCATCAAGCCTCGCGGCAAGGTCGACTATCACGAGCTGGGCTACGAAGCCGGCATCAAGGCCATGCTCGACGCCAAGATCAACTACGACGATGTCGACCAGGGTGTTGCATGCTACGTCTACGGTGATAGCACTTGCGGCCAGCGCGTCTTTTATCAATTCGGTCAGACCAGTATACCTATTTATAACGTCAACAACAACTGCTCGACCGGGTCTACTGGTCTCGCTATGGCTCGCCAGATGGTTTCATACGGTGCTGCGGACTGTGTTCTCGTTGTCGGCTTTGAGAAGATGAACCCCGGTAGCTTGCAGTCGATGTACAACGACCGTGAGAACCCGACGAGTCTGTTTGGAATGATGATGGCTGAGACGCGCGGTGTGACCAATGCGCCCGGCGCAGCGCAGATGTTCGGTAATGCCGGTGTCGAATACAAGGAGAAGTGAGTGGCCGCGATTCCATTATCTATCACATTATACTGGAAAAAAGACTAATGCGTTGAAAGGTACGGAGCTAAGAACGAAGACTTCGCCGAAATCGCCCGCGTTAACCACGAGCACTCCAAGCGCAACCCCTACTCGCAATTCCAGACCGAATACTCCCTCGAGCAAGTGATGAATGCACCCATGATCCACGAGCCCCTGACAAAGCTGCAATGCTGCCCGACCTCCGACGGTGGTGCTGCCGCCGTCGTCGTCTCGCAGGAGTTCCTGGACGCACGCCCCCATCTCAAGGAGCAAGCGATTCAGATCGCGGGTCAAAGTCTCGCTACTGATACCGCCGCTGTCTTCAACCGTAGCTCGATCGACCTGATGGGCTTCGGTATGTCGCGCCAAGCTTGTCGCACTGCTGTAGCCGAGGCTGGTGTCAATGTTAAGGATATCAAGGTCTGTGAGTTGCATGACTGCTTCTCGGCCAACGAGATGATTACTATTGATGCTCTTGAGCTGTGTGAGCCTGGTAAGGCTCACGAGATGGTCCGTAAAGGTGATATCACTTACGGCGGCAAGATGGTTATTAACCCGTCCGGTGGCCTTATCTCCAAGGGTCACCCGCTTGGAGCTACTGGTATCGCTCAGTGTGCTGAGTTGGTCTGGCACCTGCGTGGTTGGGCCAACAACCGTCTTATCGACGGTACTTCCTCTGCTTTGCAGCACAACCTTGGTCTTGGTGGTGCGGTCGTTGTGACTGTGTACAAGCGTGCCGACGGCAAGGTTGCTGCTGCTGTGCCATCTGATGTCGTTGGCAAGCTCAATGGTCTTGGATATAACCCGGCTGTGGAAGCCAAGGGCTTCACAGCTGAGCAGGCCAAATCTGTGGTGAGCAAGAATTATAACTCCGAGTATAACCTGTCTGCTTCGCAAGATACCGAGGAACGGGTTCTTGCCAGATTCTAGATATTTGATAGCGTCGCTGGAGCTACAATTTGCACATAACACCAGTTCTGAAATGACATGATATCCAATTCTTTTATATGCAACCCAATAACTGTCGAATCTATCCAATACAATCCAATATATATACAACTCCCGGAACCCCAACCCAAGCCACTATGAATGCGTCTCTGCCCAACCCGCCGGCAACTTGTAATTATGAGGTACGCGGTACTGCCCACTACAACTGGCAGGACCACGACACTTCAAAGAACACCTCCCATAAAGGCGACAATAACACTCCTCGGCAGAAGGACAAGCAAACCGATTAAGCTTCATCAAATCAACGCCCCCATCCTCCTCAAACGGCGCAAACAAAATATGCCACAAATAAGACAAAACCCGCCCAGCAATAAGATCATCCCCAGGCGCCGCCTTCTCATCAACACTCATCCGCCTCGCAACCCCATCATCACTCCCATCAAGCAACCACTGCCGAAGCGCAACATACTCCTCCAGAGTATGCTGCCACACCCGCTCGCGCGATACAACAATCTGCGCACAACACTGGGCGCGCACGGCATCATTCCGCCCAAGATGCAAATGCACCTGCTGCTCAATGCGAGATGAAAGCGCCTCATCAAAATCCCCACCAAAGATATGAGCCAACGCCTTCGGCAGCGCCATATCTGATGCAGCACGCGGACTCCACGGCGCAACGGCACTCTGCAATCTCATCTCGAGACTACCCTGTGCGGGGACAGACGAAGGACACGTCCCGGTACTCCAGTCACAACGCATATTGTGATACCCCGCTGGCTGGAGCGCGCGTCGGACATCCAAAGCCGCGAGCAGCGCGGCATTATCATAGTCCGGTGCGTCATTGTGCCAGGCCCAACGGGAGCCGTGGACGAAGACTGCGCCTGCAGACGGGATATCATCGTAGTTGTCGATGATGAAGGTTAAGTAGGTCATTGCTTCATGGCCGCGGTTTGCGGGGACTTGGAGTAAGTTGCTTTCTTTGTCGGTAGGGGCGTCGACATTGTATATGCATACATGATACTTTGCCCGCAGGTTCTCCAGCCAGGACGGATTGCCGTCTGCTGCTGTGCGCGCGACTATCAAGGCTGGTTTCGTGCTTCCTGCTAGGCCTGGGCAGATGCCTCTTCGCTCAGGGATGATGGCTGAGGTTGTTTTGTAGCGGATTTTGGTCCATGCGAAAATTTTCTCTTGGGTTCTTTGTGGGCGGTTGAGGTATAGGATGAAGAAGAGGATGCAGAGGAAGATCATTAATTGAGATATAGCCCTTTGTAGTTTTTTGTGCATTTTTGGCGGACTTTATATATGCATTTATGGTTCGGCTTGGGCTTAAGCTTTTCTCGTTCGCCGGAGCAGGCGGACTTAGGTTTTTCTGCCTCGGGCTTTTGATCTACATTTGCCCCTGAGCTGGAAATTGGGCCCATTCATTTCGTGGAACTTTATTTTCATGTTTAACTTTCTATCCACTGGGATTTTGATATAAAAATCACATTTCATGGTTTGATGGGCACAACCAATCTACACCGAGGGACCAAGTTAGTGCTTACCGTATATTGAAGCTATTTATCTTCGATACAATTCTTCTAAACATATGAGAAGCTGCCAAATATAGCTCCAGCTACGATATTAATATGTTGAATATAGATTGGAGTGTTTATAATATGCTTTGGATGTTTACAGCCCGAAAAATTGTATTGAATTTTCAAACTGTTATCTGAAGTATATATTTCCGTGCACGCAGATGAAGCCGCAATCAAATCCCAGATCTCAATTGACACCACCAATGACTTGAGTGCATGAGTTCATATCATAATAAATAGATCCAAGTCATTCTATCTGCGATGGAACGATAATTTCCAGGTCTAAGATAATGGGAATATTGTGATGGAATGTCCACGGTCGATAAAACTTTGGCCAGTTCTTGACCTATTGAAACCAGAATGCTTTATGATAAGCTACCTACACATGGAAAATATATATAACCTCGATTTCAAGACAAATATCAAAGAAAACGAGCTTCTTTTCCCATACATGGTCACGTGCGACAGCTGACATAACCCGCGCTAGCCGCCAAATAAAATTTGCGCACCGCTTCCCTCAGATCTTCTCTTCTTCAACTTCATAACATATTACGGTCTCCAACACACTCTTGTCGATGGAATATTCTCACTCCATCTACAAATTTTAGTTAGGGACCCAGACCGAAGAATGCTCGTTCTAATCCCGCCCCCTGACGTTCAGCCAGAGGGAGTCGGGTTCGCTTTTGAGCCAACATCCTCATGTCCAGGAATCTTGTTTTGATTGGAATTTGCCGATTTGTCACGCAGATCGGACTTTTGTCTTTGATACCCTCGGCGCTTTGGATGGAATTGTTTATCAGGAATACTGAAACGTTTGATGTTAGGTTTCAGCCCTGTACACTTTCAGCAAATCATTGCGAATCCCGGTTGATCATTCCTACAGACAGGAGATCAGCCCTACCTTGTACCCCACTAACTCACAGCTTAGCTAGATCCGTAGACACATGTTGGCATTTTCGAAGTCTTGTTCGTCATTCCTATGATATTCGAGGTCAAAAAAATGCCAAAATTGAGACCTCACAGTTGAACAAATGTTCTTCTGGAGCCTCCCTCGTGTTGCGTCCGCTCCCTACAGATGGGGCTGTGCGTGTCAAAAAGAAGGAGATACATTCCTGTAAATAATCATAGTTCATGAATTGTTTCGAACAGCTTAACGGCTACTTCGAAACACCTGATGTCGGAGAAATCACGGAAGAATGCTCCGTGTTTATGGAATGTGCAAGGTGACGATACCTTAGTATCCCTGCCAGGGATCGACAGCCCTGCGTACTATTCACAAGTTGGGTCATCCCTCGGGTCTTGTGTTCCTGCTTGTGATTAGCAGCACGAGGAACAACCATGAGATGGACAATAGATATTGACTCAAGTCTTGCCGTTCGTCCATGTATACCTTCTCCCGACGACGCATGAATATGTCTCCAATGCAACTTTCCACAAAGTGTGATAGATTGGAATGCTTACAGTCCTTGTTGTTGTTGCAGCATAGAGCTGATTACTTGGACTCGCTTCTCTCTTAACAACCCATCCCTTGATTGAAATCCCGGCGATCCTTAACTGAACGGGTGGTTCTTTCAGATTGTCGCAGGTTTTAACCATACCAGCTCCGAGCGTGGACGAGTCAGAGCCTTTTGTGGCGCAATACGAGCATTGAGCATGATTTGAGGGCCTATAGAACCAATGCAGTATCAAAATATTTGTTTATTCCCGATATAGATTGGATACAACGCGAAGACGCAAGATAACGCGCTACACGCCTCGCAAGAGACCCTTCGGAAATTCATCCGAGCCCCCTTGGCCTCTCATTCCCTTCAACCTGTCCGAGGGGCTAGATATAAATTCCACATAACTCCCCGCAGGCCAGAGGGTTTGTTTCTCCCTCCAGTCCACGTCCACCCACCAGCTGAAATCACTCTTTCACCATCTATTTGCTCTTCCACTCGCTTGGGCACACTTTCTGAACATACATATTTCTTCCCGTAATTCAATCGTTCAATATACCCGAAGTTCAAAATGGCCCGTCTCAGCGTCTCTCTCCTCACTGTTCTGTGCGTCCTAGCGGCATTGGCCCTTTCTATGCCCGTCAAGCGCGATGAGCAGGCACCTAGCCACGGTTTCACTCTTGAAAGCACTCTTGATCAATTGAAGGTACGATCATGATTGGCTCGACAATGTAAATACATTATCAACTAACAAATTCTGTGCAGAGCGCTACCAAGCTTATGGACGGTCTTGATAACAAAGACAGCAACGACAAGGAGAATCAGACTGAGCATGCTCCTGCAGAAAGCGACAGTGACAACGAAGCTCCCGCTAAGGAGCAGAAGAAGGAGGCCTCCCCACCGATTGATGACTCAAGCTCCGATGAGTCCAAGTCGGAGGACAAGCCTACCTCTACCAAGAAGTTGTCCTCTGGTACCTTCGTTACTCCCACTGCTACCAACACCCACCACCCTACCTCCGTGCCCAACGCTCTTGGCAAGCTTCCCCTCGTTGGTGGTCTCCTCGGTGGTGCTGGAGGTGGTCTTTAAACAGTTCAGTCTGGATAAACTCGATAAATAAGAGAATCGGCGTCTCTGCTGTTTCCAATGCCCCGATGAATCAAGTCATATATGGTGGATACTAGCTGAAGTGGTTTGATTTTCGTTTCATATTTTGTTTCACGCTATTGACAGTGGATGTATCTCGTGGAATGTTCATGATACTGTAGGCAAATGGTATGATGGTTGTGTTTTAGCATTAATTTGCAGTGATTATTTCCATTGTTAGCTGGCAAGTTTGTCTGGGTATTCGCTGATTATGTGTTGATGATAATGATAAGTCTTTCCAAGAGAACTTTGTCGGAAAAAAATGTCGCAGCACTGCCCAAGCTGTTCATGAACTTTTCTCACGGGTTGCTTTCTGTTGGCCTTCGTAGACGCCTGTATAGTATCCAGCGTAATACCAGGACATCATCAGGTTTTTCAACGCTTCATCTTGAACTATATGTTAAATTAGCCCGATATTAACACGTCATGGGCTTAAAACATACCATTAGCCATGGCTGGATGAGGCATCGGTGGAGCGGTTGTAGAAACTTCAGGACCGGGACCATTCGAAGGCTGAGAAGGCTGAAACTGAACTATCAGTAGGTGATACATATGTAATCGTGATTCTGGACTGGCACCATACCTGGGCAGGCTCATCGATGTTCATCGACGTGTTCTCGTTATCGGGAATAGCATCAGTCTCCGCGACATCGACATCGACTTCCTCCTCGATAATTTCATCCTCAACAACAAGGCCAGACTCCTCTGCCTCTCTCAACACATCTTCAACATTTTCACCTTTGGCGTGGATGCTGTGATAGAGCTGCCATCAAGTTAGATGGGATCACGTGATGACGAAGAAGACGCTAACCTGGTATTCCTCAACAGCATCATCCCAGGACTGAAGTAGAGCAGAGTCATCCCAGATCTCTTCCTGTGTCAGTGGCTTGGCCTTCTTATTCTTCCCCATTTTCGCAGCCCATTCCTGTGCGTAAGAAGGGTTGCAGCAGGTAAACACTACGCGCCGATATGTGATTTGGTAGGCCGGGTTCACCGCCTTCCAAGCAAATCAGAGAAAAAAAAAAGTTTCCCGCAAAAGATCGAGAAGCGTCCAGTCTCCAATTCGACACAACACAACATCAAAATGGCCCCTGATAAGAGTGAAAAGAAGCGCAAGGGTATGTGAATACCCAATTATCTCTTGGAATCTGTTTTGACCTTACTAACGCTGTTACAGCCGCGCCTGTCGCCGCCGATTCGCCCGCCAAAAAAACCAAGAAGGTTGAGGCCAAGGCCGCCCAAAACCCCAAGGACATTGTTCCCAAGTCTATTTCCAAGAAGAAGGAGTCTACAAAGCCCAAGGCTGACAAGGCCGCTGCCTCTCCTAAGACCAAGACCCAGCCTACCCGTGAGGTCAAGCCTCGCAAGCGCGCTGCTGATTTCCTGACCGACGAGGAGGTCGAAGCCCCTGCTCCCGCCAAGGCTGACAAGAAGGCCGAGAAGAAGCCTGCCAACAAGAAGTCCAAGAAGGAAGAGACCGAGGCCGCGCCTACCCCCAAGAAGGCCGCTGCTAAGAAGGCCGCCCCCAAGAGCAAGAAGTCCGAGCCCGTCGTCGAGTCCGAAGAGGAGGATGAGGAAATGGTCTCCGCCGCCGAGGAGAGCGAGGCTGAGGATGATGCCGATGATGACCAGACCGCCGCCCTGATTAAGGGCTTCGAGAGCAGTGATGATGAGGGCGAGTCCGGTGATGAGGGTTACAAAGAAGGCCAGCCCATCCCCCAGATTCCAGACTCCAAGAAGGCCCAGCGCAAGCTGGCCAAGCAGCAGAAGGCCAACGGTGTTCCTGAGGAGCCTGGCACTGTCTACATTGGGTAAGCCTTCATCTTTATCTTTGATTTATACCAATATCTGACATATATTCAGACGCATTCCTCACGGTTTCTACGAGCACCAGATGAAGGCCTACTTCTCTCAATTTGGTGAAATTACCCGTCTCCGTCTTTCTCGCAACCGTCTCACCGGCCGCTCCAAGCACTACGCCTTCATTGAATTCTCCTCGACCACCGTCGCCAAGATCGTCGCTGACACCATGGACAACTACCTCATGTACGGCCACATCGTCAAGTGCAAATTCGTCCCCAAAGAGCAGCTCCACCCCGAGATCTGGAAGGGCGCCAACCGTCGCTTCAAGGTGACCCCATGGAACCGCATCGAGAAGAAGCGCCTTGAGAAGGGCAAGACCCGTGACCAGTGGATCAAGCGTGTCGAGTCCGAGCAGAAGAAGAGACAGGCCAAGGCTGATAAGCTCAAGGCTATCGGTTACGCGATTGACCTCCCCCAGTTGAAGAGCGTTGACGAGGTCCCCGTGCAGGAGGCCCCCAAGGCTGTTGAGGGTGCCGAGGCCGAGACTGAGGCTGCTGAGAAGACCGTCGAGGAGCCTGCCAAGGTTATTGAGGCTCCTGTCCCCACTGAAGATACCCCTAAGAAGACCAAGAAGGGCAAGAAGGCTGAGGAGGCCCCCAAGGAGGTTGCTGCAGAGTCACCTGCTGCTAAGTCACCTGCTACCAAGGCCAAGAAGGTCAAGAAGGTCACCAAGAAGACCAAGGCGTAAACGGGATCATGTAAAAATTGTTTGTAATTCATTCATATAGCCTTTCTCAATGCATTCTTATTTTCAGACTTTTTGCAGTAACGGAATTGGGCAGGAAGTAGATAACGGGGTGATAACAGCACTGAATCAAGGAAGTGCCATCCTAAGTACTCAAACAAAGAAATCAATTATTACCCGAGAAGAACTCGAGCTCAATCTCAAAAAGCTGAAATTGTTTTACTTCTCTGTGAGGTTAGTCCCAACCAGGCTAGCGCCATCACCTGACCAACCGCAGAATAAAAACCCACCAAGAAAACTCGTCCTCTTCCTCCTCCCAACTCCTCGCTCAAAGAATCGCATTCAAAGCTCACACACAAAAGGAATTTACTCCTTTTATCTCTTGCTTTGGGAGAAAGTCCCCGGACACCCTGCGCTTTGGTTCCGCCAAAGTTCCAAGCCAGGCACTGCGGAAACGCGCCGCCATAGAAGCAATTCGATAGCGGCTGACTGCCCTATTCCCTCCCAGCACTTCGCACCACCCGACGGTTACATGTAACAATGTCTCTGGAAACAATGGGGTGTGTGTTTGGTGTTGGAGAGGGGAAGGATTTAGTTCCTTGTATTGGGTTGCCTTTCGTCATGTTCGGATAGTCATGCGATTGCCCTTTTCATCTGCTTCCGTCAGGTTGTCGGTGGAGGGTAACTCAATGGGGCTCATTCTTGAGGCGAGGAGTTCCCATTTTGTTCTTTTTGAGTCTGTAGCTTATGGCAAAGCGGTCGTGAGATTCTGTCTCATTGCAGATGCCCTGTCAAAGGGGCCGGACTCTTTATCAGTTCTTTTAACCTTGTGTCTTTGCCATGGGTTTATGTTCGCGTGATGATATACCAATCATAGAGTCAAGCACAGAGTCTCCAAAGGAGTCATTGACGATAAACGATTATCTTCTTATCTGATGAACATTTAAACAGTTATATATTTGAATCTATTGAAGCTATTGAGAAAAAAAAATACCAATGAACTCGAACTTGACCCAAATATAACGAAAAATTGATTAAATGCAATATGCAATGCAATATTCATGATATTATCGTGGCATTCCCCGTCGTATAATACACCATAACCATAACCAAGCCCATGTCCAACTCATTGCGCCTTCTTACTCTCAGCACCGACAGGAACAGGCTCCTTCCGGCCTACCACCTGCGCAATGAAAGCACCAACAACCTCCGCCACAAGCGCAATAGCAGCCGCACAGACACTGCTCCAGACCTGGATACTCACAGAGCCCAGCGGCGCACGAGGGAAGGACACAATCCATTGAACATAGTATGGGAACCAGTCTTCAGGGAGGGCAAAGACCGGGGTCTTGGAGTACCAGAATTGCAGGAAGATTTTCAGTCCGTTTGTGCTGAGCCAGCGCGCGATCTTGACGCTCCAGTCGAATGAGGTTTTTTGGGAGTTGAGGGCTTTGTCTGTGGAGAGGTCTGTTAGTACTCTGTTCAATTCACCCGTAGGTGGTCATTGTTGTCTTGTATCCAGTATGGTGGCACACGTACTTATCGCCTCATATTCCTCCATGGTCTTGTCATGGCGTCTGCGCAGCTTCGCCCATTTCGCGAACTGGTCTTGCGAGCTGACGCTGTTCATGTCGCGCTTTTGTTCAAGGACTTCGCGCTTGAGCTGTTGCTGCCTGCGAGCTTTGCGGGCTGTTGGCGTAGGCAATCGAAGGTACAGGAGCCATAGCTGTTGAATAGGTGTTAGCTGTTGGGTTCAGATGTAGATGTTCTGCGGAGCTGCAAATTGCAGCGCCTACGGAGGGCTCATCGGTAACATACAAGGTTGTCGATAGTGCTCGCGCCGATCGTATTGACCAGGTGGATTGCGATGTGCACAAAGAGCACCGTCAGGACAAGGGATAGCATTGTGGCGGGGGTGACGAAGGTAGGATAGGATGCGGAGATGGTGAGTGCGACTGCGACTGCGACTGCGACTGCGCAGGCTGGGATAGCCTGGAGGAAAGCGACGGCTCGATCGGATAGCAGGGCCTAAATGTGCAGGCAAATATGAGGGGCGTTGCCACGAAATGGTGTTGAGTGAAGTGACGTCCAATGTGGAAAGGTGGAAATAACAGCGGACTTGACTTGGCCTGTCCGCCTTCGTATGTCTACACCACATTTTCATCATTTGTCCACATTCACAGGCCCAGTTCAAACAAAGGCAGGCCCCAAATATGATGAGCTCCTCACAGTAATTACCTTCAATCGTTTGCACCCCAAACGAATAATCAAATGTCCAACCCAGAGCATGCATTTCAGGAACTTGCGCGCATCTTCTCATCTAGAGAAAACCAAGTCCTCGAGATTGAGATCATCCCTCCAAGTCTAGGCGCAACATTTCTGCAAGATGGCTGCTCAGTGGGAATCACCAAGAAAGCACTCGTGCAAGCATATACGGTCGCGCGAGCTATCTTCTTTAAGAAATCAATGCCCATGTCGGAAGATGACTTCCAAAATGCGCTCCTCATCCAAATTCAGTCAACAAATCCAGATTTAGCAATCACAGAAATCATGCTGCTATTCGATTGTGAACATCTCACAGCTTGCAATTGGCGCAAGCGCCGGTTATGCGCAGCCATGGCGCATTCAAATACCCAGGATCTTTCAAACGGGACACTCGCCACAATAGAGCTTTTAGAAGCCGAGCTCACGCTTATGTCGAGTTACCAGTGCTCGCCACTTCATCGTCATACCAAGTCGCCTACTTTATGGCACCACCGGCTCTGGGTGCTGAGACATCTACTCGAAAGACGGACTTGGAGTGCCGAGCCTACGCTAGAACTCCACCGGAGTGAACTGGAAGTTGTTCTTCGTGCGGGAGAACTGCATCCGAAAAACTACTATGCTTTCAGCTATATGCGACAGCTGAATGCGCTCCTTGTGGAGATAATGGCAGGAAAACCTGACTGGAAAGCAGAAGCTGCGCTGCCAATTCTTGACCGGACGATTGAATGGTGCCTGGCTAATCCGCGCGATATCTCCGGGTGGAGCTTTGGAATATACCAGCTGAGTCAAGTCACCGATCCCGCGGTGCGAACGCTTACACTTGAGAAAGTGCTCATGTTTGCTCTTGGTGTTGGCTGGGAGGGCGAGAGTCTCTGGACATTTGTGCACCAAATTGTTAAGCAATTCAATCTTGGTAGTGTCGCAGATGATATGGGGTTACGCTGCATTCCGGAAGATGCATCCAATGACTCTGCAAGTTCTTTACAGAAGAAGTCATGGCAGACCTGGCTGGACCGGGCGAGGGTATACTGGGCAGCCAATGGCCAGAAATAATAGCCCATACTCTATATATATGTACTCTGTGCCCCAAATCATAGTGATATAAACATGGTAGGTCAACGTAGATTGTAAATGTACGATCGCCAATTAGGGAACCACCAATTAGTTTTCAGTGTCGTGTCTCGTTTGATTAGCGCTTGATGTACAGTATGCTTTGGTATAAACGCCAATGAGAGTCAGATGAACGCCTCGCTAGACACCCGCCCCGAATATTTGCAAGTAGGGCATAGGTGGATGTTTTCTCCAGGTATCCAAGTTCCAATTCCCCCACGACCCGATCTCCATGCTATTCCAAAGTTGTCTGTTGTCTTTGCCCAGTTGCCTAGTATGTCCGGCACTGCAAGAACGGACAATCGCGAAGGGACCAGTATGAATCGAAGAATCGAAATCGGAATCGGATCGGAATCGGATCGGAATCGGACTACTTTTTCCCTCCTGCCTCTGCAGCCCTCTTCTCGTCCGCTGCAAGGAGAAAAAGATTAGCCCTTTGACCAAAGGGTCGCGGTGCACAATGGTAATACACACCCTTCTTCTGCTTCTCGCGCATAATGGCGGCAGCGTCTTCCTTGGACTTCTGGTACTGGCTGCCAGACTGGGTGTTCTTGCCCTTCTGTGGCGGTTGTTAGAGTCAGACACGGCGCTGGCGGAGAAGACGAACCGAAGCAGCAGCCTTCTTCTGGGCCTTGGCCCGATCATTATCGCGCTGGTTACCCCGCGTCATTATGGCTTGATATACAGAAAGTGTAGGGAGTGAGTTGGCGCGAAATCGTGAAACGGAGAAAAAGTTTGGAGGGGTTCGGCTTGGATCCCGCCACCGGATCGTTAGCCTCATACTTCTTTGCCCTAACTAAGAACTGACTAGAGTACTAACTGCTGGCTTGGAAGTGTTTGTCGGAGATTATACTTTATGTTCTGTTCTGATTCCGGCGGCTATTTACTCCCGACCATTGGGCGCGTAGATTGTTATCTCGTTTCATACTTTGCAATTGACTTGTTTAGCTTCGATAAAAGAACCCGTAAAGGATTTGCTTCAAATATCATGGGGCCTTGTGAATCACTCTTATCAGACAGTTCCAAAATATATAATTTTGGGCCAAAAGATCCCAATATAAGGCTGAAGGAGGCGAGAACAGTGGCCGCCCGCAGCCGCCAGGAGTCGTTTCACCCTAATCGAAACCAACAACTCTCAGCCACTCCTTCAGCTATCTCAAAAGCCAGTTGAAATCGTATTTCCGAAAGCGTCAAGATCCTAACCTCATGTGGGCTATAACCCCGGATTCCTCAGCGCTGAATGGCCTTAACTGGACCACAATGAAACACACGCATAGATCGCATCGGTTCCATATCGAGTCAGAACCCTGTTGATCTCCTTTAGTGCGAGCTTTAATTAAATGCCTTTTGTCAGTTTCAAGTCTATTCATAGGGTAGACAAGGCGCTACAACGGCATTCAGGGTAGATATTCTCGTCTACCGCCATTGTCCCATTGATGTTCTCATCCTTTTCCTTTGTCTATTCTTCCCTCGAGTTGACCTCGCTTTGTTCCATTGTGGGATATCAAGCTGTCTGCTGGTCAGGTTGCTTCTTTCCCATCCTTTTTAATCGCTGCTCCAACCCGGGGAATTCTCCTACACAATTATACCCGATTTTCTATTTCGTCTAGAGCTTTGCACTCTCAATATGATGAGCCGACTGCGTGAATCCCTGGCTGGTCCAGGGTATGTGATTCTGAACGCCATTCGCGTACTCAACATTATCGCTTTCCTTGATATCATTGCTGCGTCTGCGGTCATGCTGGTCAAGATCAATATGCTAAACAGCTTCTTTTTCTTCGAGGCTGTAACTCATGCCGTGGTGGCTATCGTTAGCAGTAAGTGAACACTTCCCTTCGGTATACTTGACATTGGACTAATCGATCGGCAGTTTTCCTCATTATCTCTGAGCTTCCCATTCTGCGCGCCTATTTCGATGACCACTGGCCGATGTTCGGTCAGGATGCGGGCTTTTACACTCTTGCCGGTATCATGATGATCCTGGGTGTCTCGACTCTAGGCAATTTGAACACCAAGGCCATGACCCAGGAAACAATTGGCATGGCATTCTGGCGCATTATCATCTCCGCCGGTGTCCTTGCAATGGTAGTCAGCGTGCTCAACGTGCTAGGAGTATGTCATCCAAGTCCTGAATCTCTTTCTCTTGATACTGACTCCTCACCCAGAGCTTCCTCTTCAGCGACCCTAAAGCCGGAGTCAGCGCTCGCCACGTCCGAGCCTATGGCGCCGTCGCAGAACAGAAAGTCATGAGCCGAACAAGCAGCCACCGCACCCTCCATCTGAGCTTTAAGCGCGAGGAAGCACTCCCGTCGTACACTAGGTCGAACCCCGTTAAGCGCGCTACCCAGCGTTTCACTGGTCGCTTCCCTTTGAAGATCTCCAAACCGATGAACCCAACGCTGGTCGCTGAGAATGATGCTGCTTCGTCCAAGTACTCTCGTGACTCGGTGGAGATTCGTGAGCCTGACCTTGCGCACCACCCTGCTTTGTACTCGGGGCATATGGTTTGAGCTGGACTTGTGGTTTGCAAAATGGAATGGTCTTTGGAATGGAGGATCTGGCGTTGTATTGAGATACTCGAGCGTTTTTGCGATGGCCATTGGGCGTTGGATTCCCCTGATATTTGTCGTATTTAATCATTGTTAGCTGGTGTCAACTGAAATTGTTTGATAAATATCGCAGGTGATCGTAAATGTAAATATGTCCACAGGTTGCAAAGAGCAGTTGTAGAGTGGAAGTAACTTGGTCGCGAGGGAGTACATGTACTTGGACCCACGCCTGGCCGACATTTGGCCCCGGCACTCATTGAACTGGACACTTCACCACTCACACTCTTTCATCTAACTTCGGTTGTTAGAGAGCCCAATGCAGTAGGATTATCTCCTACAAGCCCCAATAATGGCGACAATCTCTATCTCCTGGGGAACGTAAGTTCAAAGCTCTATTGTCTGAGGTCTATATCTAACCGTGAATAGCGTCAAATCCCTCCTCATATTCTTCGGCCCAGTCTTACTACCACGCTTGATTACTGCCTATCGCAACCTCCGCGCATCCATTGCAAGCTGTCCTCCACCACGCCCTCTCCCCGCAGCCCCAGGCCGCGCACTCAACATCCTATTCGGCAGCATCGTCTTCTTCCTCCTCCTGAGCCTCCCATTCAACCCTCACGCGCCCGAACCCAACATCTTCACTCTGACCCGCTCACGCATCAACACTCCGACAGACATCGTCTTCGCCCGCCTCGCACGATTCCGCCCTGATGCCCTCCTCACCGCAGCCGACAACCTCCTCCAATCCAAGTTCACCTCCCTCGGTGCCCGCAAGGTCTACCTGACCTATGGCCCAGATGCCTTGACCTCATGCCAGTACTGCTCCTTCGACAACCTCAACACTTTCCTCATGTACTACCTGCCCTTCCACGTCCTGCTCCCACATCTGGTTCACCTCATGATCCTCGGCATTGCCACCTCTGCACCCATCGCAGGCCGTGAATCTGCCCGCTGGCGGACGAAGTTCACCATGGCTGGTATGGCACTGGCCGCTATCGATGTCTACATAGTAGCAAGCTACGACGCGGTCTCGAGCGCATCACCGTCCGTGCGGTCGGGACAGACCCCGCCCTCCGGCCTCTACAATAGTATCACACTGCTGCGACCGCTGGCCTTCGTGGTCTGCGACGTCGTCTGTTCAGTGGTGCTATACCTCTCCGCTACGAATCGCTTCTTTTTCAAACAGCCCTCTCTGACGGACCAAATTGACCAGGCTGTCTCAGTAGCGTTGAATGCGTTGACCGGTGCCCATGGCAAAATGCATGCTACCAGTGTTACTCGCAATGCTGTGGTGCGTGACAAGTCCCTTAAGAGCCGGGATGATTTGTACTGGCAGACCATGGTGGCCTCGGAGAACCCCACTGCGGCTGGGGAAGGGAAGATCCTCAACAATATTTGGGAAGAGGAAGAAGTGGCTCGAGCCATGTCGCGGGCGATGGCTGGCCAAGGAGGTATTGACCTGGCTCAGTTGGGTGTCAGTGCGAATGACTTTGTGCGAGGGGTGACGGAGGGTTTGGAGTAAAGGTCAATATAGTTAATATAGTGATTACTAGTTGACGTGGACATTTACATTGCCAAGAATGTCACAAATACGCCGGAAATGGCATTGTATACACATACAGAAAGCCACTGCATGTAACTAGCTGTCGATGTCTACAAATTGTACGGCCAAGCTCAACCCCTACGTAGTTCATGCACCTGTGCATCCAATCATCAACATCGCCATTCAACACTTGATGAGGCGGTGAGTGGAGATGATCGTCGTGAGATGAAACGAGACTTCCCCCTCCATTCCCTTTCCTCAAGTCTCTCTCTCTCTTCTTCACATTTCTCTCGTTCTCTCGTTCCCGGTTGAGCGAGTCCTTCTCTCCACAACTCCAAAAATAGCGGCGTGGCGGATGAGGCAGGTCCCACACGCATCTCGGCCCTGAACATTCTCGACTCTCGACTCTCGATAGTCTACTCCGACTTTAGCTCCCCCAGATTCTCCCTTTTTCATATCCCTGGTGCACTCTTCACCATGTCCAAAGAGACGTCTGTAGCGCCGGAGCGCCATGCATACGTTGGATCCAGGGTCAAGGAGACCACGTTCCGCGAATGGGTGGTCGCCAACCAAATCGGTAGGAATACCCCAACATTTCCTGACCCAATTTGAGCAAAAGGAAACAGAGTGGCAACCGCAAATTTCCACTTCGTTCAGCAGAGAAATGCCGCGCTCCTGTTGATGACCACCTCGGCACAATTCCAAGCTAAATTACGGCTCCGCTAACGCATGTCCAATGGCTTTACAGGCATTTCAATGACCATCCTGGCTATGTTACTAGCCTTGCACAACCTCTACCCCTCGCTTCGACCCTATACACAGCCTTTCTTCCAATTGTCCTACTACGACGCAGCCTCGAATTCATACGTGCAGGGCTGGGACGATGTCTACTTCGTCTTCAGTGCCGCTGTCGCACTCACCGGTATCCGCGCCATTGTCATCGAATGGATAATTCAGCCAATGGCTCGGTCAGCGGGTTTGAAGCGGAAGCAGGCTGTTCGTGTGGCGGAGCAGGGCTGGCAGGCTATGTATTACTCGTTCATCTGGGGCGTGGGAATGGTGCGTTGGTCGATATTATGTTGTTCGAGGGGGTTCTAACTGACTGTTGTCGCAGTATCTCTGGAAGAATTCCTACTACTGGGGTGATTTTGCTCCCATCTGGTCTAGGTGGCCTGCGCGTTCTCTCTCTGGCTTGATGAAGTGGTACCTGCTCGTTGAGCTTGCATTCCTCGTGCAGCAGATCTTCGTCATCCACGTGGAGGAGAGGCGCAAGGATCACTACCAGATGCTTTCCCACCACATCATTACCAGCACTCTTTTGAGCTCCGCTTACATTTACGGGTTCTACAACGTGTCCAACGTAGTGCTGTGTTTGATGGACGTTGTGGATTTCCTGCTTCCGGTATGTTTATTGACAAGCGCTCATGTGCAGCTACTAATTATTGCTCAGTCAGCAAAAATTCTCAAGTACCTTAAGTTCGAGACGGCTTGCAACATTGGATTTGGTCTGTTCATGACCACTTGGTTCATCACCCGCCACATCATCTACCCGGCCCTTTGCTGGTCTATTTATAAGAATGTCCCAGCGCAAATGTCATACGGCTGCTACTCCGGTTCGACCGCTGAGATGATATCTGACAATGGCTACCCGAACACTGTTGCATACCTTTTCGGACCGTATTTCAACCTGGAGAACCCCATCTGCATGAATCGCACCGTGAAATGGACCTTCCTGTCCCTTCTGCTGACCTTGGAGGGCCTGTCCATTGTCTGGTTCAGCATGATTGTTCGTGTTGCATACGGTGTTCTTTGCGGCGGTAACGCCGAGGACTCCCGCAGTGATGAGGAAGACGAGGCCGAGGTTGAAAATCAACCTTCCCACGTTCCAGTGCACCTGGCCGCCAAGGACGGTGCCACCCCAGACACCATTGCCATCGACACTGCTCCTGGCCTTGACCGTCGGCGGTCCAATGGAGCCTCGGTGCGTGCCCGGGGCCGTGGTCGTGTCCCATTCGACCAGAGTGATCGGAAAGCTCTACTCGGCCGCATTGGTTGTGAAAAGCCTACATAAATGCTGCCAGCTTTCTTTTCCACTTTATTTTTCTTTTCTCACCAAAATTTGACGAATCCCATTTCGAGTCTCGTTAGCATGCCACGGCCTCTGCCTCTCGTCTCCGTTACGATGTCTGCTTTTCAGCCACGGGGATGTAGCAGCGCCCCCATGAAATGAACCCTCGACTCACGTTGAACTGCTAGTTTGTTTCCGGCATATCGTTTTCAGTCTGCTTGCCGGGTCTTATATCCTCCTCGTACTTGTTTTGTTCCATTTTGCATTTCTTTCCACCGCTTGTCGGCTTTGGCCGGGGGCTTTGTGCTGTACTTTTTGTTGCCGTGCTGATCTCTCGATCGAACTTAGCTTCTGTCCAGAGATCCACACAATAATACCCAATGAAAGCCTTTGACTTTGTATGTATGATAGAATCCACTGTCCATATCGGATCACTAGTACCCAGTGGGAACAAGACCAAGAACAGAACACGAACACACCAACCAGTCATGTATATCCCATCTTTAATACTCAATTATCAAGCATACCTCTTAAGTGCCGGCTCAACATTTGACCCATGCCGAAACAACGAAGTATTAAACCGCCCAACAACGTCGCAATAACCTCCGTCCCCAAGGACTGATCCAACCCAAGCCCAGGCGTAAGAGACATTCCACAAACAACCCCAAGATCAACCCTCTCCACCCTCCCAGGCCCTCATGCCCCAAAGCATCAACGAAAAGCGCAAAAGTCAACGGATGAACGAGCACAGAAGAATGCGAATAATACCCTCCCCCCGACAAGCATCAACAAAAGAATTCGATAACAGGTACGAAAAGACTAGAAATCGTTCCAGCACCCTTAACGCCGGACGTGATAGCCAAACAATATGCATTTAGTGTGTCGGACTTATCTCGTCATGCTCGACCGTCGCAATAGCATCTGAATTATGGCCTTTCTTTTGTGTAGCCCCAGATACATCAGAAGCACTCCGCAGAATGTCCTCTTAAGGGTCCTCTGCAACCACATCTTGAATAATAGAATGAACGTTGACCCCATTCAGCACCCCAATCCTCCGAATAACAAGCCAAGACGGAATGATACAAACCACGAAAAAGCTCATATTGACCGCGACAGCGCCGGATAGGGGAAATCGGTCCTGATTGATCGAATTGATGCCATAAGAGATTGCTTGCCCTGCACTTTCGATGCCTCGTATTACTGCACTGAGTCGAACTACCTCCCCGCCAATTTTGTTGATGGTTCCGACAAGCCAGTAGAGATAGTCATACATGAGGTTGAATCCCACTAGCATGAGGATGTAGACGCATACTGCTCTTCCGAAACCATCGTCTGTCCAGTCAAAGAAAGGCTTGGTGTCTCGGTTCTCGTACTCTTTTGTGATGACCATTGCATAGCTGTAAAGTGATAACTCGAATGCATAGATCAGAATAAATGCGACTATCGCTCGCGTATTGATACTTGGTCTCTTCCAGTCGAGGAAGAAGCCCAAAGAGAAGTTCGCGAGTATAACCCCAGTACTGGCGACAAGTGAAGCCCAAGCCCGTGCCCGGACGGTGAAGTAAGTGGCATTATACGTTGAGAAGAAAGCTTCCGAAAACACACTCTGGAATAAGTAGAACTTCCTTCCGACAGAGAAGGTTGCCCATTTCCTTCAGTTCCTTTGAAAGACTGGAAGGCAGAATCACCACAACAGGTGTATAGTCCGATCGTTGCACCTTGGCAGGAGGAGAGAGCAAAGAAGCCACAAAAGGCCCAATAGCCTGAATAGCAATGAAAACCAGATACGTTTCAACGCTACTATGTCCCTTCTCTTTCCGGTGCACATGAACACCAATGGTAACAGCACCTCCAATCATCTAGCCAACAATCCGACTAGCCAGCCAGTAAGCCAGATACTTGCCACGCTTCTGCTTCTCGGGGTAAGCCAGAATAACCCGGATGATGCACCCTGTATCACACAGGCCAGCATCACATACCACTTATTGTCGAATTTGATGTTGCAGTAGACACTAGAAGCATATATTGGGAAGCCCAGCATTCCTATGGCAAATGTCCATTTCAACCCTATCCTCGAGATAAGCGCCGTCCCGAATATGCACACCAGCACTTGTAAACAGAAGATGACTGAATTGGCGGCGTTGATATAGGTAGGGTCAGCGGCTCCCGCTCCTCCGAGCCCGTTCATTGCGGCCCATAATCCCGGTGCGATGAAGGCGCATAGTGATACAATGGTGATGTTGAAGAATGAGCTGCGGTACCAAGTTCGGCGGTGATGCGCATTATCGGAGACTATTCCGCTTTCCATGTTTCGGACAATCTTTTCAAAGTTAGATGCAAAACATATTCTAGATCTATATTGTAAAGGACTTCCTTGATTTTATAGCCCGCGGTTTCCCCGCATAACCCTGCATCCCCCCCATGGGGTATTTCTTTGTCAGGGATTTGATCCCTGTCAACTACGCAATTGTGCATTGATGCGGAAGCTGTTGCATCTTTTGAGATGTTGCTATTCACGGGACTCCCGAGCGGCAGATGGTTTCATAGATCAACCCAAGGATCTGGTTGCTCAACTGCTACATACAATAATGGCCTCGAAGAGTATGGAGGGCACCAGAGCAATTCTTGTCCGCAATTTGGGCAGGAATGTGAGCCCAGACTCAACGGGAATTCAGATTAATATTTAGCACTGGGTTGTTATCAGGAGTTGAAAGCCCACCGTCGGTGTAAGGCGTGCCAATCAAGTTCCCAAAAAGCCAGGTGACGGGATTGTTCGCAGTTCCTTGATTGCCTGTCTGATCCTCTGGCTGATCGTCGTCTTCTCGGTTGGGGCGAGCGATGGCAGTAATTTTGGCAAGTCTGTACCTGGGACGAAATCCAGAACGGCATATCTTTTCTGGGTCTCCGAGCCGATGAAGTTGGCGGGAACCTTTGGGAGAGGAACCTTGCTGCTGACTGCAACAAATATCATGTTCTCAGCTTCCAAAGGCGGGATCGAATATCCACATTTGACGGCGAAGCGTTCCTTCACTCGAGCCACGTTGATGGCATTTGTTCGTCTATCAAGGACATCGGTCGATGGCTTTGCAGCCAGTACTATAGGTCTGATATTGACACTTGGCCTTCTAGATCAGGTGTGCCTGTCCTCAGCTCCACAGACGCTACCCATCCCCCAAGATTATTCTGTTTAACGGGAAAGAGCTACATCACCACCTGCGATTTCCATGTGTCATTAGCTAAAGAGCAGTATCTTGGGGACACTAACGAGTTTGGCCAGCCCCTTGGAGTCAGTCAATTGGCCCGCGTCCGTTTTCAATTAAATGCGCGACAAAGCAGAGGGACCAGCACCATCTTGGCATCTTCCCTGTCCGTGGAGCAAGCTGAAATCGTGAAAATACCACTTCCATCTGACAGACAGGCAGGATGTCTCATTCGTAATCATCCAAAACTCATCACGCTGGTCTGTCACGATCTGTAAACTGACTAGGCTAGAATTCCTGCCAGCGCCCCGGCCAGGTGGTTGTGCAAGCCACACAAACTAGCGACAAGAGAGGAAGGTTGATAAAACACTCATAAGCTATTCTCTAACCAGTTGGAAGCTGTCGCGAGTCAGCCATCGACCCACCATGCAGGAGGCGGTGCAAAAAATAGGCTAGCGCAGGGCCCTCGGGCCAATTCCATAGAAGAGTTGGGGTGACGAATCTATCAATTCATGTCCAGACCCCAGTCTCCATACATTAGAGTTCCGGGGTCTCGTGGTTACGAATCAGCTTCAATTCAATTGTCAGCCACCTGGGTACCGCTTCCCGGGAACGAGGTGCTCAGTTCGCTAGGCTGCTATATAATTGAAATAAATAAGCGATATGTCACTTGCTAGTCAGATTTCACTGTGGTGAAGATAGACATTCTGTCCACGAAATTGTCGCAATTGCCGATATGTTACTACCCACGGGTGGAGTCGCACTTTGGCTGTTAGGTTGGTTCAATCTTGAGCTTAGCCATCTTGGCATTTCTATGATCCCTGCTTAACCAACTGATGCGTGCTTGGCAGGCCTCTTCTTTCCATTTTTCGCTGTAGGATCTGCGCATTCCAGCTCAAATGCGGCAAGCATTTTCAATCTGCCTCTTCAGCAGAATTCCAACTTCACATTCGCTCTGAATATCCCCGATGACTCCACAGACCTTTACTTCCACCTATCTGGCCCGACCGCCTACTCATGGGTTGCGGTTGGAACGGGGAGCGAGATGAAAAACTCACTGATGATTGTACTCTATTCCAATGCGCATGGGAACAGTCAGTTTCGCTGCCCGATATCTACCCCGCGAAAGATTTTCTATTAACACTGCATATAGATGTGACCGTCAGTCCCCGTTTGGCTTCTGGGGAACAGGAGCCAGTGTACTCATCTTCGCTCGCGGTCGACCTTCTCAATGGAACGGGTATCTATAACAATACAATGACCGTGAATGCCCGATGCTCGAACTGCACCAGCTGGGCGACGGGATCATTGGATCTACAGTCCACTACTCAACCCTGGATTTTTGGGCTGGGTCCAACCGGCGGTACCGCTACGATGCTACGGAGTAACTCCAAGACAGCCAGTATCGAGAGGCATTCGGAATATGGTACGCCCAGTCTTACTAAGAAAGCGTCCTCAAAAGAAACAAACAAAAAAAAAAAAAGGGGGGTTAGTCGAGCTGACTCGCATTCTTCTTATAGGCGTCTTTACAATGGACATGGTCCACGCAACCGGCGGTTCAGGCGGACTACCGCTCTCTTATACCACCTCAGCAGGCTCTGCGATAAGCGGCTCGGTTACAAATGACAGCAATTGGCCTAGCATCATTCATGCTATATGTCTTTGCGGTGCAATTTTCCTTCTTATGCCGACCGGTGTCATCTTCCTACGCATCTCCCCAAAGTCTGTGAGGTGGCACTGGATAAACCAGAGCCTCTCTTCTGCTATTGCCATCATCGGCACCATAATTGGGTTCTACCTCAGCACTATGTTCACCAAATCCCAAACCTACGGCTCGGCACACCAGATCCTAGGTATTCTGATTCTCCTCACCATCCTTGCTCAGTGGAGCATGGGATTTTGGCATCATCTAGTCTACAAGAGGAGTCAGTTGCCGACCAAGCTTGGTCCCATTCATCGCTATCTTGGCTATTTTATTGTCTTTTTTGCCATTATCAACGGTGGCATTGGGCTCACTTGGTCACACGCGTCTAAGTCTGTTGTCATTGGATACTCTATTGCCGTGGCTGTCATCGGGTCGGGTCTTGTCTTTCTCTTCGCTCTGGCAAGATGGAACTCCAATAGCGGGCAAAAAGGCTCCATCAGTAGCCCTTATGAGCTAGGAGAATTCCAGAGTAGCAGAGAGTCTGACAGTAAGTTGACAGGCCAGGGTTCAGACAGAGCTTTCCCAAGGTATAATCATCACGATTATGGTCGACTGTAAGATTTGACCTCGTGCTGAAGTTGTGTCTTGGCGTTGCGGATAAGAAGTTCTGATTCAGAGCGTGGACCTGATTTAAAACGCATCAGGTTTCGTTTGAAAGAGTATTAGGGAAAAAGCAAGATTCCATTCATTCATTCATAACCCTCATCAAACTTCGTCCACTAATCCACTAAACTCGTCTATATAATAGAATTAAGCATTGTTTCCTGTAATGCCATGAAAGGTGCTTCATGGAGAGAATGCCAAAGGCCATTTCCAAACTACATATATTTCACGCGATAACTCGCTTCTAGGTTTGATCCGGACACCGAGGCAAACAGCGGTTGAAAAGTAAAACTTCTTCGTTATAGCACTGGTGACGTTAACTCCAGCACATTTGCTAGATTATAACAAGTACGATGAACCAACATATCGATTGTCGCATTGTAGGTGAAACCGCCGATGAGAGTGTCAATTGACCGATTCTCTTGCACGAGCACAACGACACTTTTGATATTAGTGATAAATGAGCTTTGTTGGTGCGCGACAGTACAGATAACAAAGCCAAGTCCAAGTATAGCGACACTGAGTCGCATTGCGATGGCTATAAATGTGTGTACACCGAAGGGCTATGGGTTTCCCTTATTTTCCTTCCATAGAGATGCTCTATAACGTATTCTAGCGCCGTCCGGCGGAGAGGACAGAAAATGCTTTAAACCCTGAAACATTACTTAGTGGGCTGTTCTTAAAGGTCTAAAGTTAGTATGCACCGCTATAAAGCCGATCGATGGGCTGCTCGAAGTGCTGTCTTATTCCAGCTCACTGTTGCTCAAATTGATTGCGTTCACTTGCTGTACGTTGGGACTATGCATTGGCGAAAAGACTGGCTACTATGACAGCCGGGGAGATCCTGCATAAAATTAAGGATCCATAGATAGACAGCAGGACTGAGATAACAAGCATTGAGATCAGGACATGAACGTGGGAGATCAGTTTCATTGGCTACGGGTGCCCACGCCTCGGGTCATAATTCCGATTACATACTTCCTCCAAGAATACAAATTGCCGATAATAATCTCCCGTAGATCTCACAAAACCGGATTTCCAAATCCCACTAGCGCTACAGACACGCGCAATAGAATGACCATAAGATATAATTGGCATTGGCACCCAAATATTACATTTTTTCTGGTATAAAATGTTGAATAGGTTTAATTCGCCCGTAGCATTGTAATTTGGGTATACTCTTCGTTTACTGTCTCGTGTTCGTATTCGTATCTTCTTTTGATCGACCGCGAATTAAATTTAAATTTTGTACCCCAAATTCAAGGCTGTTTACTCCAATTTTGTGCTTGATGCCGAGGGAGTACGAGGGAAGAATGTCACTAGCCTCCCCGGATTGGTCCCGCTGGTCAAGCTTTCTGAGGAATTGAGCATAGACCTTGGCTCCACCTAGTCATTATTGGTGCATAGATCAAGTGTCAGCTTGCGTCACTACTTTTGAATGGAGGGCAGCCACCGGACGCCATTACGATCTCCGTACCACCCTAATTTGAGGGTCTAGACTGATGAGTTCGGGATGCGGATAGAAGTCGTAATCCTGATCCTTCCTTGGAAAACCAGTGTTCACGGTGTTCCAGCATGTTATAAAGTCTCCAAACCTTACCTTGCAGTACTTAAGACAAGGCATATCTTTTATGGATTGAATTCCTAGGTCTAACAACGGCCCTTTACCCTGCAATCCGTAACGGAAGCTATCATGTCTTCGCAAGGATGGGATTTGGAGGCTTGGGGGCTTCTACCGCGCAGAACAAGACCAGAGAGAGTTTCGTCTGAGCCCGACTTCATTTGTTATAGTGGGGAATCCTGCAAATCCTGCTTTTCGAAACAGGCGATATTGCGTGGAGCAGTACGGTGCGTTTTGGGGGGGCTGTTAGTTGTTCTGTAAGGCGTTCTTCTCTACAATTTCATGCTGAATACAACTGATTACTTTGGTCAATCTAGCGGTATTCTCAAGCTTCTATACCGGGCTCAGCAAGCCGATGATACTTTCTTTCGACAACATGGGGGTGAATATCTTGAGAGCTTTAATATTCTCGAGAACGAATCCTCGGTATTCTCGCATCAGACACACGATACAATTCCTGTCACCTGTTCTTCACACAACGACTATGGGCATCATATCCCATTGCAATCTGCGATCTCTTCAGGTTGCATAAGTATTGAAATGACCCTTTTTCCTGCTGGAAATGAGCTTTTAATTGGGTCAAATCCTTATATGCTGTCACGAGCAATTAACCTTCGTGGCCTCTACATTGATCCTCTACTAAGGATGATTCGAGAAAACAGCTGGAACTCGGAAATTTTACCATTTAGAGCACGCTCGCATAAGAACGAGATTCCAGGCGTATTTCCAGATAATCCTACACAAAGCCTTGTGTTGCTGATGGAATTTGGCGCTGACCCAGAGCGGATATGGTCTCAACTTATTCCACAGCTTGAGTCTCTTCGAGAAGCCGGCTTTCTAACCCATTTCAATGGATCAGCAGTTGTGCAAGGTCCGGTAACAATCGTTGCTACTGGAAATGTGCCATTTCATCGCATCTTGGAAAGAAGCTCCTTTAGAGATATTTTCTTCGATGCTCCCCTCTTACATATCTTGCCCTTTTACGACCAAGATTTCTCCCAAAATTCCGACTACAGCTCCCAAAATAGCTACTATGCATCCGCCGACTTCCGCACAGCAATAGGAAATGTGGGGTTCAATGCATTTTCGGACAAGCAGCTCGCCGACATTCGTCAACAGGTACAAACGGCTCATGGGCTTGGTCTTAAAGTCCGGTATGTGGGTACACCAGATTGGTCTCGCACATTACGAAGTTATGTGTGTCGTGTATTCATCCGTGAAGGTGTAGATATCATCACCGTTGATAGATCAAGTCACTAGCACCAATGAAACTTAGAATCAATGGGTGACTAGTTAGAAGCTCTGTTGAACACATACTCGGCTAGAGCAAGCCTAGCACGAATCCTGCAAACGATATTTGATACTCAATTACAGGAAACATCACCTGAAAATCCATTGTTGGAGGTTAAGCTATTAATCGTCCTCCTAAGGCCGCTTGCGTGATAATATGCGTCGACGTCAAAATAAGAATAAGAACTCTCTTTTAAATTATATAGTTGCTAAGGCTTTCTGTACAAGAAGTCTTTATCTCGCCTTAAACGCTTTGATTGCCGCATAGATAAACGCCTCTAGCCTGGACGGTCAAGATGGCGTCAAAACTAGCCGTTTTCGGCGCCCAATTTAACGTCACCTAGCGTTATGGTGTGATCATCTAGTGATCAAGTAACATGAAAAACAACTAAAATTTGTTGCATGATGCAATAAATGGCTGATATGTATTAGGCCTCTAATCACAGTGATTATTTTAGTTCAATGTAGGAAGATGTGAAATGTAATATTGACCAGTTGGTTTAATTGAGCGGAGTATACACAGGACCCTTGGCAATATCTTCAGCTTGACCCTTGTTTCTCGGCAGTAGTTGAAGCCTAATCCTGAGCAAGCGTAATGCATACCTGTACAATATAAGTTGAAGTGCCAACAAATGAGGCGAACCAGGAGGAAATACAAGCCCCTATTTTCTGTATAGAAGATCCAGAACCCCATGTGTTGCATAACAACTGCTGTGTAAGAGACTTGTTTTCCTTGATATCTGGTTTGAATCTTTTAGAAGTGATACGATGAGTGGGTGGCATAGCCAGGGAGATGTAGCTAATGTATGAAAGAAGGTCCAGATGCGGACCCGACCTCGCAATGCCTTGAAGTTCTCCGGCGGAGACTTACTGATCTAATGATTCCGAATCAATCAGACTATTCGAAGTCCCCTTTGCCCCGACTATTCTAGTTTCATATTGTTTGTAATATAATACCAAGGCTGTTAATAAGGGTCCGGTGGGCACTGGGGAAAGCCCACCGGCCCCACTTACGGCCTGCCCCTCACTTATCTATAAAGTCCCAGGACCTCATCTCAGTTACAACTTCCATTCATCATCTACCTACCTTTATCGTTCATCATGTCCTCTGTCAAATCATTCCGCCAGATCATCGGCGTCCCTCCTTCCACCGCCTCCACCAGTGATTCAACCCTGATCATCATCGACGCTCAGGACGAGTATGCCTCAGGCCATCTCAAGGTTGAGAAGGTCTCCGAGTCTCGCAAAATTATTGCCAAACTGCTTGAAAAATATCGTCAGGGTGGCAACGTCAAGAACATTGTCCATGTCGTGCACGAAGTGCCTGCCGGCGCCCCTGTCTTCACGCCTGGCACCACTCTCGCCCAGGAATTTGAGGAGCTCACCCCCAAGGAAGGCGAGAAGGTCCTTACTAAGAACTTCCCCAGTTCTTTTGCAAAGACCGATCTCCATGAGTACTTGCAGGGACTGGGAGATGTAGGCAAGAAGATTGTACTGGTTGGCTATATGGCGCATGTTTGCGTTTCTACCACCGCACGGACTGGTAGTGAGCTTGGATATGATGTGGTTGTCGTGAAAGATGCTGTGGGTGATCGCAATATACCTGGTGCAGCCGCTGAGACCGTTGTCTCTGTGGTACTCAGTGAATTGGCTGATGGCTTTGCCACGATTGTCTCTGAGAGTGAGATCAGCTCGTGATTTTGTGCATTGGATATCGAGGTTCTGTATATTAAATTGACAAACATCTGGGGATCCTCATATCTTGAATCAGGCACGTCAACTTTTGATCCAGTAATATGGTTCACGTGAGTTCTCTCGGACTGATATCCATTACTGCACTCAAAGAATTTGTCCCGGGGGCCAAATAGAATTCGGATGGAAAATATGCTGTTCATTGGCTCGTATAAGCATCATGATATAGGAAGTGAATGAAACAAAGCAAACTCAAAATAGTTCTGAGATGTTGCAAATGCCGATGATTTGAAAGCCGAATTATAGAGGGTGGGATGGGCCTGTGTAATGGGTCTGTGGGATGGTGGGATGATTAGTAAAGTTTGGAAGGATATCCCAATAGCATTATGTCCAACATTCATGGATTGTATGTCTCTATGCCATGGATGGATCGGGGCTGCTCATGAAGATGCTAACACCCGGGTGACGTTTTGTCATCGGCTTACCCGGTGGGCTCAAGAACCAGATATCAAAAATGGCCTATATAAGTCTGTAAAAGCACCAATGCTTTACGCTATGCATCGTTATTTTTCAATGTTATAACATCAATTGAATAATCTATCAGGTTTCTTCGAATACCAAACGCAATTATGTCTACCTTGAAAGGCAGTGTCTCCATTACCCACATAGCGACCGCCACAGCAGATAGCTATATTGTAGTGATCTGGATACATGTATGATGAAGCATAACTAGTTCCCTCCATGCTACAAGTCACTCATTATGTCAATTCCACCAATCCATCAATTTCTAATATCATCCCACTGTGTGAAAACCAATCCGTGCCTCTGGGATCGTCCGATTTGTCTCCTCTTCTGGAATATATCAAAAGAAGTCGAGACAGCTCCGCATTTGAGCCAGCTTCCCAGAGGCTCTTTTTGTCTGGCATGGGAAACTGTAGATCGGAGAGACACAAGCCTCGGCTATGGGCCTCATCATACTCTCCCGACCCGCAAAGTCGAGAGACTTTGTACAAAGCCAAGCCTAACCGTTTGATCTCTTCAACCCCGACCCACATGCAGGTACTAAATGACTCCACGTTCCGGTACCTTGTCAGCATATTAGGGTAATAGAAGATGTTGTTTCGCAGACAGGTTGTGTTCAGAGCGGAAAGGATTTGACGATCAGAGTCATTCAAGATCAAGCCAAGATTAAGTCCAAGACCGACCGGTCTCGAAGCCAACAACGAGAAGATTATGTAGAGAAGAATGCCTTGGTATGTTGCTATCGGCCATCGTGAGGTCAGGCCGACTGAAGGTTCCTTATCTTGCTCTTCTTCTACCAATCGTTCCCAATTGCCCTGAAAGTCAAAAATCAATTAGACATGTTTCTCGTCAGAACGAACACCTCAGCACTTACCCGCTGTGCCGAAATTGCCTGTCCCAACTTACTGTGTAGGTCCCGGGCGCCTTGTTGCGCCTCGGGATTCCCACTGACCCAGAGACCGATCATTAAGACTGCCTGAAGCAACAAAGGGGGCTCATCGGGAACACTAAAGGTAGATCGATGTAGGAATGGCCAGTGCGGATGAAAGTGTGCAAAGTAAAGATGTACATAATGTTCAACTCGTCCAGACTTTTCGTTCGAAGTATTGATTGGGTTATCTCCGCTATACTTCTCAACTTCCTCGGGATCTGGTTGAGGAGGCTCGATGTCGGGGAAGGCCGGATCGTCAAACATGCACAAATGTCCCCTTGAGGAACACTCTGTACACGGTGAGCCTCCCTGACATCGTGTTTTCATCATACGACATCTCGTGCAGGCTTGAGTGGCGCGAGTGAGAGACCGTCCGGGGTCATCATGGTTGCCACGAATATGGCGTCGAAGACTGTCACTGTATACATATCTATCATCAAATGATAACACAAATATGAGACCATAGGGCACTCTACCTGCGAGAAAAAACGCGGCCACAAGTTGGACAGGTACGCAGGTGACTTCCACGATGTTGCATTTCGTGGCGTCGGAGATGCTCTTTCCGACGGTAGCTGGAAGTACAGCCAGGGACCTGGCATTGGAACTGCGGCATCTTGTCTTTACTACTCGAGAATCGTTCGAGGGCTGAAGAGAAAATTTGCCCCAACGAAGAGAAGGATGTAAAGTATATCCATCCCACCGGAATTAGCCCACCGGGTCAGAGTGGAGCAGAGGCAATCATTATCGTCAAATCAGAAACCACGAAAAGTGGTTAACAATTCTTATAGCGATATATCAAGCTCGAAGTTGAGACCAGCGCGAAATATACAACGGAAAGTAGTATTGTTTTTCGAGACTTCTTTGAGTACAACAGCGCAAGATATCATATAGCCTACTCAATATCTGTCTGATTTCCTCTATCTCTCTTGAAAAATTCATAGAGGAATTCAATTATCTATACTGTCTATTCCAAATACAATCAAAACAAATAGTAGCAGTAGTCACCTGTGCCAACTGCCTCCAAAGACAAGAGCCTACTTGCCTGCTTCTGGCTTATCTGCACTTCGTTCCTGGACTTTCACCATCATGGTTCTCCTCACTTCCTCCACTGCATCACCAAAGTATCTGCCCGAGCTGAAGCTAATATCATGATCAGTCTAGCAGGCATTTGAGTCAAAGAAAGAGTAAATACCTCCAATGAAGATTAGCCTGGACTACATTTCGCACCCCACGAATGTATTTCTGGACTTCGGCATCAATATCACGTCCCCAACTGGGGAGATCTGCCAACGCTAGGTACCAATCACGGTAACGAATAGTTAGCATGCCGCCGATGCAGTCAAATGCTTCTTGTGCCCGCATCCCAGAATTTCGGCAGACTGCAACCATATTGTGCTCGACTCCCTCTTTCTGAATCGAACCATTAGCTCCAAACAAGATGATGGCTGGATTATAGATGGATACCTCTTCTTTGCAGTAGGATAGAATGTCATTTTGCCTTGCTTGATCATTAGCAATTTCATCAGAGGCAAAGAAAAAAAGCGGCTATGCTCACAGCACAACAAAGTCAACACCAATGCGGTTTATCTCCTTTATGCTGTGGCATTCAAAAACTTCATCAGGTAGATCGAGTCGGTGTGCATATCTGTGTTGAACTGTTATCAAGACATGCCCTGGTTTTATTCGGATGTACTAACTCGACCAATGAGAATAATGGGGATACACCTGCGGACTCTCTACGCAAAGCGAGAACCTCTTCTAGCGACGGATGCTCGTTCAGAGCGGTATTTTTCACTTGGCTGATAGTACCATGGGCATATTCAGCCATAGCTTTGGCAAATCGACGCTGTACACCTATGAAAGGGATCGAAGGTTTGATAGTCAGTGCCAAAATGGACTAGTATTATAGTAGCTGTTTTCTTACCTCGAGGCGAGTTCTGATCGGCACGACGGTACAAATTAGTGTCCGCTCATAAGGTTCGTACTAATATTGTACATACCCTAAATATTCGTTCCCAAACTGAATTGTGCACCTGCAAGAGAGGATCTTTCTCAAATTCTTGGCTAAGTTCATTACCTTCCTTCATGCGAAATAGAAGACAGTCAATTATTTTCTGGCTCTCAACCGGATTATCCCGAAGACTGCCGTTGTCAAACTCTGAAACATATGTTAGACATCGAAAAAACAAAGTCATACATTGCATGAGCAAACTGACTGTCATCAAAAGGAAAGACCTAAATACACAATCAGTCTCTCTGGTACCATATGAACTTGCACCACACTCACCCAGTTCCCCCAATCGCAACATGTCCGCAGCTCTTCTGGGTTGGCATATGGCACTGAAATAGAGATGAAGTACGAAAAGTTCGTTTTGGTTATAATTCGGCTCATCTGCTCATTGAAGGAACACTGCCTGCTAAGTCATTAGACTCATCCATGATTCCCAACAAGCCCAACCCACTTTGAGATCCATGCTTCGGATTCCTTGCGAACCTTGGCATAGTGTTGATTGACAATTGGCTTCTCGGAAAGGAACAGGACGAACAGATCTTGTAAGCGAACAGTAATACATGAGCCTTGTTCTTCGTCAGGTCCAGCAGGCACGGATGGAGGGGTGGCCTCTTTCTGCAAGATATTTCCCATTGTTGAGATTGTATCCAAGGAAATTTTGGAACAAGGTGGTGGTATCGTGTGCGTGATGTGCGCGATGTGAGTGAAGAAAGTATCAGGAAGATGTCAGTACTAGATACGCCTGCTCTCTGAGATAAGATCGCGTCTATTTTTGGGCTGTTACATTTCCCAACGCGGCAAAAGACGGTGTCAAATAGTAGCAATCTATAGGGGAAGAAGTGGATCCACTAGTTCAGGGAGAAAAGGATCTCAATGATGCTGGAGGCCTTATCCGGCCTCATTGGCCTTGGATTTGCAAGCTCCCGGCTCATAAAGTTAATTCATTACATCAAAATCGAATATACAATTCCAGATCCACGATTTCTTGATATCTTCCCTATTTCACCCAATACAATTGAAATGGTGTGTCCCACTGGTATTATAGTCACTCCTCGAGTATTGCACGCAGGATGATCAGATCAAATTTCCACACGCGAAATCACCCCATGCTAAGAGACACTAGCATGCAAAGCTGACGCCAAGTCGCAAATTCTAACAAAAAACTTGGCAATCTATCAGCCAGGTTCAACATATCGTCTTGTGTTCAATTGTCACAAGGTTGTGAATTCCAAATAATCTGCCTTATTGTTGCACGACCTTGTCGATCATACCATTTTCCAATACAGATAACCAGAATGCATGACTGTCCATTGATAGAATCCTCTTATCGGCTTTTTAGGCTTCCCATGTTAGGCGAATTCCCGTAGATAAAGTTTCGTCTCAAACCGAAATAGGAGACATTACAGTAAGACAATCTTAGAAAGGCCATATAAGTCCAAAATTTGATTGAACCGATGGCAGTTCATGTCATTAACGCCAAGTAGCGTGATTATTCTTTTCTGAGTTTTGTCTGTGTCCATTTTAAGCCATGTCTTGGTAAACAGCTACTACAACAAGGGCCGTCAATCTGCTGACAGTGCTATGAAGTATTCTACTATTTTTAGACGCAGTCCTCGCTTTAAGTGTAATTTTCATTGATTATTTGAGCCCCTCCTAGGCTTCTCTTATTTCACTTTTTTCTTCACCTCTTTTTTGCTCATCTTTTTGAGTGCCTCGTGTGAACCAATCAGATGATATAAAGGTGGTGGTGGTGTCAAAAGACTGCCGGTCATTGTTGCAGTATATGTATGCATGGGATCGTAGACAATACCCCTTTTCTTTGATATCTTTTCTGCATATAATTTAGTGCTTACGCAAGGCCACCACACGGTCTGACTTCCTCCTGTTCCTACCCCTCCATCGTTTTAGGAATCACTTCGGCAACTGAGAATCACCTCTCCCTCTCAGCTCACCATGTCCGATACCACTCAGCCCGGAAGCAAAGTCAGAAAATGGGGCTATTCATTTACCTGGACCGAAGAGCACCTGCCTAGAGAGCAGACAGACCCGTTGCAGTTCGAATCTGACCAACTAGGCGATGCAGCACTTGAAAGTCTTCAAGCGATAGAGAGAGCCATTCATGAGAAAGCCAAAGCACAAGGAGACAAGCCACCTAGCCGTGATATCTATGCCACCCTCCAAGAACATCATGACGATGATGAAGTCCTACGTCAGTTCTGGGGTCAGACTCACGCCGTCCCTGACTGGGTTGACTGGAACCAGATAGAACGGGGCCAGAAGTATTTCTCTCGCTATGCATTGGCGAATTTGCTTGGGTTTGGTTTGCAGGGTTTTGTCGCTGAGAATTCCGTAAGTACATTCCAAATTGAATGTTTCGAATATTGAATTGATGGCTTGTCCAGGCATCTGTCCGCGTTGTTGAAGTCCTTGTTCGGACTGGAGGGTTTTCAACCATGAAGTTATTAAAGCGGCTGCTAGAAACTTTCCAGTGGCTCGTTCAAGTCACTGATAGCCTACCCGCAATTCAACCTGGAGGAAGTGCCCATATTGCGACAATTCGTGTGAGACTGCTTCATGCTTCAGTCCGACAACGGATGAGAAAGGTAGCCGCCGAGCACCCGAAATACTATGACATGCAGCGCTTTGGTCTCCCGCTCAATACTCTCGATTCAATTCATTCAATTAGCACATTCTCTTGCAGTCAGATGTGGATGCAACTACCGCGACTTGGAGTCTTCCCAACCAAGCAAGAGAAAGAGGACTATGTTGCGCTGTTTAAATACATTGCGTACCTTCTTGGGACGCCACATTCATATTTTGAAGACACCGAGAAAGCAAGAAAGCTTATGGAGAGTTTGTATGTGCATGAGTTGAAGGTGACTGATACCTCAAACACTGTTGCGCACAACTTCATGGAATGCGTGTCCAATCTTCCTTGGCCATTCTATATCTCTCGGTCATTTATTGAAGCAGGCAGTCGGTGGATCAATGGACATGAGCTATGTGATCAACTAGGTCTTGGGAGGCCAGGATATTTTTACTATGTTATCTTTGCGGGACAATGTCTCCTTTCTATTGAGTTGGCTTGGGCTCAGCGCATGTTTCCATTCTTAGATGCGCTTGTTGTCAAGGTGAGCAGGCATTCAACCATACTTCAGTCGATAATCGCTGATCTTTTAGGGATTTCGATCACTGATGTATGACGGACTCGTTGAACGAAAGGATCGAGCACGCTTCGCAATGGAATGGGTCCCCAAGCTTGGAAAGCAAACAGGCAAGGAAGACCACACGAAAAATTCCAACAAGGGGCGACTGTCGCTTGGTAACGTCCAGAGCTTGGCACCAATTGGCCTTATTGAAGGCGGGTTTTTGGGCGTGATTTTGGGTCATCTTCTCCTTGTTTTGGCGACAGTCAGGTTGTTCTCGTAGTTCACGGGAAATGTACATAAGCATATACAACATGGACTATAAGTGTTCACACACTGCCATCAATGGAATCATTAGCCGAGCCAAGTACAGTTCTTGAAAACAGACACTCGAGATCCTGCAGAAATAGCGCTGGGTCACGCGTCTAAAGCATATTGCGCATTGACTACTTCCAGTAGCCAACTTGGTCCAAAAACGACAGGTCTGTTCAGCTGGAGCAAGATGGCGCGGATGTGTGGCACAACAAGCTTGTCGTTCAGCGAGGAGGCTCCCACTGAGATATAGGAGCGCTTTGGCGATTAAGAACAGCCGAGACCATGGTTTCAGCTCTCAACCAGCATTATCTCTAAGCCTCGCAAGCGCAGCCGTAATGCCTTCACTCATCTCTTCAGGTTGCGCATCAGGCGGACGAGCATCGCCGGACTTTCCGTCCTCGGCAGCAGTTTTCCTACTTTCGGCCATTACCGCACGAAGAATGGCTTCCTCCTCATCCTCGTCTATATCATGATCAGGTGTATCATCGACTGGTGCCGGGGCCGAAGCCGGTGCTGGTCGAGTTGGTTTGGCAGGAGCAGAAGACTTCTTCGTACTCTCGACTCGAAAGTCTTCTCGAACTGCATTGCACCATTGCTGGACCTTCTTCTCTCCCCATCCTGGCACAGCACTGATTTGCTCCGGCTGCGCATTGATTGCATTCTGCAAGCTCCCAAAGGTGGAGATCAGACTGGCTGCATCGGACTTGTTGATACTTCTTGGTACCGTGACAAATTCCACAAGAGATTCTTTATACGATTGCGCTTGTTGAGTTCGGATTGCCGTCGGCTGTGCGTTCTCCGAGGACTTGAAGAGTTCTAGATAGTGGGCGGCTTCTGGGGCTGACCAGCATAATATCAATGTAAGGTTATTGATGATAGATGTTTTGGATAATTCGCGGAGAATATCCTCGTGATTCGGAATGTCAACCATAACAAGGACGAGGCGGAGGTTGTATTTGCCGGCTAGTTGTTTTACCCGGGAGTAAATGTATTCTGGGTGTAGGCGGTGATATTTCAACGATAAGAAGAGTGCGCATGTCGTGGTGCCGACTACATAGTCAGCGGGAATATCGGCATATTCCCACGGTAGAAGCTTGATGTGTGTCAGAATCGGATTGCCCTTTTGTCGCGTGGATACAAGGATCGCGGAAGTGCCAGGTCTGGTTGCAAGGGCTTGTGGTTTAGGCTGCTGAACTTTCTGTCTGGCTGCACCTGGAGCTGGCGAGCCAGAATGCCTAGAAGGCAAGGTGCTGTCTGTTGGGTCCATCTCAGCAACACAGTGTTGGTAATGGCAGTGTACTAAATGGCGAGTTGATAAAGCTATCCTTATCGGACCGTGAATCCACACCGCCTGGTCAAGCCTTCCTAATTTTCTGCCGCCAATTTTTTTGATTCTTCTTTCACCAAAGAAAAAAAGTTCAGTCGCAACCAACACATTATGGTTGAATCACACAAGAAACGCCGTCTCTCGGGCGCAAGCACCACAGAGCAGGCTGAAGTCAAAATTGAAGACACCACAACCACCGCCGATGTCCCAACACAACCCCAAGCCAGGCGGACTTTGTTCGTCCGCTCACTACCCGTCTCGGCCACAACAGAAAGCCTCGCAGAACACTTCTCGCAATCCTACGTGATCAAGCATGCTGTCGTGGTCAGCGATCCCAAGACCAAGATATCGAAGGGCTTCGGTTTCGTCACATTCGCCGATCTTGAGGATGCAGAAAGCGCTCTGAAGGAATTGGACGGATCCAAGTTCGATGGAAAGATCATTCGTGTCGACTACGCCGAATCCCGTAAGCGTGAGATTGATGAGAAGGTTGGCCGCAGTGTTCCCACCGCTGCGTCCGTCGAGTCCAAGCACAAGCGTGAGGAGGAAAGAGGACAGGGCGCACCGCCTAAGCTGATTGTTCGCAACTTGCCGTGGACTATTAAGGAGCCCGAGGATCTCTCTGTTTTGTTCCGCAGCTTCGGAAAGGTCAAGCACGCTACTCTTCCCAAGAAGAACGGCAAGCTTGCTGGTTTCGGTTTTGTCATTCTGCGCGGCAAGAAGAACGCCGAGAAGGCGCTGCAGAATGTTAACGGAAAGGAGATTGATGGCCGTACATTGGCTGTTGATTGGGCTGTTGAAAAGGATGTGTGGGAGACTACCAAGAAGGAGGATGAGGAGGAAGAACCGAAAGAAGAGAAGGAAGATGTCGAGATGGAAGATGCTGATGGTCACTTGGAAGAGCCCTCAGACGACGAGACTTCCTCCGACGGATCAGACGATGATGAAGAGGATAACGATCTGGATGAGTTGGACGAGTTGGACGAAGACGCAGAAGACAAGGACGACGACCGCAACAACTCTACCATATTCCTCCGCAACCTGCCCTTCACCGCTACAGACGATTCTCTCTACGAACACTTCGCCCAATTTGGACCCCTACGGTACGCACGTGTGGTCCTGGACCACGAAACCGAGCGCCCTCGTGGCACTGGCTTCGTATGCTTCTGGAAGGTCGACGACGCAAACACATGTATCCGCGAAGCCCCTCGAGCAAACGATGTCATGGCCCCGAACAAGGACAAGCCCAAGTCCAATACTGCTATGAAGCACTCAGTCCTCCAAGACGAGAATAACGATCCCAGCGGACGCTACACCCTTGAAGGCCGAGTCCTCCAAGTCGCCCGTGCCGTCAGCAAGGGCCAAGCCGCAAAGCTGGAAGAGGAGGGTGTATCCCGCCGTCTAGTTCGCGACACTGACAAGCGCCGCCTCTACCTGCTTGGCGAAGGTACAATCGCCACCAACTCCCCGCTGTACAAGAAACTCTCCCCCTCCGAAGTCAAGATGCGCGAGGAAAGCTTCAAGCAGCGTGAGACCTTCATCAAGAAGAACCCCGCTCTCCACCTCAGTTTGACCCGTCTCGCCATCCGTAACATCCCCCGTCACATCAATTCCAAGGACTTGAAGCAGCTTGCTCGTGAGTCCGTCGTCAACTTCGCCAAGGACGTCAAGAAGGGCGTCCGCCAGCCCCTCTCAAGAGAAGAGCAACAGCGCTCCCGCGATACTATGAAGGAACTTGAGCAGCTGCGCAAGCAGAAGAAGATGGGTATCGTCCGCCAGGCTAAGGTCGTTTTTGAAACCCGCGAGGGTACCAAGGTATCCGAGAAGAGCGGTGGTGGCCGCAGTCGTGGATACGGATTCATCGAGTACTTCACTCACCGACACGCGCTCATGGGTCTGCGCTGGTTGAACTGCCACGCTATCCAGGTGCCTGAATCCGCGCAGAACGAGGACAAGGACAAGAAGAAGCGTCTTGTGGTCGAGTTCGCCATTGAGAACGCGCAGGTCGTCAAGCGCCGTAATGAGCTGCAGGCTAAGTCCCGCGAGCCGAAGCCCAAGAAGTCTGACGACGCCGATGAAGGAAAGGACTCAGACAAGAACAGCAAGAAGAGGAAGCGCTCCGACAGCCGCGGTAAAGAAAAGGATGGCAAGGGTGGCAATGCAAAGGATGCCGACGACAACGACGATGAAGAAGAGAACAAGATCGCCAAGCGTAACCGCATCATCTCGAAGAAGCGCATGCAGCGCAAGTCCCGTAAGGGAAAATGAAGGAAGCTTGTGTGATTTTATTTGTTTTACTGTATAGGCATTATTTATCCCAGAGGGAAGAACCGTTGTACCTACGCGATACCACCATTCCAAAAATGAAAAGCATTTGTGATTTCAAAAATGATTGACTGAGTCCGTTGCACTGGGTATATGTATTTCGTACACTCGATCCATTCCACGTATCTAAAACGTAGATGGCAAATCAATACTACTTCTATCATTTTAGGTGTTCTTTGCGCCCTCGACCTTGCCGACGATGTTATACCGCTTGCTGAAGAAGGTGAACCACTCGTTCAGTGTGGTCTTCTCCTTGTCGGCCAAATCATACCATTCGGGGACACAATCTTCGGGTTTGAGAGAGGAGCAAGCGAGTGCGCGGGAGGCGTCCTTGCCAACAAAGACTACATAGAAAGAAAATATGTGTTAGTGGTGTGCTTTAATTGACGAACAACACAATCCCCAGAACAGAACACTTACCGCGATATTGACCAGACTGTCCATAAGCGGAGTTCCGGGTCACATCGAACACAACACCCTTGATAGCGACCAGAGTCGGACGGCTAGGATCGGAACCTGTTTGCAGAGTCAGTCAACTCTTCAGACACTAGAATTGACAGCATTGGTCGTCGCTGTTGATTATCGCTGTTTGGATTGGCGGGGAAGTATCGTGAGGGGCAATGCCATACCGTCGCATTTGGCCAGTTCCTCGACGGAAATAGGGTCATCCTTTGGCGGATCGAGCTGGACGGGCACCTTGGGCTCAAAGCGCTTAGTTTGTTTCTCTTCAGTCATTGTGGCGTGTGTTCGAAAGAAAAGGTGAAGAGGTTGGGGTTTGGCGGGGTTTCCCGAGGTTAGGATTTGCTTACTGTCGGCTCGCTGATTGATCGGGAAATGGGGTATGGAGTTACTAGCTATGCTGTCTATGTTCATGTTAGATCTACAATATTGATATGTTATCTGTTGGGGATTTTGTTTCGACATATTCGGATGTTGGCTTTGTGTTTATGCTACAAATTTGTTGGAAGGTCTCTAGATATGTCCTGTACTTTCAGGCTATTCTTTTACCCTTCCATATAAGATCGACCTGTTCTCTCTATATTCGAGACTTTCTGGCCAGTGATACACCCTCAGTTTATCACTTGATTCGCATCCGACTGCTTGTTCAGGAGTATTGATACATACCTAGTCCTCACGTGCCCGACTTCTCTTTTTTACCCCATCTAGTTAGAGAAACAATTGGCTATCATATAGAGTTTCAGGAGAGTTCGAAATAATGCTTCGAAACAGAAGATCCCCTCATGACGTATAGAGAAGGCGACTGCAAGCATCCAAGTAATGTCAGATGACTGTGGCGAGTGCATAGAACTTCATACAACGTCAAACGTCAATGTCAACGTTCACATCAACTTTGTGAATTTTGCCACCCTTTCAAGATCCACCAAAATGAATACTATCAAGACATTCTCCAACTCTCCCCCGAGCTCTGACAGGCCTATCACACAAACTGATCCGGGCCAACGTCGGGACTCCACAGACTCTGATGTGATCCACCACCTCTATTTCGAAGACAACGATAGTTTCTTCCCACCTAGTTGGTTGGGCAAAGAGTCAGAACGCAGGCCATCGAATGAGAGCACAGAAAGCAAGGACTCCCAAGATAGGGATCAGCCCGTCCACTGAGCCCAGAACATATTTCAGCTTCGGACGGAATGTGGCGTTTGATATGCTTGAATGATTGACTGTTAGGTAGTTTACTTGTACTTCTCATGCTATGTCTCCAGAATGTATACACTGGGTCGACTCCATAGTCGGAGGTCTCCATCTTCCGTGGACCTCGGCAACATCCCTTGTCTCCACACGGCTCACGAGAAGACTTATATCCCTCCCCTGTCCCACGACATAATCCATAAGCCATAAGCATATCTCCAGGGATCGCACTTGCAGCAAACTTGATAGGAACTCAAATCGTGGTCACCGATGCCGATTAGAATCAAGATGCAGTGCAGCACCCAATGCGACCAAGTCAACCCCTTGCCCCTCCAAGTGGGGGACCCACGACGAGGCCCGGGGGATGTGTGTGATTTGCCGTGACTGTCTAGTTCGGACTATGCCGATTGAACTTGAGAGATTTTCCAGGAAAATACTACTTACCTGGGCAAAAATTTTTTCAATCATTCCTCTCGGTTAATCTTTCTTGCTTTCGTTCCTATCTCTAATCCGTCCTTGCATATTTATGCACCTGTCTCGCTCTTTCTAGGTGACAGTATCACCGCCAACATGCATTCAGATCAGGAGCATGTCTCGCACACGCCCACCGCCGCTGCCATCCAGAGCGCGGAGCCTGCCCACGTCGCCGATCCCGAGTCGAAATCGGCCAAGTTCTTCGACAAGACTGAAATCATTGAAAAGGACTCATTGGATAATCGCGCGCATTCTGTCGGTAGTGGCTCTATGAAGTCGTCGCATGACCACACCCATCGCAAGCTCAAGCCTCGTCATGTGCAATTGATCGGTATTGGAGGTACAATTGGTACGGCGCTATACGTTCAGATTGGTTCCAATCTGCGTACCGCTGGTCCTGCCAGTTTGTTTATTGGATTTAGTCTTTGGTGAGTGTCATTCCCGTTGAATCATTCAGTTGACTGTTTTGGGTTCTCGACTTCGACTTGGGTTTTCCCGTTGTTCCTCGGACACAAGTTTCATGTTTACAGTAAGTACGGGGATGTGAATGCCAACCGCCAATGCATCAAGAAGAAAGAGAAGAACAAACACAAAGAGAGCTCTACCAACATACACATCAATCATTCTCCAGACTCCAGGATGTAAAACTGTTAGGCCAAGAAATAGCCGTGTCAAACAGTATGAGAAATGACCAACCCGCCATTAGCCATAAGCCCACGCAACAAGTCGGAAAGCCTTGAACCCAAGCAGTCCTGATTCGCTTTTTTTGCACCGTCTTGGACCCGTGAAATCTTATACTATTCTCTAGGAGTTGTGTGATTCTCATTATCACCGTTTGTACGAACCCCTCAAGCCCTTTGCATCGTTCCAGCAGCTCTTCCCATGCATCCAGCCGTATATCAAACCATATTCCAAATGCGCCATTGGTTTGATGCCCTTGCATCGATCGCCTAATTGCTCCAATATCCCCCCAATCTTGCTAGATCTGTAGATACTCATACTCACTATACTTCTAGGCTTGGCCGAAATGGTCACATACCTACCTATCTCCTCACCTTTCATCCGATTTGCCGGCCGATATGTCGACGAGGCATTGGGCGTCGCAGCTGGATACAACTTCTTCATCTTCGAAGCTGCATTGGTCCCGTTCGAGATCGTCGCCGTCAGTCTGATCATCCGATACTGGACAAACATCATCCCAGTCGCAGCAATGAATGTCATCGTCTTAGTCCTCTACGGGTTCGTTTCCCCCTCATTAATCATCTATCATTCGCCATGACACAATCCAACTGACAAGTAACCAGAGCTCTAAACCTCTTCGCAGTAAAATGGTACGGCGAAGCCGAATTCTGGCTCTCCCTCGGCAAAGTCCTCCTCAGCACAGGACTGATCTTCTACACATTTATCGTCATGCTTGGAGGCAACCCGCTGGGCGACAGGTTCGGCTTCAGATACTGGAACGAGCCAGGCGCCTTCGCCGAGTACTACAAAACAGGCGATACAGGCCGATTCCTCGGCGTGCTGTCAGCCCTCATTGCAGCCAGTTTCACCATCGCCGGTCCAGACTATGTATCCATGGCCGCGGGTGAGACAATCAACCCCCGCAAAGTCCTGCCAAAGGCGTTCAATGGTGTTTTCTACCGTCTTACGGCTTTCTTCGTGTTGGGTGTTCTTTGTATTGGTATTCTTGTGCCATACAATGATAAGACTATGGCTGATGCATTTGATAATGATCAGCCGGGTGCTGCGGCTTCGCCGTATGTCATTTCGATGGATCGGTTGAAGATTCCTGTTTTGCCAGATATTGTCAATGCTGTTGTTCTTACGGCTTCGTTTAGTGCTGGCAATAGTTACATGTACTGTGCCAGCCGCAGTCTCTATGGGTTGGCTTTGGAAGGCAAGGCCCCTAAGTTTCTGACCAAGTGTACGAGTCGGGGTGTGCCTATCTACTGTGTTGCCATTGTCCTCGTCATTGCGCTGCTCAGTTTCTTGCAGGTTTCCAACAGTGCTGCTGTTGTGCTGAACTGGTTTGTTAACTTGGTACGCCAACCAATATTCCCAACCTTGTCTCTCCCATCTAATGATAGATCACAGGTAACGGCCTCCCAACTCATCAATTTCTCCGTCGTAACTTTCACCTACATCCGCTTCAAGAAAGCCCTGGAAGCACAGGGCATTTCGAGAGACTCCCTCCCCTACCGCAGCTGGTGGCAACCCTACATCGCTTACGTTGCCTGCACTTGCACAACGATCATGGCCTTTGTAGGCGGGTACACCGTCTTTCTGCCAGGGAACTGGTCCATCCCAACATTTCTCTTCTCTTACACCATGATCGGCGTTTTTCCCATTCTGTACTTCGGGTGGAAATTCTTCCATAAGACCAAGTTCCTCAAGCCTGAAGAAGTTGACCTGGTGAGCGGTGTTGTGGAAATCGAGGAGTACACCAGGGATTTCGTTATTGAACCGCCTAAGTGAGTATCCTGGTTTAGGATTTCTATGGAATGCGTTGCTGACAGTTTCCTAGGACTATCGTTCACAAGTGGATGTACAAGATCTTCGAATGAAATCCTGGCGTGTTTGCATGGTTTTGATTCTGTTCTTGATTCGTATGTAGAGAATTGAAGCCAAGAAAAAATATATTCAAGACTTGAGACTTGGTAGTTCTAACCGTTTCGCTATTTAGCACGGTAGTTTAATACCGCTATGCTGCCAATTCTCAATCTGCGACGATGTCCCATCTGCGTTAACGTCTTCCCTAAATTGTTCAACTTCGTCTGGTTTCCACCGGTGGTCATACCAAGTTGGTTTCCGCTTTCACTGGACTCTTATGCATTTTCAGGGACGTTTGCATTTCCATTTGCCTCCTCCTTGGCCTTCAAAGCCGCCAGCCGCGACTTATTCCGCTTGCTGATAATGCGCAGCGTATTCTTTTGCTCGATCTCGCTCATCTGTTGCCAGTTTCCGATCTGCGATAATGTTCCATCGGTGTTAACGACCATCGGTCCCAAATGGTCTAGTTTCATTTCCGTTCCGCCGGTGCTCATATCGAGTTTTATTCCGCCTGAGTTGGAGCCTTGGGCGTTCTCTGTGGATGCGCTTTCTGGCAGGTACATTTGTTCTGGAACTCTGATGGGTTCCGATTGGGATTTGGATTGGTCTGTGGATGAACTCTGTGCCGGGGTGTTGGCCATAGAGGCTGAGTCGGGGGATGTGAAGTCGCTCATTGTGCGGATCTGGGAGGCCGGGCTTGTGTAGGATGGTTTGTAGGTTGGTGGGCACTGGGGGAAGAGGATGCTGTACAGGCGGGTGCTTTGTGTTTGGGAGGTGACGATGAGAGACGAGGTCGATGCGCGCGCGAATAGGGGATTGACGGAGAGTTGGAGGAGAGCAGCGCGGTAGACTGTTGATACTTGCATGTCGTTCGGTGGTGAGAAAAGTAAAGATTGCGGAGACTCGGGAACCGAATCCACATGGAACTTTCCGAGCTCCATCCACTCTATAGTCACCGAGTCATTTCTATACTGTAGACTAAGGATTTATACCACATTTATGGCAAGTTTTAACCGTAAAATATAGTATTCACCTGTAGTAATTTTGAATGTTATTCAAGATCACCTGGCACATATCCCCTGCATTCTCAGCCTCATTGTCACTTCCAACGCACAGCTACACAGCCAACCATGTTGCCCTCTCTCATACGACCAATACGTCAAATTGGGCCATCGTGGAGACCTCTCAACACTTCAAGCCCAGTTTTCTATCATATACCTTCAAGTGACCTAATTGAGGAGGAAACAATCACAGGCTATGTAGCCGCCCATTACTATCCAACACAGATAAGGGAAATCATCCCAGATCGATACCAAATCGTGGGAAAGTTAGGATTCGGAAGTTGTTCGACTATATGGCTTGCGCGTGATATGAGGTAAGCTGATTTCCCATATTTCTGCTACTTATGAATGGAAATAAGTATACTAACTCATAATCCCGGAGACTGCAAGTCAAACAAAATGTCTCCCTCAAGATGTTCATCAAATTGAAAGAGCTCGACAAGCAGTTGAACAATGAACTTGAAATCTACAACCGCACGAGCGAGAGTCGAAGAATCACCATGGCCGCCAGTCTATCAGAACATTACACGATTCAGTTGATGTTGATGGCCCCAATGCTAAACATAGATGTTTCATACATCCTGCTTTATTTGAAAGTGTTGAGGCTGCCTACATCGCGACCCGATCCAGAAGCTTCCTCCTCAAGCCCTGGCAGTCGTGCTCGAGCAAGTGTTCTAGGCATTGGATTATCTGCATACATGTTCGATGTCGGCAGTGACTCCATTTTCAAAGACATCGAGAAACAAAAGGTCGAATATCAAATTCCAAGGAAAGAAGTTGACGGTAGAACAATCTACTGGTCTCGGAATCTCAAATGTCCACATTCAAAAGACCTCCGTCCGATCCTAGCGCGACGGTAATTAACGGCGAAGATGTTGAGGGGGATATTCAACCCGATGCATAACGTGCACCTGAGGTGATTCTCAAAATTCCGTACACGTACAGCGTTGATATATGAATGTGGGATGTATGATTTACTAGTCACGATCCAGAACATAAGGAATTTCGAAAGAGAGCTCATCTCGCCGAGATGATTACTCTTGTTGAGTCGCCGCGCAAGGCAAGGATAGTCATCGGTTCTTTTCAGACCAGGGTATGTTGGGATTCAATTGATGACTGTTTTGTGGAGTGCTAATCATTGCGGTACCTGTAGGAGTGTTTTGTACTGGTATGCCAGTGCAAGATCTGGTACCGTTGGAAGAGAGAGAAGACTCATCCCGAGGGAGAAAAGAAAAAGACGTCTTTGCGCCTATAAGGAGTATGCTGCAGTGGGACCTGAGCAAGCGTAGCACTGCCAAGGAGCTGGCTGAGGATGAGTGGTTGAAGCAGTATTTGTGATGTATCAAGACAAGCTGAATGATCATACGGTCTGCACGTGTTGTAGCAATAATCCCCAATATATCGATTTTACATATTTGTACATGGTCAAACAAACGCTAGAGGGCCATCAAGCTACCGGAACCACCAATTGACCTAGAAACCATCAGCAATCCACCTCGACACCGAAAAGAAAGAGCACTTACCGAAGCCGTCACACCCTCCCCAACACCCTTAATACTATGCCACCACCCCTTGGGAATAAACAACCCATCCCCAACCCCAAGTCTCGCCTCAAACCCAACTCCATTCCAATCTCCGCCAGCAGAAACAGGACTTCCCCAAACCGTCTCATCAAGCAAAACCCTTTCCCTCCCTTGCATCATCTCCTCACCTCGAATAGCAGCAGCCTCCCGATCCCCACTCTTCCCAAGCTGCCTTCTCACAGCCCCCAAAAACAACCTGTCCATCGGCCGGTGCGAGTAGCCTCACGACTTTCTGTCCGGCCAACTGGACAAACAAATTAGGATTCGGATCTCGATGCAGCGGGGTATAAGTGGGCGGATGTCCAATCCACACGTTCGTATCATAGACATCACCCTTCCCGGCGCGCGACACCAGATCCGGCGTGGGAAAGTCGGCTCTGAGGATTGGTGGGAGATCGAGGAGTTGACATTGGGCTAGGTACAGGCGCGTTAATTGCGGGGTTGATTCTGCCATGCGCATCCAGTCCAGAAAGAGGGTGAGTGGAGCGTGGAATTGTCGGAAGCTAGTTGTCTGTGCTCCTGGCGCGTCGCTTTGGGGATTTGAGTCGAGCGATTCGGTGAGTTCGAGTGGGACAAACGCGTCCGCGCCGTGCTTTTGGAGATATCCCACGTTCAAGCTGGCGATGTGGACATTTTCTTTTGTATCTGGTTCATGCTGACTAGATCTGAACCAGTGTTTCAATGCTGGGAGTTCTTGGAATTCGGCGCGTGGGAGGATCGCGGGCCTTTCTGGGTGGAAGCATTTCTGCTGGAAGGTTTCGAGAGTGGCATTTTCGAGGGTTTCGAGAGGTCGATATTGTTGCGCTGGTGATATGGAGAAACTGCGAGAGTGTGTTATTTTAGGGAGGATGTGTGAGAGTCTCCAGACTCTGGGGGTTGGCCATGGCTGTCTCATTCCGGAGGTTGACAGGAGAAGTCTGGGGGTGGAGCCCGGAGCTCTACATACCTCGATGTTGGATTCGGGACATCTACATCTACTTACGCACGCTGTCAGCTATGCATGATTTGAACACTAATGTTAAACCCAGCTAGACTGATCGCCAATTTACACAAGCATGAAACCGAACGGCGTTGCCGAGGTTGCCAAGGATCCCCTCACTAACACACGAACGTGGAGAGCTGAGCTGACGTCTTGCACATTTGAACCTTCTTTATTCTTAATATCTGACTCTGCACTTGGGCTTCGGACGTTGCATAGCTCATGTTGTGTTACCTGCTGAATACCACATCGACTATTGACCCTGTCGATCATCCGAGCTGCATATTCACATATTGAACCAGACCCAATTATTTATCCTTACCTCTACAATATGTCTTCACTTTCTCGAATCCATAAGCGTCATGCATATGGCAAAGATGCGCATACCTACTATCCTGTCCTCATTGTAGGCGCCGGTGAATCGGGAGTGGCCATGGGCTGTCGGCTCAAAGAGGTTCTGAAGACAGATCAGTTCCGGATCTTTGAGAGGCAGTCGGGAATTGGAGGTACCTGGTGGATTAACAGATATCCAGGAGCTGCTTGCGATATGTGAGTGTTCATTATATCATTTCTCGACGGGTGTGTTTTCTAATGTTTATAGTCCGGCCGCTTTCTACTCATTCTCGTTTGCGCCGAAGATGGACTGGTCTACTTTGCATCCTGCAGGCCCAGAGCTTGCACAGTATATGGCTGAAGTCTGCGAGAAATATCAGATTGTGGATAAGATACAATTTAACACCGATGTTAAGGAACTTCGGTGGATTGAGGCGGACGAAGAATGGGAGGTTACTATCTCACATCTTGTTCCTGGGACCGGCGATCTAGCTCAGCATGAACGAGACCGTCTGGTAGCCCAAGATGGTGAGCACCGTGTCTACGTCGAGACAGAGATTGTCCGAGCAAAGGTTGTTGTTAGCGGCGTTGGAGGTTTGGTGGAGCCCAAGAATCTGCCAACAGATATCCCCGGCTTTGAGAACTTCGAAGGTGAAATCATGCACACAGCCCGGTGGAACGACGAGATCGATCTCCAGAACAAAGATGTTATCATGTTTGGCGCGGGCTGCAGTGCCGCCCAGGTAATTCCCGAGCTGGCCAAGCCAGAAGCCAATGTTCGATCCATCACCCAGATCATGCGGACGCCGCCATGGGTGCAACCCGATCTGCTACCTGGTCGGCAACTCGAGCTGTATGAGAATTGGACACCGACGCTGTCAACCTACGTTCCCGGGTTCGCAAAGTTCCTACGCAACACACTATTCGTGATGCTCGAAAAAAACTTCTACGACATATTCAGCAACACCACATATGCTCGAATTATGCGACCACGCTTGGAAAAGAAGTTCCTTAATAACATGCGCCAGCTCGCACCAAAGGAATATCACGAGATCCTAACTCCAAACTACAGCCTCGGTTGTAAGAGACGCATCATCGATGGGACTTGGTATCGCAGTCTCAATGCTCCCAATGTAGAGCTTACTACTCAGCCTCTGACAAGAATTAACGCAAAGAGCGTAACCCTCGGCCCAGGTCGCTATTATCCACCCAATCAAACCGAAGCCGCAGATGAGGTGAGAGAAGTCCCGGCCGACGTCATCATCATGGCCAACGGCTTCGAGACAAATCAATGGCTTCATCCGCTCAAGGTCATCGGTAAGGATAACAAGAATATGGAAGATGTTTGGGCAGAACGTGGAGGAGCGCAAGCTTACCAGGGTATCGCGATGGATCACTTCCCGAACTTCTTTATGCTCTTCGGTCCGAATACAGCTACGGGTCATACCAGTGTTATCTTCGCCACAGAGAATGCCGTAAACTACTCACTGAAGTTTATCAAGCCCATTCTTAATGGTCGGGTTAGCTCGTACGAAGTGAAGGAAGAGGCTGAGCGGGAGTGGACTCGTCAAGTACAGGATGAATTGCAGAAGACTGTATTCCGTCGTGGGGTCTGCTCCAGTTGGTATATCACTGCTGATGGATGGAACTCAAGCACATATCCGTAAGTAGCTTGGCTGTTGCGCCTGTGGACACAAACTAACAATTCGTACAGATTTACTCAGATTCATTATTGGCTGCGTTGCACGTTCCCTGTGTGGTCGCATTGGTCTGCTAAGCTCACGAGACGAGGTCGTGTGCTGCAGGTTGTCAGGAGGGCCATCAAGGCCTCTGTGCTTGTAGTTCTCCTCGCAGGCTTTAGATTCCTGTATAAGAACCCAGAGCAAAGACTTCAATTCGTACAGTCTTTGCTTGCTGGGAAGGATTGGCTGCGTTCGACTGTGCAGGGTCTGATTTCTCGTTGAAAGGGAATTGGCTGCTGAATTTACGTATACTGAAGTTGAATAGGAAGAGATATAACATACTCATCAGGAACTACAAGCATCTATATAAATAGAATCTCGATCTTGACTCTATCCAATCAGCCAATCAAGGCACAGACAATCGGATGAGTAATGCGAATCCGGGGAAAACGGGAAACCCCGCGACAGAGGAATTTCTCCGCACTTCATCGCTGGTGTTTCTTCTCAGTTGTCACTCCCAGCTGCAGATCATGGCTTCAGAGTCCCCCCAGATGGAAAGGACGCCGCCGCAGACAGATGCCGGGGATCAGGCCATTGGAACATCTGAGTCTAACAAGCGGAAGGCGGAACAAGGCAACGGAACGCAGACGCGCACAAAGCGGAATCGCTACATCTCCATTGCATGGTAAGATATGGCCTGATGCGAACCTATCTCTTTCCGCTCCATCGGTCGTTTCATTCCCTGCTTTCCGGTTGGTCGGAAATGTTGCTGCGTGCATCATACGATTTGCTTTTCCTTCGGGTTATTTGTCGGCAGTCTGGCTAACTACGGGATTTAGTAACGAATGCAAGCGGCGTAAGATCAAATGCAATGGACAGGTTCCATGCCAGAGATGTGGTCATCTAAATTTAGAATGCATGTATCTCCTGCGATTGCCAGCCCAACCCTTCTGCATTCGGAGCTATCGGTCCGCAGTACCAAACTGACAACTGTACCAGGTCGCTATGCACCCAATTGTTGCAACAATAACTTCAAAGACTCGGAGTAGGTCTCGGAATTCTGTTCCGAGTAGTCGGCTGTGCTAATATTTCGCAGCGAATACCGATCGTTGACAGATCAGATCACCGCTTTACAGGATCAGGTTAACAGCCTGTTCACCAATATCAATTCTATTCGTACCCAACGACCTACATTCGAGACACCATCCTTTGATTCTCTATCAAGGGATGGATCTCAGCCCGTGTTCACGCCTATGCCACCTGGGCTGCCAAAGCCTCGGGCCCGGCATCCCCGTTTTCACGGCCCAACAAGTTCGGCATTTAACTTTGATGTGGCTAAATCCAGCTTACAGAATATGGGCATCACCCCTGCAGAAGATGGAATCCCCGATGACCTGACTACTGCGCATGTCACCCCAGCGGGCTCGCCTCCTCACCTGGGGCAGTTGCTCTCAACTGTACACCCAACTAAAGATCCTCTTTGGACGATTGGACGCGATGAAGCAATGCGTCTTTGTAAAGTCTACGAGGAAGAGATTGGGATTATGTATCCTGTGGTGGATATTGCTACCGTTACCAGTCAAGCCAATCTACTGTATACATTCATTGAGGCTGCTACCCGAACAGGATTTGCACAAAGGGGTCTTCCAGGCTCTGATGGTCTTCAGGATGAGGCTACGGTTCTCTTGAAATTGATTCTTGCTACCACCCTGGTCGTGGAAGGAGGTGGTGAAAGCGAGCTTGGCCACCGACTTTACCTGAATGTGAAACCGGTCATAGAATCCAAGATGTGGGAGCCTCACAGCGTCAAAACGATTCAATTGTTTGCCATTGTGGTGGGTGTCATTGCCTTCTCTTTGTGTGCCATCAAGTTCGCTAATACTGTTGTCAGGCAACATATCATTTCCACACAGATGACGATGCCATGGCCTATCGAGTCATCGGGTTGGCAGCGCGGATGTGTCTTGAAATGGGACTTCATCGTCGGGATGCTTTGGTCAAATCGTTCCCCAACGAGGATCACTGGAACGAAGTTACTCGACTATTCTGGTCGGTCTATAGCTTGGATCGACGATGGAGCTTAGGGACGGGACTGCCTTTTGTAATTCAGGATGAAGATATTGATCCTAATCTACCAGAACCGGTAACGCTTCCCTTCCTGGACATATTAAATCAATTTTAACTGACGACGCTCAACAGGATGCATCACTACCCTACTTACGTTGTATGATTCTTTACAACCGAATCAGCTCTAAAATCTGGTACTCTGGTCTAGGGTCAGAGGGCGCGACTGATATTCGACGAGATGAAATCGGGTATCTGGATTATCAGATTCTGCAATGGTACAAACAGGTTCCAGAAGAACTGAAGTTCTATCCTGTCGAGTCTCCCAAGACTGGAGACACTGTAAGCAGAGGCATGAGACGACTAAGGGTTCTCTTGTATCTGCGAATGAACCAACTCCGAATTCTGATCTACCGCCCCGTCCTCCATTCATCTGCTAGCATCGCAGAAGACCGTGGTCACGCCCAGACTGTGGTGGATGTAGCCAAGGACACCGTCCGAGTGCTCACCCGCCTTAACCAAATGTCCGATATTTATCGTACACAGCAGATCACCTTCAACTACTTCCTCGTTGCTGCATTGGCAGTCCTCTTCCTCGCAGTTTCTCATGCGCCAGCCGACTTCAACCGACAAGTTCGCGATGAATTCTACATGGCGCTCGATCTGATCAACGGGTTCAGTACTAAGTCCTTTGTCTCCAAGCGACTATGGAAGACCATCAAGGGCCTCCGAAAAATCGGAGAAAAGCTCGGAGTCTTAGCTCGACCTTTCGGACCAGACTCGAATGATCCTCATTCAAGTGCAGCGGTAGCTATGGCCGGCCTCGCAGGGCATCCGATTGAAGACCTTTCAATGTACGGGCAAATGAATAACAGGAATGAGCTTGGTAGTAGTCCTCTCAATGGTCTCCAGATGAGCCATGAGTTGACGAATCTGTTTGAGGCTGTTGGTGCCTTTGGAAACTTCATTCCTGGCACCACTGGTCCTGATACTATCGGTGGCTTTGTTGGGACAGATGGAGAGATTCAAAATACTGGTGAAGGTCTATCAGGTGTTTTGGGAGACGAGGGGGAGTTTGCCCGGGTCATTCGTGATCTGTTTTGATATAACCAATACCCAGGGAATACGATGCTGTATGTCTTACTCACTTTGTGATATTGCCGTAGTACAACCGTACAATATGACGCCGAGAGTTGAACATGTGGGGTTGTCTGTATGCTGGTGAGGCAACATGACATGCATATATTGGGCTACACCTTGAATATAAAATGACGAGAAAGTGATCGTTTTCTAAGCAAACTATATTAAATCATCGACCAAGACCCTGTTCACCCAACTCATGTATAAGCCGACTGGTTTCCGCATCCAGACGATCGAACCAGGCTATCGCACGTCAGCTTCACGTGACAGACTCCGACAATTGATCTCCGCGACCTCACTTCTTGACTTCTTCAAGACCATCACATCACATCACCGTCCTGTGATCCTGTGATCCTGTGCTGAAGAGTGCTTCACTCGCCCACCGCCCCACGAACCGAACGCACCTAACCCGATCCGACCGACACACCAACCTCCAGTCGAATCACTAATGACCCTCAATAACGCCTAGAGATCTCTAGGTACGTGGATCAGATAACTTGTGGCATCAAATTTACGCAAAACTGATAAGATTTTGGTGGGGTCTTTAGATCCAACGTTGATCGCACAATCTCCCCCTCCCGCACATTGCCATGAACGTCTAGCTTTTCAGCCCTCTCAGATCCCTCGCAATTCTTAAATTGCTTCACGTTACTTTCTCTCGAATCGCTGCCTCGCAGTCGCAGGACCTTCTCCCTCCGCCTTTTGCGTGACGAAATCGCTTCGGATTCGTCCTCGCCTACCTTCCCGAAGCTTATACCCCCCAGCTCGGCAACGTGTCGAGAGAGACAGGTTCGGCGTTGGCCGACGGCCTCGACAGGCTGGATTTGAGTCAACTGTCTGAATCAACCTTATCATCGTCCGTGTCCGCATCGTTCGATATGTCGTCCTCGGAAGGTGCACCGGAGTCCTGGATCTCCTCGTTCTGCTCGTTGATGGGCCATGAGTTCTTCGCAGAGGTGTCGGAAGACTTTATCGAGGATGATTTCAACTTGACTGGCCTGCAGTCGCAGGTGCCCATGTACAAAGAGGCCTTGGAGATGATTCTCGATGTGGAGCCCGAGGATGATGATGAAGAGGAAGAAGAGGAGGAGGATGAGGAGGATGAAGATGATGCGCTGGGCGATGACAGACCCGGATACCGGAGAGCAGGCGATCGGCGACACGCCCGCGTCGCCAGCGATTTGAGCGTCATCGAGAGCTCCGCCGAACTGCTCTACGGACTCATCCACCAGCGATATATCACCTCCCGGCCGGGCATTCAACAGATGCTGGAAAAATATGAGATGCAGCATTTCGGCGTCTGTCCGCGTGTCAACTGCAATGGTTGCAAGGTACTTCCCGTTGGCCGATCCGACACTCCTGGCCAAGAAACCGTCAAGCTGTTCTGCCCCGGTTGCATGGATATTTATACACCCCCCAACAGTCGCTTCCACTCCGTCGACGGAGCATTCTTCGGCACAACCTTTGGATGTCTCTTCTTCATGACCTTCCCAGACTTGGACATTGGACCCCGTCTGGATGCATCACTGTCGATTATGTCGCCCCGCAACGCCGCGCCCACGCAGTCTCGGACTGGCTCCGTGACCCGTCCCCAACCCTCCCGCCAGGTTCTCGAATCCCCCACCCCAGAGAACCAACCCTTAGAGATTAACGGCGTACGCACATCCAACCTCTGTCCCGGCCTCGGCAAGGGTAAGATCTACGACCCGCGCATCTATGGATTCAAGGTCTCGGAAGTGTCGCGCGTCGGCCCCCGCATGAAATGGCTGCGCACGAAGCCCAAGAATGTGATTGAGCTGGACGAGGCATGGAACAACGAGCAGGAGCTGCTGCAGCTGCAAGACAAGGATGATAAAGATGGCGATACCGTGATGAAACCGGAACAAGTGCAAGATGCAGCCATCGCAAACCGCAAGAAGGCCCCTATGCGACGACGACGAAACCTCAACCAGTCAGCACCCACAGATCCAATGGATGTGCATGTCCGATGAGTCGAGTCCAATGGAATTGGGAGTTTTGCGGGGATGTCGAATTTTTACACTGTTTTTAGGTTCAGAAAGATGGCCCCGGCAGAGGATTTGTTGAGGGCTTGATGCCGATGATGACAGATGCTGAGCTTGATCTACCCACTGTTTGAATGCGATTCGTTCTAATCTATTGCGCTTTTCGCATCTTCCCTCTAGAATCGAATACCATAACGCAAGGTCCATTCAGATCTAGCTCCGCGTCCACAACCCGTGGCCCTCGTAGACAGCACAATGTGCATGGACCATGATAGGCATATGCCATTGCTTCGTGTCAGCTATGTTCCACACGATACTCACCACGTACATGTACAGTAAAGCCTCCCTCCAGACTCCAGACTCCAGCCCTGGGGGGGCCCTGGGGGCCCCGAGAGCCCATCGCAAAGACAAGAACCACAGAGCCCCAACTCTCCCATATCCGCATGAAGTGATCTGCAGCAAAGAGCCTCAGAGTGTCACTCGTATACCGGCCTCCCCGACCAACCTAATCCGCAACCCGCAATCTGCATCCCGCATGCAAGTCCCAAAACAAACGGGCCCATCGGCGACGCCGAGAGACCACATGCCCGTGCAACCATCTCTCGCCATCTCTCGTATTGGCCCAGAACCATATTTACAAATCAAACGTATTTATCATCATTGACTTCTGATTGCAATTCTCAAATCCTGTGGCTAACCTGTCTACGTTATACTTACAAAGCAACCTTGGATCCGAATTCACTGATTACACATCCCACTGTGCATGGAACAGGACATGCCCCAGGTGCACATGTCCCGGGGTCAAAATTCTGGACAACGCCAACCGGAGAAAGCGGGCAAGCGGAACGGCGGATGAGCGGTCCCCCTTGGGCGCGTATTATGCGTATATGCGTATATGCAGTATATGTATAGACCCCTGTCCAACCCGAGGCAGTGGGAATGGATCGTGTACAGAGTAAAGGTACTAAGCTATTGCGAATCACATGGCTGACATGGTCATCCTTGTCTTCTACTTTGCTTTGTTTATGGGCATCTTTGGTTAGCTTGGGTGTCAGGTTTGGTGCTAGCATGAGCAGATTAGTGGGTTTCCTGCTTGCTTTGGCTTGGTTTGGGCTGGTTTGGGCGAGACAGAGGCGTGGTTATTGCCACGCTCGTTCTGTTGTTGGTTGGGTGCTTCGTTTAAATCCCCCCGCTAGATCCTGCATTGCGTCTTGGTTTCTGGTCGGATATAGGATCGAGAGGGGGGGTCTGTTTGATTGTTTTTAGCGCTTTGCTCCTCGCCTCGCTTCTTTGGATTTTTTTTTCGTTTTTTGTTTTTTTTTTTTTTCCAGCCAGCCCTCGATGGTTGCTTTTCTTGGTACCAATAGGAGGGCGCTTGGCAGTGTTGGTTTTCTTTCCTTTTTTTTTCGCTTTTGCTTTTTGTTTTGGGGCTTGCTTTGTTGTCTGTTTCTTTGGATAGGTTTGGCTTCACTTGTATCTGCTCATTTTCAAGCTGTATACTAATCCATAAGATCCGCGGTGAGATCTTAAACCTTAAACCTTGGGATGCCCTGCATAGGCTTATATCTTGGCAGTGGATGCTATCGTCTATAACAATGGGAGAGCCTTGTTTGCTTGTTTGATATGCAGTAGTTGGATCGCAAGGAATCAGCACGTTATCTATGCTTTGCGCAGTCTCCACTGTATATTGGCATGGCCCTGCTAATTGACCTGGAATAGGGTACTAGGTCATATTGTGCAACCCAAAGAACTGAGGCACTCACTATTGATTGCAAGGTGCAGGAGACAACCTTGCAAGACCGTCATAGACTGCCACTTTGGGGGATTGCACCGACATGGACCAGATACACATCCTATTGTGACCATATACCCGAATCCATACTCACCCAGGCGCAGGGATTGTGAATTTAGCTCTGCACTACATGTGTTCATATACGCAGGATCACATACCTTTGCCAACTTTATCAGGGAGACGTCTAAATAAAACCCAAAACGGCAACACCTCGATCAACCGGCCACTAAAACAAAGTGTCAAGTAAGACGGTTAAAAAAGGAAATCCCCATGACCAAATTCCTAATCGAACAACTGTCGCGATGTCCTCCCCTCGGTAAACCCAGCCAATGGGCACCCCAAGAGCCAGGTTCCAATTGGAGAACCGCCGTAGCGAAAACCATCGCGTAAACAAGATGCAGCTGGGGGACCTATTGCGGTAAAATACAAACGCCAAACATAACGCCATATACCATATGCCAAAGTCTTGTGCCTATTACCGAGATTGCAGAAATTAGTGCCAGCACTCAACCCGCCTAGCTGGAAAGGTGAAATGGTCAACCTTTACACATCATTTGGTCTGCATCGCCGTATACGATGTTGTATCCCGTAGAATTGGATGAGATGAGTGCCAGTGCCACGCATACAATGTGAGACCTGAGAAGTCACCCAATCCAATCCGAGCAGAATACTATTCCAGAATTGCACATTTATCCAAAAATAGATCTCCTCCTAACACAGGTTCTCCCATCTAGGCCCATGCGTCTCGTCTAACAGCCTCTCCAGCCGCTCCCACCACTCTGGTCTCCCGTGCTGACTGCGTGCCCCCCGCTGCAGAATGTGGAGTTTACATTGTGTTGATCGTTATCCACAGTTAAGGCGCCCGGATAATGATAGGCTCTACACAGTAACGGGGTTTGGTTATCGCTCCACTTTCTTAGGGACTTTTGCCTAGGGAGTTTGTTCCGCCCGACGAATGGTCATTACATTTACTATTTGGGCTTGGATCTAGTTGGGGCTCTAGAGATTTGAAATCAGGTTATCTGATTAATCAATGTGACCAGGCCATGTGGCCATGTGGTCTTTGCATGTACTCCGCTATGCTGGTGTAAGTATATTCGACCTTTCCAGGGTCCGGTGAGTTGGCACGGCACGGACAAACATAGTATAAACAGAAACACTAATCAGAAAGAGGAAAGCCAAGCCTAAGGCTGCGACCCTTTCCCTCTTGATTTTCGTGTCGGCACTATTGACCGACACAACGCCTTTGGCGTTGTGACTTCGATAAGGTTAGCGAATGCGGGTACATCACCGTAGTCCGCAGTGCCCCAGTCCGCAGCGTAAACACAAAGCAAAAAAGGAAAGACCAAGAGTCGATCAAACTCGGTAGATCATGAATGACGAATCCACCCGTCAAAGGATACACTAGAGAAGGACTAGAGAAGACTAGAGCCTTCCTACGAGTACGACATCAATTAGGAAATGGGGGCAGAAACACCAACAGCGCTGCAGACTTAGAGCCGCCAACCCTGAAATCCCGATAAGAACCCAAAAGTGCGAGTCTAACCCCAAGGGGAAAAAGAAGACTTGGACAGTGCTGTCCACTAACAGTTGGACTAACGCGTTTCAGGTTGTGGTCTACTTGTCGGATAAGTGGGTGGATACCCCTTTTAGCCCTTTATCCCCTCCTGAATCCTGGAATGTCCGTTGCCATGTGGGTTTCCCACTAGACAAGACATGGAGAACGGACCACAACGTTGAATAGCCCCAGATCCCGGCCGGAGAGGGAGGGGGTCGTCCTAGTCTTGGGTCTTGGTATAGGGCTATTCCTACTATAGCAGGTTGTTAAAAGGGTTTGGGGGTGGTCTGTTTCACTGGTTCTTGGCTGGATCTACGTACGGGAGGAGACATCGTGCCACTCTCCCATCAACATACAATCTTCAATACCCAGTAATTTTAAGTCAATAGACTGGATTTGTATATTGACTTGTACCGCACCCACGCGGCTCTTCTTTCCGCCCGAGTCGGGGTCGGATAGATAGATGGAAACTCTACTTTTCACGATCGCCTTATGTACATCATGTGTACTGGATGGATTTCGTCCAGTCTATAGTCTAGAGTAGTCTAGTCCAGGTGGTTGCCTATCCCTATCCCCAACCGCCCCTAGCCAACGTGCCAACGTGTAGGGTGAATGTACATGCACCGATGGACCAGTCACAAAGCAGGCTCTAAACCAGTATCTGAAATCAAATCGAGGATCCAGGATTCAAATGGCAATTGAAATTAACTAGGGGGAGAGGCGCAGCCTCGGAGCAGCTCCGTCTAATAGAGCAGTGTGCGCTCCGTGACGTACCCGGTACAGCGGAATAGTGGGAATAGAAATGGAGTGGAAGGGAGGGGGGAAGAGAGCATGCCCGGCGTTTAGGGGATTAAAGATAAAGGCCGGTGGATTGTGGGTTGTCTTTTCTGCAGGGATCGGATTTATCCCAGTGGAATGGATTTCACGAGTCATGAATGGATTTGTCCTTTTCGAGAAGTTGGTCTCTAGCTCTCATGCACTGCGCCTCACTCTTCCGGACTGGGAAGGTAGATCTGTGTTCATCACCGTTTTTATTTCCTGGTATTCCTTTATTTTTGGTTTTTACTGAAAATCCCGCAGAGTTGGGGGCCGTGGAGTTATGCAGTAAATCAGCCAATCGGAGATCGGCGTCGCAACGTTATTGACTGGAGAGTATTCTATTCGGATTTGCTTGTAGATCTGAATTTCCCCAAAGCAAAGAAGTCACCAAAGAGACAAATAGAAAGATGGAAATAAAAATGAATAAAAAAACAACAAAAAAAAAAAAACAAATGAAGAAATCATTCATGGCCGAACTCTTCCAAACACCAGGCTAGAGCAAATTGAACGCCAGGTATGCAGCTATCTCGTCACACATGTCCAGATTGGACTTCTCAAGGGCTAAGAAAACACAAAACAAAGAATGACTCAAAGTGGAACTCGTAAAAAAGGACCAAAAAAAACGTGGACTTAAGGCCTCCGAGGCCCGCAATAGGGCCTAGATGACGGAAAGACCCGCCAAAACTCGGGGCATTCACTCTCCGATACGCCCGATCCGCCTTACCGTAGATCATACTCGTACATGATAGAACGAGGCGAACAAGGGGCGGATTCGGGGGTGAGGGGCGATGTGAAGATGGATGCCTCTGGTGACGTTGATGGTGCTCGCGGGTCCTCGTAGCTGTAGGCAAGCGAGGGCATCTGTAGGGACAGGCAGATCATTAGCTGCTGGTCGTGTGGTTGTAGATGATAATGTAGATCTTTGAAATTTGACATTTGAAGGAAAATCAGCGAGGAATATGTACCGGAAGACCTGAGGGATATCCTTGTGTTTGTGCCTGGGCGTGGGCGTGGGCGTGGGCGTGGGCGTGGGCGTGGGCGTGGGCGTGGGCATGGGCCTGCTGCGACTGTTGTTGCTGGACGAGATCGATGCCAGCCATTGTTGCATAGCTCATGCTGAACGGGCTTATCAGATCTTCGTCGTAGGCTAGTTTGCGTGGTGCTCCCATTGACGGGAGCACTGGCATGATTGATGGGAATGTTTCGCCGTATTCGCTTTGGTAGGCCAAGTCACTATAGCTGCTTGGCGCGGTGTGGTAGAGCGGGGACTGGGCGTAGGCCGATTGCCGGTAAGCGTCGTAAGAAGAGATGGATGGGTGGGAGAAGACTGGGGGTGGCGAGGCTGAAAGCTGGCGAGTACATTGTTGGGCAAACATGGTCTGGCGCTCATCCGGTCCATAGTACTCGTTGGAACCAGACCGATCTGAGTGAGTGTGCGGCTTGACCTCGGATTTGACGGCTCGTTGCTTGGTTCGGGTCTTAGGGGGTGAAGCCTTGGGTGACACGGGCTCTGCATGGGACTGTTCGGGGGATGCGGATGTTGCTGCTCGTCTCTCGAGGTCCTCCAGGCGACGCTTCAGCTTCTTGCCTAATAGTTGCGCCGTGATCAGACTCTACTCCCCAAGGATAGTCTGGCACAGTACTTACGATAGTTCCGCTGAGCGATACGGTTCTGAATGCGACGGCGCTCTGCCAGATCCGAAATCTTGGTCCAGTCTTCATTAGGGTTGGCGTTGGGACTGAATGCGCTGCTGTTGGAGTGACTGCCACGGGAGCCTGAACGTCCATCATAAGAAGAGCGATGCATGATGAGAAGGAGTAAGTACAGAAATACAGGTGAAGTGAAGAAGTGAAGAAGTGAGTGGAGGTGGAGTTGAAACCGATTATATAGAGTCTCGGAGTATGGCGCTCTAAACCCCGATCAGCTGGAATTGGATTTCTGGGCCTTGCAGCTTCGTAGCGATAGCCAGCCTAGTCCGTGCTTGAATTAGACTCGATGCCATGTGTAAAGTCCCGATTAAATCCAGTAAAATCTTTTATTAATATGACAGGGATCCCCGTTCAGCCTCCCCCTAATTTACTCCCTTTAAATCAAATCAAATACACGTCGTACACTTGAACCCTCAGATCACACGGAATATTGTAGTTGGGCCGGACATAGGTCTCAACTGGCCCGAGACAGGATATGTCAGGGGTGAATACAGTGTGTATATCATAGATTAATAGAATAGTAGATATTGGATAGAAAAGCACGGTAAATAGAAATAGAAATAGAAATAGAAATAGAAATAGAAATACAATAAATAAATAAATCATGGTCCTTATTTCCTCACGTGGGGGTTATGTGCACGGCCATGCCACGTTTTTTCTCTACTTGGCAGACTAAGGGATAAAGATCTGACCTGCCATACATTTCCCTGGGTACAGACGCAAATCTAACGTTTCACTTAGAGGAACTTGACGCTAGAGACATGACTTGGCCGGATACCCGGTTGTATCGCCTACAAACACCTTTGGAGTGCCTGTGAGTAGCTGTCACGTCATTGGGTGGTTCGTATAGTACCATTCTAACCCTAACCCACTCCCGGAATAGAGCCACTTTCATCTGAAAACTGTCCAATGTAACGTTTATCATAGCATTTGATGTCTCTTGGCTTTTTTTTTTTTTTTTTTTTTTTTGACTTTTATTTTATTCTTTTATTGTCCGCGCGTGCTCTGGTTGCCTTATTGGCCTACATACTGGATACCTAAGGAGGTATACCTTGCGGAGGATCCACACCTGTTTCCTAAGATGATCATTTGTTGCGCTCGGGCTATCCGGAGGCTTGACACCCAGTTCTGTCGGCCCCGAGAGGCCCGGAATGAGGGGGCCAAACGAACACGCCGAGGAGGCTCTTCCCCAAGGTGAGACAGACTAGGCTATGAATAGGACGCCTTACATCAACTCCTCCTCCAATCCGCGTGCGAGATGCTGTTGTACTGTTGGTTTCCTTGTCTGCCAGTGCGTCGCTATATCCTCGTATTCCCCCCGCGGTAGGGCTGAGCAGCCTGACAGGTGGACCTTCTTATTCCTGTTTGAGTTAACTTGGAGGCATCGCTGGATGGTGTCACTCTGGCATGAGGCACAGCAGCTTTCAGGTACCCGGTACAATGATGTATTTCGGTTCTTTTCACCGCTCATGCTGTCCACGTCTTCAGCTGGAATTTCAAGATTGTATAGCCATCCCTGTGCCCAGCCTGTCTGATGCAGGCATTCCCACCACTCACCGTCCACGCTGGGCCCCGGATGCTTGGTTGAAGTTGCATTTCGAGCCTTCTAGTCACAATCTAGAAGAATGTTCCTGGCGGTGGACCTCCCATGCAGCCCCGGCCCTTGCTGTACTCGAAGAACACGCACACCTCCTTTCGCCCCATCCACCCCCATGACACGCATCTGTAGTCAGAGCACAATGGTGTCATTGCTTGGGTTTTGGCATTTAGGCTTGTCGATTTCTCTTTCTTTGCTTTTCTCGCTTCAATCCTGGTGTCACGGCGAATCGATGACGGCAATCTCCGAGCCTCTTGGCTTGTGCTAACACGTTGTCTCTGTTGCAGACAGTGCATTAAAGTTACACTAAGCTTCAAATGGACCGAGTGGGAAACGGATACAGGCCTACTGGCTTCGCCAACTTCATCAGATACCCCCCTCCCCTTCGGTGCACCTAAGTAGATTACACAGCCTAGACAAGGCGTCCAGGGCTGGAATGCCAAAAACAATCTCTGAATCGAAGTCAAGGCAGGATTCAACCTTGAATGAGTCCTGCAAAACGGACAAGGTCAGGTGCTCTTTCTCAAGTAACACGAGAACAGAATCACTTGGCACTGAACTCCATTGAACTCCAGTCAATTCGGTTTCAATTAACTGTGCAGTAAACGTGAAGAACCTATCTATAGAGATCCTCGCAGTATCCAAGGTAAGAAGCTGACATTCTACCGCGTGGCCTTGTTATTCCCCGCGTCGAAAGCATTTAGGAGTATAGAATTAGCACACTCTTACATGCATTACTACCTCACCTTCAACCTATGAGATCACCAAGAGACCCCTTTCATCCATGCGGAACATCATGAAACGCCTGCTGTACCCCGGCGATCATACTACATTCTGCCATTGGATCTGCAGCCAAGAGCGTACAGAGCCAACTTGAAATCTAGTGATTCGGGGAGACAAAACCGACCGTGTCATTTCTCTCTGTTCTTTTGTTCTCTTGCAATTCGGATTCGGTTTCGCTTCTAATGTCGCATCTGGGTTTAGCCGTCTCCACGTGCTCCACCTGCTGCATGTCGCCTATCTTACCTTATTTCGGGCTTAGTTGCAGACCGGGATCTTCATGGGCTATTTTGGTGCTTTCTTAATGCTGTATTCAGTGTTAGGTGTTCATCCTGGCCTATCAATTCTCCTGTTAAGCGAGTTGGCGCTTTGTATCTATTGTTTTTAGCCCCCATATCCTTGCCAGGGTAGAATATTTGTCTTTCTACAGATGGAATGGGGGCCCAGTATGATGCAGCTTTCCTGGGAGTCTGGTGGGGCCGTACGGGTGGCTGGGGTTGTCAGCACTGTGTTTGTGCAAGACAAAATGTAGAATCTGACATATGATCCTTGGATTGCCATCCCAAGGTCATCTTGGGGTAGCTGGGGAGTTTGTTTCATGTTGAGACATGCGCATTTACCTAGTTTATAATCGATCGTTTTATTCTTTGTTAAATTGAACTTAATGGTGTTCAAATAAAGCAAGCTTATCATTTCTATCTGAATCACGAATATGATCCGTTGGCGCAACCCAGAGGCGAAATTGGTTGCCCACTTGTTCATACTTGGCATGCAGGGGTAGCCTCTTGTTTCAAATCTGCAGCGAGGACATCACAAGACATCGCTTTGACTACAATGTTTTGGGTGGCAATTGAATCGAGATCTAACTCTCGGGTGATTAATTCAAGAGGCGTCATCGGTATTCGCAAGCAAATATTGCCGGCTGGAGTGATGCGACTCCATAAACTTGTACGCCGGCATTCAACTGGGTTAACGTGTTATATTTGAACAAGTTATTGGTTTACAAGGTTCAGTAGATGAAGACATAATTTTGGGACGAGCTGTTAGCACAAGAATGGATCAAGGAATCATTTTGCTTTGTTTCTTGTTTCTCAGGTATCTGTGATTCCACGTTAAACGACTAAGAAGACCACGAAGAGAGACTGTTGGTTTGTCGGAGATCTACAAGGGGGTTGAGTTTAGTAAACCATGAATCGAATTGAGAAACCAAACTTAGTAAGAAAACAGTCTACATTTCATCCTAGCTACTAGACATTGTTAGCTCGACTTGTCTTTCGGATATTGGAAACGAAGTCGACTGCGGAATACAGAATATATATTGGGGACTGGATACCTATCATGTCAGAACAGGGCGTGGTACTCCATCCAGACATAACAGAGCCTTTGATTACGCCTTAAATAGCCATTGAAGATAGATTAGTTAAAGTAATTTGAGGCTCTCATCTCTCGGGTGCGTATATTGAAGTCCTGTACATCAGCCTCTCCAAGCAAAGTGGACGATCAAAGTCAACTCTGAAGGAGATCATCAAAACTTGGTCGATACTTTCAAAGATATGTTTTTTACAGAATTTCTTTCAAAGGGATGATCATGTCTAATATGAACTCTTCCATAACAGTGTCGCCATTTTGGTTCCGTGGACAGCAGGGAATAAGCAGTTATTTATCATCAAAATTAGAATTTATCTAGTCAATCGTTGGTAGAAAAACTACTACTTGCGCAGCATACCTCTGCAGATACAAGTATCTCATGCTATAAAATGCAGAATCCTGCTACAGGTCTGCCAAAGCTTAGACCAGCCAGTTATAATGTCCTAGAAAAACCTTCTAGGGTTCAAATTTGGAAGCTGTAGAATATCACGTTTCCGCAAGTTATAACCTAGTTTGAATAATAGTACAACAGAAGCTACAAGCCCTTTCACCCTTCATCTTTCAACCTTTCAATGAGCCAGATGACCAACCTGAAGCACTCGAGGATGGGCCAAAAAAGAGGTGGAAAAAGAGAGGCGAAGTTAAGGCACAAGGAACGCATAAAATAGTACACTCGTCTCCAGGTCTCGTATAGAAATATGCTAATCCTTCAAGGCACTGTGGACATATTTCTGATCCCTCGGTAGTAAGTTGTGCGACAGTAAGTTGCCTCCTGTTGACTTGGCTTACATTTGATACCTTTGGAGCAATATTATGAACCAATATTCCACTTCAAAACAATCAATGGTCTGATAGTGCATATAGTGTATTTTCATTCTTCTATATGATTGAAATTTGTTATAAGACATGATTCTTGGAGCACAGAAATGCCAATACTATGATAAGAAAGCAATACCATGTAGGAATATTCCACATCGGCTACTCTCCGACACTGCTCAACATATCTTTGACTTTGAGTCTTATCTCGGGTATTAGGAATGAGAGAAATACTCTGGCCGCGGATATAGTCCGCTGCAGCTGTGGGGTTATCGACGAGTGACATTATAGCAAAGAAAGGTGATCAACGCAAATCATACAGTAGTGTCTGTCTGCCATATACTTCACTTAATTTCGGTGGCACATAAGGCTGATACTCATCCGATGCTAAGCTCTGGACAGTAAAGCTTCTAGTCATCCAAGAATGTAGGGGGCGGGTCTTTTTGATATCCTCGGGTTCGGTTATACTTCGGTACAACAACCCTGTCTTAAATTCTTGCCATTGAACAATAAAGTTCCAAACCAATGCCAGAAATTATCTCAAGGGCAATGCTTTTCCGATGTGGAGACAGTCGGGCCCTCACAAAGAATACCCCGAATAGGGGTGCGTAGCAAAGATGACGGGATGCTTGACCAGTAAAGCGGGGGATTAAGCGATCGGCGAGCAAACCACGGCCCAAACCAGTGTAACTTCACTTCGCAAAGCTTGGTTAATGCTTGATATTCGGCCTGTTGCCCGAATCAGGTCCAAGTGCAGTCTCCATGGACGAATGCCAGCATCCCCCACATTCCCTGGATCCACCCCCACGCATGTCGATGGCAAATGCCTCATACTTCAACACACGACCCGGTTGAAATGCTTCGTATGCGTATAAATGATCGGTATATCGTGTATGTTTGTGGTTTAGAAATGTGCCCGCATTGTCTTTACTTCGCTTGCTTTTACTCTCATTCTGTTGCTTTCCAACGAGATGTCATTACTAAGTGCTTGTTATGGCCGACAAGACGGGGTTGGGTGCTCTCAAAGGAGCTCCGCTAGTGGCAGCCATTACATCAGTATGTGCCTCGTCATTTTTGCTCTTTGGATACGACCAAGGTGTCATGTCTGGGGTTGTAATCTCCGAGTATTGGCTCGAGGCCATGGGACACCCGAGTACTGTTATGACGGGTACTATCACAGCTCTTTATGATATTGGCGCAGTATTTGGAGCCATTGGTGCTGCATTGACAATTGAAAGGCTTGGGCGAAAGGGAGGACTACTCATCGGGGCTGGTTTTATTGTCATCGGTGCTATGTTGATGGGTTGTTGTGTGGAGAGGATTCAGATGATCGTTGGTAGGATCGTGACTGGCTTAGGTATGTCAAATTCTATCGATTGGATATTTCTGTGCATGCCCTAATATTTTCGGGCTTTGTTCTAGGCATCGGATTTCTTACTTCCGTCGCTCCTGTATACCAAAGCGAAATTTGCCTACCGAGTCAACGTGGATGGCATTTATCATGCCAGCTCTCAACAATGTTGTTCAGGTTATGCTTGCTTCTGGCAGTTGGAATCCAATTTATGCAGCAAACTTCTGGTGAGACTGAATGTTCTTAACTAGCTTTCTGGAATTTCGCTGATAATATAGGAATCAACATTGTGACGTACTACGCTCCCACTCTGCTCAAAAGCTCTCTAGGCATGGCACAGGAGCGCGCACTTTTTGTCAGCTGTTTCCTTCAGGTGTGGTATATCATAGCTTCATTTTTGACGGTATGCTGCCTTGTTCAATTCTTTGATGGACATTTTTGATCTTCGCAGTGGTATATGATCGACGCTGTTGGTCGTCGCCGGCTGTACATTACCATGTCACTTGGGATGTGTGTTGTATTGGTCTGTGAGGCTGTGGCTGTAGCTATTGATAATCAACAGTCTGCTATTGCTGCCGTCTTTTTCATTTCTGCCTTTGAAGCTTGCTTTACTTGGGGTAAGCCTATATTCTTCAATCTCCAACTGTCTTTCATGCTAATTGGCAACAATCACAGGCTGGATGGCTACAGTATGGGTCTACCCAGCAGAAATTCTCCCTCTGAAGATCCACTCAAAGGGAGCTGCACTTGCCGCTGCAGCAGACTTCCTTGGAAACTTCCTTGTAAGTCCACACTCTGACTTTATTTCGCTGTGATGCATGATATGGTTCTGACCTTTCGCAGGTTGTCGAAATTACACCGCCTGCTCTAGAAATTATCGGTTATAAAACATACATCATCTTTGCGGTCTTTAATCTCGTCACTGCAATTATCGTTTGGTGTTTCTACCCAGAGACTTCATACCTCAATTTGGAATCAGTCGACCTACTATTCCTCCCAGACGAGGATCGCGACCAGGAAATTGTTTCAAAGCAAACATTCCTTCAAAAAAGTCTCCAGTGGAGTGTTGTTCCCAGGGCACGAATGGCTGTCAACGAAGCAAAGGCTAGACAAAAAGCGGGCCGTGATCTCATCGCAAGTGAGATTTTAGCCGATCATGTTACCGACGGATTGAAGAAAGAATTGGCATCGGATCATGTTGAACGCAGGGATTGAACGGTCAATTACTGATATCACATTCCATGTTTACAAGAGATTTCACCGAGGCTTGAGCGTGGATTCTTGTGCGAGTCAAGACAACCCATTCCATGTTAGAAACCTGATCATCATTTTTGTCAATTCTAGAACGAATATCGACCCTTAGACTGGGAAAGGTACTTTCACAAAAGTATGATGGTCATAGTACCTCTACAACGTTGGTGACTTGAAAAGATAATCGATAAGATAATGTAACAGTAACGGAAGATCTCTATAAAAACCCAGGCTCCAGATGAATATGTGAAAATGCCTACTGCCTAATAGCATGGCAATCTAGAAAGCCTTCAAGCAAAATGAACCGAAAAATGAAAAATGAAATTTGGGCCGCGGACTTTTGCAAGCTTCTGCGGTAATAACCAAAATCGGGTAAAGAAGCCCTTTATCCAACATATGTATCTTAGATCACGACGCTATCAAACAGTTAGTAAATCATCCTGCTTGCACAGATTGTTTTGTTATCATCTTACCTCCAGGGGTTCTGCTCATCACCATACTGGATACCCTCGATCCAGTTCTTCATCTGGAGAGCAATCTCACCAGCCTCCTGGTCCTCCTTCAAACCACACTCAACCATTTTACCTCTGTAGCTGATGTTGCGGACAGGGCTGACAATAGCAGCAGTGCCAGCACCGAACACTTCGATCATGCGACCTTCCTCGGAAGCCTCGGCAACCTCGGACATCTTAATCTTGCGCTCGGAGATGTTCCAGCCCTTGGGGCCGAGTCTCTCGCGGGCAAGAGTCAAGACGGAGTCACGAGTGACACCCTCCAGGATGGTACCATCAAGAGGAGCAGTGATAAGCTCCTTCTGTCCTGTCTCCTTGTTCTTCAAGGCAATGAAGAGGTTCATAGTGCCGACCTCGGTCACGTATTCCTCCTCACCAAAGAGCCACAGATTCTGCTGGAAACCACGGGATGCGGCCTCGAGCTGGGGCAGAATGCAAGGAGCATAGTTGGCACCGAGCTTCTTGTCACCAACACCACCAGGCCAGGCACGGACGGCGTAGTCAGTGGCCTCCAGCGAGATGGCCTTGAAGCCAGTGGGGTAGTAAGGACCCACGGGACTGGCAATAACGAAGAGAAGAGCGGATCCTGGGGGACCAACACCCAGGGTCTTCTGGGTACCAATCATGGTAGGACGGAGGTATAAGGAGTAACCACGCTCGCTGTGGCGGTTAGCAAAAACAAGTATCTGAGCAGAAGAAGATGCACTCACGCAGGGATGAATCGGCTATCCAACTTCACGAGCTCTCCGATAATTTTAGTCAACGCATCGCCGTCCACGGTAGGAAGGGCAATACGCGCAGAAGACTTGTTCAAACGCTCCATGTTCTTGTTAGGGCGGAACAGACGGATGCCACCGTTATCGTCCTTGTATGCCTTCATTCCTTCGAAACATTCAAATGCATAGTGGAACACACAGGTTGAGGGGTCCAAGCTAAGGTTCTGGTAGGGAATAATGCGAGGTGTGTGCCATCCATCGGTAGCTGTCCACTCCACAGAGAGCATGTGATCTATAGAAGACTTCAGTCAGCTTGAATAGATCAATTGCTACTAGAAAATCGCCCCACCCGTAAAGTTCTTGCCAAAGACAAGGTCCTTGGAATCCATCAGCTCCTTGGGAGTGGTGGTCTTTGTGACGGTCAACTTGGAAGCGTCGAGGCCGGGAAGGGTCGAGGCAGCGGCCGCAGAGGCGCTGAAAGCACGCTGCCATGTCCGGCTGGTGTTAATGGTCTGCGAGGAGACGGCGCGGGGCATAGCAAGCCCGGTTAGCACCTGTCGGCGAGCTAATTGGAACGGCTTCATGACTGTGGCAACGTCGTCAGGGACAATTCAAGGGCCCGCCAGGAACTGAGTGGAGATTGGAGATGACAATCGAGTCACTAAGAGGGGATATCGACGTACCGTTGGAATGCGCACAGGTCAATGGTCTTTATATCTGGACCAAGATGACTCCGCACTAGAAATGAATCTCTCTGCGGAGCTCAGCGACAACTCCGACTCGGCCCCAAGCGGGTAATTTTGGCTCACCGCCCCGCAAAACAGCAATGACTCAGCTGTTCAGCTGCAAAATTGACCAATCAGAAGCTCCAAATTAGATCGACCCGCCGACTTCGGCTTGTGTCGGTACCTCGCGCCTCAGGCACGATGTACACGTGACGGCGGTCGCGATACGCCAGACGATAACAAGTCATTGTGATCATCTTGGTGGCCAGGCAGAGCTATAAAGCTTCAAATTGCTACTCATATTCGTTGGTGGTTGGGCAATAGCGGATCCACGTGTCTTACCAATCGCCCCCATTCAATGCCCCCGTGTTGATACGAAGTCATGTCTTTTGCTGACTCTCTGTGACGACACTGAAACGAACCTCTACCTTCACTTAGTCTGCGCCATAGCAGATCAATTTGCGCCTCCAGATCCACAATGTTCTCCTCCGCCCTGAAGTCGTTCAGCTCCAACATCTCCGCCAATTACCAGATCTCGCCCAACCCCACTGTTTACTCCGGCCCCTGGAAAATCCACGACGCAAAGAAAAAGTCCACAGGAACTCCTGCGTCTGTGTTCATATTTGATCGCAAGTCACTCGAGTCGCGCTCCGGTGGGTTTGGGAGAAGTTCCGGATCTTCCAAGAAGCTCCAGGAAGATGTGATCGAACGACTCAAACGCGAAGCGAGTAATCTCGCGCGTCTACGACACCCGTCTGTTCTCCAAGTGCTGGAGCCGGTGGAAGATACAAGAAACGGTGGCCTCATGTTTGCGACGGAACATCTCACCGCATCACTCTCTGGGCTGCTCCTGGAGAAAGATGACCAGGAGAACACATCGCGAGGCGGTTCCCGAGGAACCCGCTACATGGTCGAGGAGGCTGATGGAACCCGGAGAAGAAGAGATGTGGAGATTGATGAGCTCGAAATTCAAAAGGGTCTATTGCAAGTGGCCAAAGGCCTCGAATTCCTTCATGAGTCCGCGGGCTTGGTGCATGGAAACCTGAACCCCGAGGCTATCTATATAAATTCCAAATCAGATTGGAAGATCTCTGGTTTGGGATTTGCAGGGCCTCCGGACTCTTCGGAAACTAAGTCATCATTGCCCCCATTAGCTGTATCCGAGGTTCTATACCAAGACCCCAGGCTTCCAGCTTCTGTGCAATTGAACATTGACTACACATCGCCTGACTTTGCTCTGGACTCGAATGTTTCATCAGCAGCCGATCTCTTCTCTTTGGGGCTGATCATTATCGCTCTGTACAACTCGCCGCATATCTCGCCTCTACAAACGAACGCGAACTTGACTACATATAAGAAGCTGCTTAGCTCTCCATCTTCTACCCCCTCACAGGGCAATAACTTTCTCTGCTCAAAGCCCATTCCCACCGATGTGCTATCTCATGTTCTACCAAGGCTCATTACGAGGAGACCTGCTCAGCGTATGAATGCTCGAGAATTCCAGCAATCTCAGTACTTCGATAATGTGTTGGTTTCCACGATTCGGTTCCTGGAATCTTTGCCGGCTAAAAATCCTAATGAAAAGTCTCAATTCTTGCGTGGTTTGCAGCGAGTACTTCCTGAATTCCCTGTCTCTGTGCTAGAAAGAAAGTTGTTGGGTGCATTGATGGACGAACTAAAAGATCGCGAACTGCTTGCTCTGATCCTGCAGAATGTGTTTGGTATTCTGCGACGAGTTCCAAATGGACGCCGTGTATTCCCCGAAAAGATCATCCCTCGTTTGAAGGAGGTTTTCGGGACTGATTCAGGCAAGACCGAACGAGACTCCAAAAAGGATGCCGGTCTTATGGTTGTGCTTGAGAATATGAAGCTCATTGCCGACAATTGTTCCGGCATGGAATTCAAGGATGGTAAGCTCTCCGAATCTTTATACTCACTTTCATCCCTGACTTTTCTCTAGATATTCTACCTCTAATTCGCCTTGGTCTGGATTCGCCTACGCACTCCCTAGTGGATGCTGCGATCAAATGCCTCCCCGTGGTGCTCCCGGTTCTCGACTTTAGTACGGTCAAGAATGAGGTGTTCCCTCCCATTGCTAGCACTTTCAGCAAAACCAGCAGTCTTGCCATCAAGGTTCGCAGCTTGGAAGCTTTTAGTGTGCTGTGCGGTGCCTCTCCGGATGATTCCAATGGGCTTGACGATGATCTGTCTGGAGTCCAGACGACCAAGTCGAAAACAGCCAAGTCTTCTATACTGGACAAGTACACTATTCAAGAAAAGCTTGTTCCGTCTCTAAAGGCGATCAAAACTAAGGAACCATCGGTGATGATGGCTGCACTCAAGGTCTTCCGCCAGGTTGGAACTGTCGCAGACACTGACTTCTTAGCTCTGGAAGTACTTCCGGTTCTGTGGAGCTTCAGTCTTGGGCCGCTGTTGACTCTCTCTCAGTTCAACGATTTTATGGCCTTGATCAAATCCCTTTCCGCTCGGGTTGAGCAAGAACAATCCAAAAAGCTACAAGAGCTTTCCTCCGGTGCTGAATCTAGTGGGTTCAAGAACGGCGTCGACCAATTCTCGCAATCTGCCACCGACCTTACTTCGCCAGAGACAGATGGAGCTCGGAACAACTTCGAACGCCTCGTTCTTGGAAAGAAAGCCTCGCCGACAAATGGTGAGATGGATATGTGGGGCAGTATGGAGCCTGAGCCAGCCAAGCCAGCTGCTCCCAGCGCACCATCTTCATTCGCATGGTCCTCAACCAACCCTGTGAAACCAACCCAAGCGGGTTCTTTGAGTCAACAATCCAACCTCGGTTTCCGTTCCATCACCCCGGACCAGAAATTGAGCACTTTCCCAATTCTTGAGCCTGCACGACAGACCTCTCCAGTTCCTCAAGCTTTCTCTGCAATGCAACCTTCATCTTCCATCTGGGGATCACCTGCTAGTCCTCAACCCCAGATTGGCGGAGGTCCATCGTTAGCTTCTATGTCGACCATGGCACCCTCCAGCTCCATGTCCAGGCCAATGGCTCAGCAGGCGCCCAACTACTCTGCATTCTCGATACCCCCTCCTCCTGCAGGGAACATGGGAGCCAATAATGCCATGAGATCTCCTCCATTGAACACAACGATGCGATCAACGTCGTTCCAGAGTACACCTCCGGCTCAGGGAACTCAAAAGCAAGGTTTGGACAAATATGAGAGTTTGATATAGGAGATCTGTCCAATGTTGCATAGTACATAGTCAAATTCAAAAACATGGGAACTAATTAACTTACATGTAAAACCGCTTTCAAGCATGAATTCCACTGTGGGTCTGCCAAGCTCTGTAGATCGGACCCCCGTCGGCGCGAGAGAAACACGTACCTGATTGGTGACTCTGCTATGTCATAGCTACCACTTCATGCCCCTCATGCACTTGATGCGTGGCATTGTGCCCTTATCCCGGCGCTTCGTGTCACCGCTACCCCTCCGTCGTTTTTCACCTCCCCGATTCGCAACATTCTCTTCACATTCTCATTCCCGCGCCATGGATGACAGCATTAAGCAACATTACTTGGCTGATTCGCCGCCTACAGTCGTCAGACTGGAGGTGAAGTCTCACTTTGACACTCTCAAAGACCAAAACCTTAGGAAATATGCACACTTCATGAGCAGGTACAGTATCCCAGGCACTTACTTCCCTGCACCACAACCAGTCAGAGTTATCATGAGCTAATGCATGATCTCCAATGTGAACAGGGCTGCGTTCGAGGGCACTCGTGTCACTCTGCGTCAAGTATCTCCCGAATCCGAACCCATCTACGACCTCATTCTCTCCCTCTACCACGCTTCCAATGGCGACTGGAACAGCCTCGCCCAAAAAACACAAGTCAGCACCGAAGACCTCCGCTTCTTTCTCGAATATGCAGGACAATTCCTGGGCAACTGCGGAAACTACAAAGGATTTGGTGACTCCAAGTTTATTCCTCGTATCCCCGCATCCGCCCTCGAGGCTTTGGCATCGTCCACTGCGGAGACCAAGGCGGCTTTCCGGAAGGCAAACAGCACTGGAGGAGGTATCTATGAGACCAGCGAACAGTCTATGATGCACCTTGGATATACCGAAGGCGGCCACATGACTACATACTACCCCGATTCCCCCACAATCTCCAAGGATGAAATCACGGCAATCGGTGATTTGATGGAGAAGAAGGGTCTGGCGTTGGAGAACACCAGAATCCGCAAGACACCATCTGGTGACTTTGAGCTTTTGATTGCTTCTGGTGTATCCTCTCCTCCTGTTAAGGACCGTGACCTTGGTGAGGTGGAAACGTTTGACCTTGAGGGTGACCTTAAGGGCAAGAACTTGCGCCTCGTCTTTGGTGACCACAAGGAAGAGATGGCGAAGATTGCCCACAGCATCAAGCAGGCTGGTTTGAACGCTGCAAATGATAACCAGAAGCGGATGTTGAACTCCTATGCCCTGTCCTTCGGTGCTGGTTCCATTGAGGCTTTCAAGGAGAGCCAGCGTGTCTGGGTTAAAGACCAGAAGCCTGCTCTGGAGACCAACCTTGGATTTGTTGAGACCTACAGAGACCCTCACGGTGTGCGAGGAGAATGGGAGGGTTTCGTCGCTTTGGTATGAATCGGATCCGCTATTGTTCACTGATCTTACTAACTATTCGCAGGTTAATTTGGAGCGCACACGTGCCTTTGGTACTCTCGTAGACAGTGCTGAAAGCATGATCCCTAAGCTTCCCTGGGGCACTGATTTCGAGAAGGACACTTTCCTCAGCCCTGACTTCACATCGCTGGAGGTCTTGAGCTTTGCCTGCTCTGGTCTCCCAGCTGGTATTAACCTTCCTAATTACGACGATA